AAATAATAGTTGGTAAAATCTTTTGGGATTGACAAGGTGCATTATGGGCTTTGTTTTTTGTTTCTCCTGGGTTTTACTTTTTTCTTACGAGAAGTAAAAGATAATGCTTGTGCATTTTTTTGGGTGGGGGGGGGGCAAACAAGGTTTTTTATGGGTGATATGCAAATGACGGATTGTGCTTTACAGTAGCACGTGGAATTTTATTATCACAATTAACATAATTACCTCTATTGGTCAGTATTCCTTGGGAATTCCTTGGGGCTCGTGCTTGAATGTTTGGTTCCTTGCTTACGACTATTGATTACCTACTACAAAAGAAACTCTAACACCAATCAATAAAGTCCCCAGGGGATTGAACTCTATTCTTTTGTTCCTTTGTTTGTGATGACGGTACCTGCAGAGAGACCCGAATATTTTCGCTGGGACAACCTCGAGAGCCTCCAAACCTTCTTTTTTCAGCGCAGATGTAGAACTTCATGTGCCGGCACAGCAGAGAGGTAAATTTGGTATACTGTAGTGAGTAGTGACAATGGCGGAATTTTGGCAAAGATAGAAGATATTAATTAAGGAACGATCGATTATGTTCATCAAACTTTTAAGGCCGAAACATACGAGGGATTTTGCTTCATGGGTATACTTCATCCTCGGGAGCAGAATTTCCACCCCGCAAAATGCTCCACGATATTTAGCCGGTTAAATATTTGGGAGCAAAGCTCCCGGGGCAAATTGAGTGAACTTGAAAACGCTCCTCGTGTGTACTGGCACGTGCAAAATGAGCCTGGAGAATGCTCTGGGAGCAAAACCCCTCGTGTGTATCGGCCTTTATAACTTCCAGGCATTAAATAACAAATTCCGCTCCTATAACCGTGCTGTGGTGACACAGCCTGGTTAGCTCACCGCCGCCTGGTTAGCTCAGTTGGGAGAGCGCCGGTCTACTGAGCGGGAGGTCGCGGGTTCAAACCCCGGCCGGACCAACACTCAGGGTCTTTAAATAACTGAGGAGAAAGTGCTGCCTTTGTAATAATATCTGCAAACGGCTAGACTCTCTAGTCTTCTCGGATAAGGACGATAAACCGTAGGCCCCGTCTCACAAGCCCTTGCACATGTTTAAATCTGTGGGACGTTAAAGAACCCACACACTCTTCGTAAAGAGTAGGGCACGTAGTGCCCGGTGTAGTGGCCTATCTCACTTTCACACTCATGTACGGGGGCATTATTACTCATTCCTTAACTACTTGTAAACTGCACCTTAAGCAGTCTGGCAAAGTCCCCCAAACAGTGTTGTAAATTATCCCTAAAAAGCCCTGAGGGGAGTGGATAATAAGATATTTACAATTTACAATTTACACACAGTGGGATTTGACCTAAGCATTTATATCACTTAATTAATATTATGTTCTATTCGAACAGCAAACTTGTTCACAAGTTGACACAGTATCAAGTAGCCCCAAATGAATTTAGCATTTAGTGCCAACGAAGTTTATATTATAGCAATTGCCATTAATTCGTGACTCGCGATGCTGCGAATGAAACGCCAGTTGGCAAACTTCCAAAATTTTTTGTCTCTAAAATCCTAGTCTCAATTGCACCTAAAACAGTCAAGACATAACCTTCTGAGGTAGGCAATGAGATTGCCTGGCCAAAATGGAGGTAAATTTAGTTTTTCTTTAATCTTCAAGATAATTTGCCCCCAATGCCTCGTTTCAAGGTAAAAGTTCTTTTGATTTCCTCACTTCAAAAACTCTACGGAGACTGGGTACACGCTTTAGGTGCGTTGATTTCTGGGATTGTTTGGTTGGACAAGCCCTAGTTATGATTGGTCGATGGTAATAGTTCGGCGGCGTAGCTCGAAATTTCAGGTGAATTGTGCACTTATTGCTGATAGTAGTCACCAATACAAGCATTTTCAGATATAGCCAAGCCTGTATTACGTTGGTTTCCATAGAAACCATAATCAATTGAAATTCAGGAAAGATCAATGATATTCATTTTTCCTAGTTTATCAAGACATAGTATCATTTAAGTCGGTGATACCACCCTGTTTACCACGTACGTCTTATTTACCGCACGCCGTTTAATCTTAACTATGCGTTACTATGGCAACAGAAAGCTAAAACTACGACTAAAACGACTGCATAACAGTTGGTTTGATCATTATATGTAAAACAACTGACATCTTTGCACATAGCTTCGTTACCTACTTGGTTTTTCGTTACAGAATAAACTAAACTAAGGTTTTCACTGTGCACCTCTCACTGCGCATAACAAGATGGCCACCGTGAAAAAGAGCTTTTTAGCTTCTGCAAGAACACCGATAGAAGAGAAACGTTAATGGCATTTTCCATAGCAGTTTGTTCTGGCCGAGATTTGTTCGCTATAACAGGTATAACGATGTTTCGTTATCTCGGGGTTCTTTTTCATATTGTTTACTATTGCTGGGGTATAAAAAAATGGGTCGTCATGCCGAGGACGTCGTTACAAAGAGGTTTGTTATATCGAGGTTCCATTGTATTTTATTTCATGGCCTCATGTAACAACAATATTTCCTTCAATAAGAAACAAATTTGCAGAAATCCATGTTCACTATTTTGGCAATTTCATGACCAGCAGAGAAGGAAGTTGTATCACACACTGTTAGGGCATGGAACAAAGGTAGAAACTTCGATTTAGATGGGACAAAGGCCCTTGCAAAGAGATAAGTGGCTAGGATGTTGTGGGTGTTTTTTGTCCCACAGGACACCCAAAATTCTTTCATGTCTAAATAAGCCTGTTCCACGAGGCTCCAAGATAGTGGGGAAAACGGAGGGAGAAAAAAAGGGCAGAAGTTCGAATCATGACTGACTAGTGATCATTTTCTACTGCATCAGCTACATGAACTATCATTTTCATGTCTGCTTCTTCTCCGTGCGAACAGACGCATACTCGAGCGTGTCCGTTTGCTGCTGTGGATTCCTACGGGCATTTTTCTTTTCATCATGCGATCCAGTTTCATCCTGTAGAACACATCGCGACAAGATCTTTGCCACCGTATAGCAAACGACTTGCTGAAGTGGAAGCAGTTCTATTTCCCACGTCAGAACATTTTCAGTCAACTGCTAAACGTAATTCCCCCGACTCATAAAATGACGTTAAGTCTTGTTCAAAAGTAAGGCATCCAGCACTAGAGTCTTGCGGTCTCCAGTTAACAGGACACTGAGGTTTTTCAGTTGCTTCCTTATGGCAAATGACACATTTTAACCAGTCAATAGTTTGAGGTAGCGACCTGTTTCCTTCTTCTTAGAATTAACCTATTAATTTCTTACTTCCTCTTTTTAAACCGACAGTTTTCTCTTCTATATAACTAGAATAGTTTCTTTTCTAGCTGCACGGAGTCGCATGCACATTTATAATAACTCTTACCACCCGAACCAAGAGAAAGAGGAGAAAAAGAATGTGCAAATAAATTCCAAATTACGGCCTGCATTTATATAGCGAAGAAAAGAAAATAACAATTCGCATCCAAATTTAACATCTCTGTTGTATTTTTGGTACCTGTATTTTGAAATAAGACGTGCATTAAATCTAACCAAAATGAGCAAGAGCAAAGTACTTCGAGGGGGGTCTCGGATCTGATAATTTCATTTGCTGCTGATTAGCTGGAATTAGAAAATTTAACTTGGCACAATAACAGGAAATGACCAGCCTGGGAATGTAAAGATTCCTACAAAATTTGGTGCTTGTATCAAAAATCGCATAATTCTCTAGCTAAGCCGCCGTACTATAATCAGTCATAAGTAACGCTTGTCCTCCCAAACAATCCCAATAAAAGCAGTTGCGCCGAAAGCTTGTAATTATCTGGAGTGGGGAATTCTGCAGATTTAATCGAAGCAAACACGAGCTAACAAGAAATGTAACATTGCCACCACTTTGGAAGAAGGTGCAGGTTTCCTCTACGTATGACTACCCTTGAACTCTGCGCTTATGCGCAAGGTCTCTGACAACACAACCTTGAAAAGGGGTGGGAGGGGTGGCTAGTGAGACAAATAGCAGATGGTTGTTGTTGAAAGGTAAAAATTCTGTTCCACACCTCCCCTTTGTCGACAAAACAAGACCATATCCTCAAGCTCAAGCTACAGCAAATAGGACGGAGCGGTTTTGGGGATGAGAAAACGCGCTAAGTGAGGTGAAGTAAACAAGCAATAAGCGAATAGAAGCAAAAATAATTTATTTCATTCAGTCGTTTGGCTTTTTTTTTTTACAATGGCGTCAAAGCGTACGAGTTTACGCAGCACAGCATGAAAATCGCACAGAAAATTGTAGATGGCCTCACACTTAAACGCGCGAAAATTATATTTAAAATTCAGCCATCATCATTCAGCATGAGCAATTATTTTCTATATACAATGTGCGAATACTCCGATCAATTTTATATCGTGAAAATGTGACTTTATTCATATGTAAGCGATATAAATAACCCTAATGGGTAAATTTTGAACAAAAATTCTTTACAGATGAGCGAAATTGTGAGCCTGTGCCTGTTCTTCGACACCTACTCCTGCTCCACCCAATTTGGGTTTAAAATTGATGTTATTAACAGACGCACTTGTCCAGCAAGGCTATTTCAAACAGCTCCAAAGCGAGTAATGACTGTTCACTACAGTGAGCGACTTGTTAAGGCATCTTGGAGACGATCTTTAACAGAAACTTGCTTCAAAGTCCTTGTAGTACTGATAGATTGAGTTTATACTTGCTCATGAAGGTTGGAAAATCTGTTTTGCGGGCGAGTTCTGGAATAAAGAGAGAACGGATGTAAATAACATAATTTTATGTCAGAAACTCACTCCAAAAGTACGTCAAAAATAATTATTTGCACACCACGCGGAAAAGTAACCTAGCAGTGACTGCAGATCAAGAATTGGATTCCGTGGCTATGGAAGAAGTTGTGGCAGCTCGTCTTAGCTGGGTTTCACAGTAATGAAGAATAATTTCACACCCACTAGATACAGCAATAAGGCAAATGCTTACCCAAACTGGCGCAGAAGTACTTGGCCTCGGTTGGTACCGTAAACCAATCCACTCCCCACTAGGGGATGGAAGAATGCTGCATTGACACTCAGGTGAGTTCGTTGATCAGACTCGCTCTCATGCATGACACTCACGACGGGCTAAGGATAGAATTTCATTAGATATTATAATTGCTAGTTTTCACTGTCACACTATTAAAAATAAAAACCAAACCCGTTCAATAGATAAAGTCCAGAATTTGGGATATGAAAGGAGGTACAATATGTAAAGACCCTCGCCAAGATTCATGTCACTGAGATTTGCCAGGAAAGCTTGGATTCATCTCTCGAGGAACTCATGACCATTAAAGTAATACTTTTTCTAATAACAATGACTGTTCAGATAACAAAATCCCTAATCAAATAAGTCACTTTTTTTAACCAACGGGAGAGATCTCTCGGCCGCCATGTAAATGCTGCGTCACGCAAAGGCTGAGAAATTCAAGCGTGCTATATCACAAAACCAAGAACCCTTCCAAAGAGAAAATGGTGCAGCGGATAATTAGTCCGGTACACGTCATTAGGGCATTTCAGCAATTGAGATCGTGACGGCAGCAAGTACGACACAAATTACATTGCCGTCCGCAGGGATACCAGGCTGGCCCAAGTTTCGATAAAGGAGTTCCGGTCGGGGTTTGATCACCAAAAAAATATATTATGGTTAAAGTTTCTGATTAAATTTGTTTTACATAACTCTACAAGAGCATTTTGTGTATGGTTAAAGGCACAAAGAAATGCCTTTAGCACATAACTGGCCTAAAACAGCAATATCCTTGGGACATAGCCACATTTAACCTATCTTTATCTAATTGTAAGAACTACAGTTGACAGTAACATACCTTCACCTCCTCGGTGTTACTTTTGTTTTTGCCTGTTAGCCGGAAAATTTGCGCTATCATCTGCCGTGACGTAAGATGCCAGTGCAGTCGTCTGGCTGCTAAGCCAACCATTATGAATTGATTCTGGGGAGACAGGCTTATGGAGATGGCGTTTGGACCTAAAAAAATAAATAAAGTAAATAAATGTACTCTCATTACAACAAAACATTCAAAACAACTTGAGCAAACATGATGTCTTTATGAATTAAAATAACATATTCGCAACACATGCTGCATGTTCTAGCGTAAAACGAGAGGAGGAGGGGGGGAGAGAGGAAGGTAAAAACTTTATTGGAAACACTTCACATTTTTCGCACCCTCCCTTTTTAGGCTTGCCACGCTACAGGCTAGGCTCACAATTGATCCTTTGAGTATTCCCAGCTGCAAGTTAATTGATTAACTCTTTAAACCCTAAGATCCATACATTTCCATACATTTTCTGTAATTTTGATACTGTCGAATTACAGAAAACGTATGGGAAATCAAGGTTTTCTAAAAACTGATCACGGACTTCTTTGCACTCCAGAATTAGAGTATTGTTTCTTTAAACTCGTAAGTTCCTATTTTCAAAGAGAAAGCATCAAATATATGAATTCAGGAAGAATTAGCTGGCTTTGATTTCTAAAACAAATCTTTGAATTTCCTGCCATCTTGCCCTGATTACCCACGATGCAATTATGAACGTGAACTCCTTTATTAAAAAAAGATACGGTTAAAAAATACTCTTGTTTTTGAGTCCTTACCAAATTTCTTTGAAAATACACACTGTCCAAAATATTCCTTCTCCAGAGAATACACAGCCACCACTCCGTCATCTGGAAACCCTTGGGCACTGGGCACGAATGTGGCCAGAAGTTTTCCATCGTTAGAGATGTCGCAACTGGCATCGTTATGAATTTTACAGCTTGGTACGATCACGTTAGATTCACCTAAAAGTAACAGTGCGTTAGCATGGACTGTAAGGAAAAACAGGCAGCTATCCGAGTGTCACGTTGGCTACTTATCGGCGATCACGTCGCAATCACATGTCGTTTTTCAACTGACTTTTCTCAATATGGTGGCAGGAGACAATAACGCGGAGTAAGCAAACTTCCTTGTTCTCGTGTTACGGCGTTTTCACCGACCATTTTCTTTTTTAGAACGATTTTGGCGCGAATTAGAATAACTCAATACAATATAAGTCACACAAACCAGTCAGCCAATCCTACAAACCTAAAACTTGCATTTTTAATCTTTTGATGACTTTTAGTTTTCCCTTTTGATATCTTATTTCTCTAATGCACTCATAGATGGAGTTGAGCTTCCATTTTGCGGTTTAAGGTGCTCTAAAATGTATTTCAAAATAAACCGGTCCGTGAAAAACGCCATGACAAAGGCCTAGTATGGGAGTTGCTCTCTCCGGGGTATGGGCTGGTGATAGCGGCCTATGACCTTTACCACCCTTAATTGTCATCACTAAATTCATTTTATCAGCGTTTGACAATTGTTGGCTGAGTAACAAACCGCAACAGTTTGAAGTCAGCTAACAGTCCCCTGTCCACCCATTGAAGCCAGGCGCTCTTTCTTTCGCGGGAACCACTTTGCGGGGGATGATGAGAAGTGAAAAGAGTTCCAAGAACAACAACTTTTTACTCGGGAAAAGTTATCATTGTCGCGTACAAAAGCAGCCTTTGATGCCTTTATTTGGGCGGCCGGCGAAAATTGCCCCACCTTTGATTTCGCAATGGTTTGCGCAGTTGGTGATGTATTGTGCAAAACAAGGGAATCACCTTTAAGCCCTCGACATAATTTATACTGCCGAAACGGAAATAATGCTTTACTAATTCCACTTACTATCTTTCAAGTCTGGTAATTTCACTTGAGAGAAGTCCCACCACTGCAACCGATGTGTTGTATTGATTATATTACTGGCTACAGCCCCTTCGCCGCAACCCGCAAATGCTCCGGCAATGGCTCTATTAATCGCAGTCCGGAGAGCAAACTGGGGCCCTCCATTGGTTCCATCGGCGACCACCACCGCAGTATGCACGTGCCTAAACGTCCGTGCTGTTGCCGTAGCAACGGCTGTCCCAGATCCTTGGACTCCCGCTAAAGTTGCGAAGCTCGAGCTATGGTTGGAACCGTGAGAAAGATAACTAGTCCGCGATGAGCTGGGCCCCACATTTATAACTCGTCCTACACCAACTACGCGATCACTAGCTTCTTGGCTTGTTTCGTCAGCATTTGACACAGCACCGTCTGAATCAGAAGACAGGTATCGCGAGCTAAACGGCAGCGAGTCTTCCACGCCACCAGATGGTTCTGGGAGTGTGACAGTTTCAGTAGCAGAGTACATATCTGTATCACCAGCACTTAAACTCAAACTGACGCTTGAACTGGCTCCAGCTGAATCAGATTCAAGCATTACAGAGTTTGTCGCTGCGTCTGGCTCCATTGATTCACTGCTTGAAGCATTTTCATCGCCAGTCACTTGAAAGTTCCATGAATTGCTGTCACGTGCGCGAAATACAGCAAATACTCCTCTGTAATCTTCATTTCTGCTATCTTCAGAGTCCGTCTCAGTACTTGTAAAAGCCGAAGGCTCTCTTTCGCTACTAGAGGTACAGTTAAGATTCAAGTTCTCCCTTGATTCTGAAGAAACCGAAGCATTTGTGGAAATAGGATCAGAATTCAAGTCTCTCCCATGAGGACAGGACAAAGAATTAGCAGTAGAAGTTTCATGTGACGAAGTTGTTGAAGAGCCATTTGAAGGGCGCAGCATGTACGCAGTGAATTGATCACTGCCAACGCGCGAGCTTCCAATTGACTGGAGAAGGCGATTCATTGTAGACGAATGGCTGCAAACCAAGACAAGGCAAAACGTTAGATCTTTAAAGTACGCTACACACTAGATGAGAGGTTTTGGTGTAACCATTTCATTCACTAACAAACTTGTAAATGTCGGTCGTTTCGCCTTCAAGTCCATTCTTAACCCTAGTACTATGCTCGCGGATTTTTCGGCCCCTTCAGACCGAACCGCGCGTGGACTAGAACAAGGATCCATCGCAAAGGACTGGGATTCAATGAGAATTTCGACTCGATTAAGGAAAAACTTGACATGACCCTGGTACGGTTATTTTACTTCGCAAGATAATTATTAGACACCGGTAAGCTTTACTGCTATTTATACACTGCTATATTAATACGGACACTGAGGGGGCCATAGAAAGTGTCTGTATTATTTAAGTGCGTTGAATTTAAAGAAAATGTAAGGGCAGGGGGACTCCCCTGTGTAAGGGCTTTCTTTCCACAGGGACAAAGCAACTGTCTATAATAATGAGGTTTCCGTAAAAAGTAAGGGCAGGGGGACCCCCCTGAATAAGGGCTTTCCTTCCATAGGGACAAAGCAACTGTCTATAATAATGAGGTTTCCGTAAAATGTAAGGGCAGGGGGACCCCCCTGAATAAGGGCTTTCTTTCCATAGGGACAAAGCAACTGTCTATAATAATGAGGTTTCCGTAAAATGTAAGGGCAGGGGGACTCCCCTGAATAAGGGCTTTCTTTCCATAGGGACAAAGCAACTGTCTATAATAATGAGGTTTCCGTAAAATGTAAGGGCAGGGGGACTCCCCTGAATAAGGGCTTTCTTTCCATAGGGACAAAGCAACTGTCTATAATAATGAGGTTTCCCTAAAATGTAAGGGCAGGGGGACTCCCCTGAATAAGGGCTTTCTTTCCATAGGGACAAAGCAACTGTCTATAATAATGAGGTTTCCGTAAAATGTAAGGGCAGGGGACCCCCTGGGCTTTCTTTCCATAGGGACAAAGCAACTGTCTATAATAATGAGGTTTCCGTAAAATGTAAGGGCAGGGGGACTCCCTGAATAAGGGCTTTCTTTCCATAGGGACAAAGCAACTGTCTATAATAATGAGGTTTCCGTAAAATGTAAGGGCAGGGGACCCCCTGAATAAGGGCTTTCTTTCCATAGGGACAAAGCAACTGTCTATAATAATGAGGTTTCCGTAAAATGTAAGGGCAGGGGGACCCCCCTGAATAAGGGCTTTCTTTCCATAGGGACAAAGCAACTGTCTATAATAATGAGGTTTCCGTAAAATGTAAGGGCAGGGGGACCCCCCTGGGTAAGGGCTTTCTTTCCATAGGGACAAAGCAACTGTCCATAATAATGAGGGTTTCTGTAAAATGTAAGGGCAGGGGACTCCCTGAATAAGGGCTTTCTTTCCAGGGGACAAAGCAACTGTCTATAATAATGGGTTTTCTAAAATTCCATAGGGACCCCAAAGCAACTTTCAAATAATAATAGGTTTCTAAAATGTAAGGGCAGGGGATGAATAAGGTTTCCTGTCTATAAAATGTTCCTAAAATGGGCAGGGGACCCCCTGGGTAAGGGCTTTCTTTCCATAGGGACAAAGCAACTGTCCATAATAATGAGGTTTCTGTAAAATGTAAGGGCAGGGGGACTCCCCTGAATAAGGGCTTTCTTTCCATAGGGACAAAGCAACTGTCTATAATAATGAGGTTTCCCTAAAATGTAAGGGCAGGGGGACTCCCCTGAATAAGGGCTTTCTTTCCATAGGGACAAAGCAACTGTCCATAATAATGAGGTTTCCCTAAAATGTAAGGGCAGGGGACCCCCTGGGTAAAGACTTTCTTTTAGGGACAAAGCAACTTTCCATATGGGACAAAGCAACTGTCCATAACAATGAGGTCCATAATAAAATGTAAAAGGGCAGGGGGACTCCCCTGAATAAGGGCTTTCTTTCCATAGGGACAAAGCAACTGTCTATAATAATGAGGTTTCCCTAAAATGTAAGGGCAGGGGGACCCCCCTGGGTAAGGGCTTTCTTTCCATAGGGACAAAGCAACTGTCCATAATAATGAGGTTTCCGTAAAATGTAAGGGCAGGGGGACCCCCCTGGGTAAGGGCTTTCTTTCCCTAGGGACAAAGCAACTGTCCATAATAATGAGGTTTCCGTAAAATGTAAGGGCAGGGGGACTCCCCTGAATAAGGGCTTTCTTTCCATAGGGACAAATCAACTGTCTATAATAATGAGGTTTCCGTAAAATGTAAGGGCAGGGGGACCCCCCTGGGTAAGGGCTTTCTTTCCCTAGGGACAAAGCAACTGTCCATAATAATGAGGTTTCCGTAAAATGTAAGGGCAGGGGGACTCCCCTGAATAAGGGCTTTCTTTCCATGGGGACAAAGCAACTGTCTATAATAATGAGGTTTCTGTAAAATGTAAGGGCAGGGGGACTCCCCTGAATAAGGGCTTTCTTTCCATAGGGACAAATCAACTGTCTATAATAATGAGGTTTCCGTAAAATGTAAGGGCAGGGGGACTCCCCTGAATAAGGGCTTTCTTTCCATAGGGACAAATCAACTGTCCATAATAGTAAGGTGTCCGTATAAAGCAGGTGTTCGTAAAGCAAGGTTCGACTGTACTCTTTACTGCTTAGATTTTTCTTTATCCACTGTTAGGAGTGAAAAGAATAAGGAGTTTTAACTGTAGTTATGTTAAAGTTCCTACCTCTGAGGTATCGTTCCAGGGTTTGTCTGTGGTAAAAAAAATAGTTTCCAGTTAACAGCAATGCATTGACGTTAAGGGAGAAAGGTAGTGCAAATTTAGCAGGTGAGCTTTTGGGCGAACACATGAAAATAACATGTTGTCTTCACATGGGAAAAGATCACCTTTGCTACGGCTACATAATAAATTGTGTCTTTCATGGCAAAAAATTATTAAAGTAAAATGGTTCGCTATTCCATTGGTGTTTATATAATAAAATTAATGGAACATTACATGGTCGCTTGGTGGTCCAAAATTTTTCTTCTTGTGTTGAAAAATATTTCACTTGTTTACAATAGAAGAGAAAGTTTGTATCTCCGCGCCGCCATGTAATATTCTCCATATATGTATCTACAGTTTTCACAGTCCTCGATTTTCATGTGGCTAAATATCATTTAGGCAAAGTTAAACTCGAGCGAGCTGGCTAGCGGTCTTCTCCCACTTCGGTATGTGGCCTACGGGGAGGCCCGTGGGGAATTGCAGGGCTCCTTGTGTACCCTTTCGCTAGTGATGCTTTGCATTGTAGCTTTGCTTACTGATCGTAGCGGATCAATTTTTGCCTACTTGCGAATCATTGCGGATTCTTGCTCCCTCTCCTCCCTCCCTGCCTGGTGGTTTGGTAAGTATTTTCTGAGGTAAGTATTCTCTTAGGCAAGCATCTCCACTGAATTTATTCAGTGTGACGGTGCCGGTTAGTGGCTGCTCTTGGGGTGGTTCCTGCTTCCAGGGTTGCCATGGATACCTCCTCTCTGCTTATTGCATTTGGGCCCTTACTAACCTTTAAGGCACCTGCTCCCAAGCTCATCGTTAGCGATGAGTTTAAAGGGAGATACATACATGTACTAAACCAGTTGAAAATTAGCCAGATAGAATCATTGAGTTTTTGGGACTAAATAGGAAAAGATCGAACTACACATGCAAGATAACCAGTTTAACCAGGCAATCAGAGGGCATACCAAGCATATGGTTTGGTTCAACAGACATGTATTTTAATATATAATGTACATGTGTTGAGGTTCAATTTTATCTCTAATTTAAATTTTATTATCCTTTGTTTTAAAAACATTATCATATATTTCTATGACATAAAACAAACCGAAAGGAAAAAAAACGTTTTCTCATTTGCGTGAAAAGAGTAATTTTTCTACTTTGGATTTGTACTGTAGGGTTCATAATCTTTTCCAGTCCTGAAAAATGAAATTCTTAAATTTCATGACTCTCCAGGTTTCCCATGACCCGTACGAACCCTGCATTGTACACAGAAGAAATTACGATAAAGAGATTTATACCTTGATCAACTTACCGTTTCAGATGCAATATTTGTAACCGCAGTAAGAATATGATCACCGAGAGGAGAAAACGCTACAAGCCTGAAAACAATAGAGAGATTAAAAGTCACGTTTACGACAAACAACAAAGATGAGATTCAAGTTGACAATTCTCACAACAGAAAATGAGCAGATAAAAACTGTCCAGGACAGTTTTTATAGAAAAAACTGGGGTGAAACTACTTTTGTAACCTTTTTTAGGTGACCACTCGATATAATGGTTTGATCTCTCTATTCACTTCATGCAATAGGCTACTCAGAGTATGCAAAGAACTTTTAGTGACAACATAGAAGTACACCATGTACATTATATGGAGAGATCCTCACTTATTCTATTGTCATAAGAAACAGCAATAAGAAACAGCACCTCCTAATAGCAGTCACCAGATCTTCAAATATTTAGTAGTTACTTATGACAGATTGGATTGTACAGCTGTACTCTTTTCATGAGCAGCACACACATCCAAAGTTGCATGCAACAGCGGTAAGAAAAAGATTATGCAGTTCCAAATACTACTGCAAATCGTTTATTAAGCCCCTCCCTTTTCAGGAGAAGAAAGTTAATAGCCCCCCCCCCACCTCCCCTTCCCTAATTATTATTCACTAATAAATGATAGACTGTATTAATCAATCATGAGTGTAAAACTTCCGGTGGACTGACTGATCCAGGGTGGTTTATTCACCAACTACAAGTTCATATTTGTTTTTTATTCTCGGCTGCATGACCACTAACTTGTACTTGACCTTTCACACTTTGTATTCTAGTTCTGTATGGAGAACTGATACCATTGCTTCTTCTAAATTAAATGAGCCCTCACCTCTCAAATAAGCCCTCCATCTCTATAAACAAAATTAAAGCCCCCCCACCTCAAATGGGTTGCTCTCGAAAATAAATCAGCCCCCATTGTTAAATATTCACTTCCTTTTTATTGCGTCTGATTGACAGATAAAAGACCTAAAAAAAGGGTGTGAGGAAAGAGGATTTATGATATATGAAATTTTTAATAGCGATCATTTCATCGTCATTTTTGCTGGATTTATGGGCTAAGTTAATGACCAGCCCCCAACTGGCTTACTAGCTCAGTTGGTAAGAAGGCTGCACCGTGATCAAATCCTAACTAGCCTGAGTATTTCAGGCTTTCTTTTTGTAATGGTATAAATTGCATCTTTAACTGTGACCATCTTCTTTTCATTGATCAGTATCATTAGGCCAGTACCTGACTTTTTCCTCAGCTGAAGCAGTTTCAACATAAGCGAATGGCTTTGGTTGATCCCAGCTCCAAAAGAAAAGTTTGTTGCTGGTGGCAATAAGAAGCACATGATCTGTGGGATGAAAGGCAAGTGAAGCAATCACAGCTTTGTCTGGAGGTGTGTACACTTCACTGTCACCTGTCTGCACAATAAAGAATCATATAAAATGAAATTAATTTTCATTCAAAAATCTGCAAATGGGCCTACAGTGTAGCTTAAGGCTAAAAGCCACATTTAAGTAAGTGTTTCAAAATAAATAACAAAAAAACTTGACATAAAGTAGTCGTTTTGTTCCAGTTCATGAACATGTACTACACTTGTGCACCTGTCCATGACCTTTTGTGGTTGGTCTAGTTTTTTCTTATCATTAAAGTATAAAAAAAATGTTCTTCTAACTGATCAGGTCAGTAAAAATGATCAGGTCAGTAAATGTTTTCAAACAATTTAGACAACTGATTACCATTTTTGTTTCTTCATTAATCAATCCTGATAACTCTTTTCAAATCAAGTGGTAGTGGTAAAATTTTAAAAGCTACAGCACCTCAAAGGGTTCCAACTTAGGGGACTGGCTAAATCAATTTAACAGGTGACTACTTACCCCTTTGACAACTGCTTGGTCATTATCATTTCAAATGGAGGCAAATTAAAATTTTCACTCCTGGGCCATTTAGATTTCAGTAAAAGTATAAGCTGTATGTAAGTTGGTAAGTACAATGTATGCATTCAGCAAGGATTCATGTAGTTCTTTCCACAGGTTCCTCATTTTGCAAATTCTGACCAATCCAGACAATGTTACACACAAAAAATCCAAAGTCCAAATTTTGGCTTATGCCCATGCACAAAAAAGCTGCTTTGTTACATCCAATTAGCAGGAAAATATAACTTTAGTGTTGCAAATCTCACGTTTAACCATTCCCATACTAATTGGCTTAAATCAAACGGACGATTTGGTAAAAAGTACACTTTTTTTGCTACCTGACTGTGCTTTCAAAAAAACTGACTTCATAGGGGTAACATAACTTTCCCGTAAACCAGTAGTTTTCATTGTGGCCCCCAAGGTTAAGAATCCCAATTGGCCAGAGGCAAACCAGTTGGCTATTTTTATTACACGCATGACCAAGGAGCTGAACTTGGGACTACCAAGAACAAAATCCAGCTAGCGGTCAGGGTAGGGATCGAACTCAGGGCCTCCAGATTACAATTCCACTGCTCTAACCACTTGGCCACATTGCATTAATTTTAACGTTAATTTTGGAATGTACCTTTAAATTCCAAACTCTAACTTGTCCTCCTAAGCAGCCAGATGCAAGCAGTTCATCAGATGATGGGTGAAAAGTAATGCACCATGGTGTGCGAGGATGACCTCTTAAAGTTTTAAGACACCTGCCAGTTTTACAGTCAACGATACGAACAGTGTGGTCCCCATGTGAAGATGCCATTGTCATCCTTCAATTAAGCACAGAGAGGTTTGTAATTTAACATACATGTACAGCAGGTAAAAGACAATGTGGGTGTTAAAAGCTAGAGTCATCTGGACTACTACAAAATATTACAGTTTAGTAAAATCCAACTAGTGGTCTATTATCAATGCTCTGTTCTGATTGCTTGAGCTACTACTAGGATATATGTTATAGCCCCCTAGTAGCGAAAAGCAAGTCTAGCTTTAACAAGCTAATTTTTTTTATTCTCAATATTTTTGACCAACTAGTTGGATTTTACTAAAACAATTATTCCTCTCGCCCTCATGGCCTCTGAGTCAATAGCCCATTCGGCCTTCGGCCTCATGGGCTATTGACTCATGGGCTCTGATCAGAGCCCATTCAGGCTCGAGGAATAATTGTTAAGTATATTGTACATGTCAGTCCTTCTCGCATGTCAGTGTACCTTACAACTACTGTAGACTGACTGGCAGATGTTACTTTTATGTCATTGTCATGTTAATTTTACAGGCAGGGAACTACTATGTGTCCTAATACAGACCTGCGAGTATTTTTTTTCCTTTCAAAGCAGTTCTTGTGCTTCAAAAAAGGTTTTCTGGTCAGCCCATCTACAGCTAAACTGTTCCCTCAACACTGTGCAGTGTACATAGGAAAGTTTTTACGAGACAAAGAAAAGCCAAACTACCCAAATTGGTGTTAAAAAATCATTTGCTAGTCTGGCTTTCATTTCTGGTACAAAATATACATGTAACTTTCCAATGGCCTTGTCCTGGGATATACAACAACCTTTCCACAATATTTCTGGTGTTTACTGTTGAGTAACCCTGCAGTAACTACACGAATTGCACTAACTCTTTATTGTACTTACTTGTCAGGGCTAAAGCTAATCAGAAAAGTTGACTTTGGCGATCCTGGTAAATCACATTCCTGTTAAAAGAGACACAAAAAACAGTTCAAGGAACTCTCAAATCTAACACTTTTAATTCAATGTACAAACATCAAAAAAAAATTTTGTATGATACTAAGTCCATGTCCAATTTCAACATTATTTTTTCACCTCAATAATTGTTATTTTTAACAACGGAAACAAAAATTGTCTGAGTTACAATAAGTTTATTATAACTTTCCAAGACTGCAGCCAGTTATAAGAGCAAACATCTAACAATAATTTTGTCCCATTGCATGTGAGTAGAAGCCAAAACTAACAAAACATACATAATTCCTTGTCTCTTCAGCCAAAACATGTAATGTCAGCTCGACAGTCAACTTTTAACTCATTGGCTGCACATCAGCTGATAATTAGCATTATATTTTTAATAATGAAATCAACATTTCATTTTTAGATTCAAGACTCACAAGGACTAATCCTGACAAAAAATGGCCTAATAGAAAAAGCAAATTTTAGGGTGCACCATCAAAGGGTGTTTTTGACATTTTGATTCAGTTTATTAATTTTATTCAAGGATGTAATAATTATTGATTCATTTTTTTAACGAATTATTTAATAATATTAACAAGATTTAAGTCACAAAAAGTGCTTAAAGTTTGGTCACTCCTGGGAATGTCAAATTTGAACTTCTAGAAAAGTCCACATACGGTTATAAAAATAGAAAAGACAAAAAGAAAAATGTAAAAAGCAAAGCAGCAACTGAAAATATTTCAGTTGTATTGTCACACCATGGGGTTTATACATGATTGTATGTAGGTCCATGGAGTCAAAAGTTAGAGCTGTTTTTACATCTCCATAATATGAACTCTGCGGGGAGAGTCATAAGAGTTACATGTAACGTGGAATTGTCTTATTACAGTGTTCATGTTTAGGCCAATTTATTTCAGCTTTATATACTTGTAAGTACACTGTAGATGTGAAAGAACAAACACTTGATGATTACACTGCAATTCTTTTTCAATATACACTGTAGGCATTTCTCTTTCTCCCATTTTTTAACCATCTTCTCTGAGACCCAATTATATTTCAACACACTGCCTGAACATTAGTGCGGTTAATAACTATCCTTCAGCAACTAATTCTCTCTGAGGCCCAAGATTTCAACATACTGCCAGCACAACTCTTACAAGTTACAGAACTAAACAGAAATTACATTAGCACAACATACACTGTATGGCAGTTCCTCAGCAAGGCATGTATGCCTCACATTTTGAAGTAACAAACAACTAATTGGCACTGCCAAATAAATTTGTTTCTGTGTTATTATTAGAAACTTTTTTCTTTCGAAGTCTTTGTTACATGCTAAAAATAACTTGACCACCTATCAGTGGAGGTTAAGATGGTCACGAAGGAGAATGATCAATGACATGTTTCTTTTTAAAGCAGGAGCTGAATAAATTAAAAGAATAATACACTGGAATTCCAAAAATCCTTTGTGATATTTAAAAATAGAACTATCCTGCCGTCTAAACACTGTTAACATCAGCTCTTTATAACAGTAAAACAAAAACATCGTTCAAAATTTTTTAACCTCATGTTGTTTTGTAATTTCCAAGTTACCAGAGAAATTTTTTACAAAAAATTCTTGCTGTAATCTCTTATTTTATTCCCTGGCAATTTATACTTTATGACTCAATTCATCATCAAGTCTCATCGCGCCAGTAGGCGCATAAGGCCTCCACGCTGTCTGACCAACATCTTTCTGTCTTGTGCAACTGCTTTGGCTACTTCCCAGCTCTTCCACCCAGCTTTGTTTCACTCTTTCTCGCCATGGTCCTCACATTCCAGCAACTGATGATCGTCTGTCGCTTGGGGGCTACTATCGGGCCCATTGGCCTTTGGGCCGATGGGCAATTACTTGGATTTTATATCTTAATCCACTTAAAAGTTTAACTAACAAAGAACTCCCTACATTCTAAGTAGGCTTGTCAGGCATACTAACCAAAAAAATTAGAAAGGGGTGCCTAGAACGCACAGCATATGAAAGTTTGGCTGTTTCTTTCTTGACTCACCTATATATACACTTTTGCTAATAATAATATTACTATTTTCCCTTGGATTTGTTCAATTTTTTCTCTTCAAGACAAAGACTATGCTGTACATGTGCATACATATTTTCCTCCAAAGAATGAGTGACAAAAAATGTGAAAATTTTAAATCATGAATGCCAACTAGAGAAAGTGTTTCCTTCCTGACATCACATAATGATAACTTCATTGTTTTTGAAATGTTCTGTTAAATAATATAGATTTTTAGAGTGATTTTACGTGAACCGTAAAACAGGTAATAACAAACAAATAGTGCCAAATAGGATGAGGTAAACAAGAGAATTCAATGGAATTAGTGCATAATGATGCTTGGTATTCGTAGTATTGCACATCGAACATTTTTTTCACTGTAAAAAAATCAAAACAAAGCAATATTATCTGTAAACCTCGACAAATTTGATATAATGTACAAATGCACTATACACAGTATGGGAGTGATCACGTGCAACAAGACATATGTAGGACATTAATAAAACGCATGAAAGCATAACTTTCTGTACCACAATCCTACAGGTTTTTGTTTTCTTGTGTAAATTATGGCTCTTGTTATTAGAACCTGACTATGATCACTAAGTTTAAATTGAAGACGAAGAATAAAATGAATTCCATCAGTAGAAGTAAAATAACACCACAGTAAAAATTGCATAGAAATTACTTAAAGGTAAAATTTGTCCATAATAAGTAGCACTAGTACTAGAGGATAAAAAAGATAATAGTTATTTTTAAATTATTCTTACATCATCATCATCATCATTTTGTATATAGCTGGTTCCCCAAAAATAAATGTGAAAATGCAAAAAGGTGCCACTTCTGTTAATTTAACCTTTTCAATCACTTCAAATTAATTATAACCAAGTCGTCCACAACAAAATCAGAAAAAGTGCAACCTTTACTTTTAAAAACTATTATTTCTTTATTTAACTTTGTCATAATGATTACAAAAATAGTTTTCACTAAAATCTGCAAAGATAAAAAGGTTGCTACTTATGCTATGCTTTGAAAAAATGTTTCATGTAATTAGCTAGGGCATAACAGCCCAACAGCTGTTTTTTTCAGTGATCATTGTTGTTTTTTAAAAAAGTTCTGCATTCCAAAATTGCTTTTTTTTAAAACTGTGTTCTGCTCGATTTTGGCTCCAATCTTATCCCTTCATACCATGACAAATGTTGAGTAGCAGCGTGTCGGAAGCAAATTAAAATAAAAGATCCATGTTAAACGTAAATAATGGTGTGACATTGAACCTTTGAACTTGGGGATAGCTCAGTAAGTGCGTCAACTTGACACAATAGCATAGAAAAGAACAATGAAACCTCCATTTTGCCGCAACCAGTATCAAGTGACCATCCCATTCCCTATTCTCAGTCACTTCAAGTAAGCAGACATCAAGCCTTTGATACTCTCATTTTGATTTGATATTAAAAATACAGTGTATGATGAAGGTTAGGTTTCTTGAAATGCCCACCTACCACTCCCCTAAGCTAACATTAATACTTACTTGTCGCTCAAGGCAAAATGATGGCTCAGGGGAGGGGTAGGTGGGCAGTTTCCCAGAAACCTAAATTGATCCAGAAATACTGTACAGTCTGAAATAGAACTTGGAAGCTGATTGTGGACCAGTGACGCTGCTTCCATTGCGTGTTTGTTTCAAAATAAAGTGACGTTTCTGCTAAAGATTATGGTACTTCATGACGAACCTCTGTTGAACAGCAAACCTACACTGAGTGACGATTTGCTGGTACCTCAAGGGTGGCCGCTTACGGTATATAGAGGTTCAACTGTAAATGGCGAATTTTAGTCTAAGTCTGATATTTAAATTTGCAAGGGAGAATTTGCAGGAAAGTGTTGTTCAATAAAAATTATGACACCAAAGACTACACAGCTATCTAAAGTGGGTGTACTCAGCTTTGGTTGCCTATAAATTTTCAATCTTTCAGAATGACAGCATCTTACAATTATGATGAGGCACTACTAATTATAAGGAAACCCGGTTTCTTAGACTGTGCCATCTTCTTTTCACAATGAAAACAATATTGGCACACATGACCAAGGTCATGTTTTAGCTTAGGCTATTTTTATAATAATACAGAAAGGATGTGATCATACATGTATGATTCTTTTCTTCCTGTTTCAGCCTTTGAACAGGACAAAAAATCAAGCATACCGACATCTCAAACCAGACTGAAATGTTCGTCACATCTAACAAATTTCTAAAAATTCAATGAGGCATAGGGCTGGAATGCCTGAAAATGCAGTGAACAACTTAATGTGGTTTAAGAACTTTTTTGTGCTGTCTCATTAATTACCAACACTTAAGTTCAAATAATCCAGCTAAGCTCAAGTGGATTTTTCATGGTTTTGATCCTGTACTGTATCTTATTAGTCACACTGCCAAAAATAATTACCCCTGACTTTTTTCTTAAAACAACATCAACAACTCAACTCAATTTACATGAAACAAGGAAAAATGTTGATGTACAGCTGTATGGGTACATATCAACATAATGTAACTAGCAAAAAAGATAAGGTACATGTCCTTATGCGAAGGTCAAGGTCTAGGCCTAGGCCTGTGTCAATGTCAAGGACACAGTCTATTAGAAGTCATCAACAATACCAGAGAATTAATAGTGCCTAAAGCATTCTGTCTCAAAACTTGTAAATGAATTATCTTTTGGGGATCTCAACTCAATAACTCAATGTCAATTCAGTTTTAAAAAACTTCTATATATTAGTTTAAGTTGCAAGTTGTTCAGCTTGAATTTTCTACCCAGAAAAATGTTACAAAATATTCAAAATAATCATTTCAAACTCTGTTTAGCATGTTTGAATATATACAGTGTATAAATAACGCATGAGAATTTTACCCTTCTTCTCAATAACAATTCTTTAGAAGTTGTTAAAACAGGAAAATATCTTGCAATGCACGTTATCGAGGTGAATGGCTTATATAAAGAGGCGGCCGCTCTTCATTCATTTCTTGATCACCAGCAAAAACAAAGTATCAACAGGATGTGGTCTGATTTAAATTCAGTGAGTCAAGGTCAGGTAATTAAAGAGATGTATTTGCGCATCATTGTGCCTTAAAATACTTGAGAACTGATGAATTTGTTAACTATGATGGGTCTGTATTTGGCGCATATAAGTCGCAGCTCTTGAAAGGTCCAGGCGATCCGACAATACTGTTTTCTTAAGGGCTTTCAAGGTCACAATAACAGCCTTCACGTACAATAATCTATCGCCACTTAAAAAAACAGCTACTTAACAAAGCCCTTACACTGTGTTCCAAATAAGTTTTTCTACTCGATTTTGGCTCCGATCTTACTCCTTCACATCGCGACAAATGCCGAATAGCAGCGTGTGGGAGGCAAATTAAAAATAAAAGATCCACGTTAACGTAAACAATGGTGCGACATTGAACCTTTGAACTTGGGGATAGCTCAGTACGTGCATCAACTTGACATTAACAAGCGGGGTTTTGTCTGGCGAAATAATAATATAATCAATCTCTCGGACTCGAGATCATTAATTAAAATAAAAACTAGACATATTCAAAAAAGGGGGGACATTATCACCGGGAAACCGGATGCTATTAATAGAATGGATATGAAAAAAATTAAAGTGTCAAAAGTATAGAGCCAGTACTATTTGCGCAATTTTGAGGGGTTTGCCCTGTCGTCACCACAACGAAGAAACTATCAAAATGGAACAGGAAATGACACAAGAGCAAAATCTAACGGAGGTCAAAAAGTTAGGAAAAAAGTGACATTTGAAAATAAAATAGTACTACGATTTATTTCGAATTTGTGGTTAATTTTAGTCCCGAGAAGTCACACAATCTTCAATCAAATTGAAAACGACCTGAAAACAAAATTAATAGTAACACCATACCGGTGAAAAATCTCATAAAGAAACATACCTTCGTTCGATGGCAGGATAAAACAGAGGACTCCTCGGCGTAAGAAAGTAGTAAATCCCGATCACTTGCATACTGGACATTCGTCTCTCTTCTGATCAAAGCGCTAAGAACGCTGGGTTTCCTTCGACGTGCCGCGAACCGCATCGTCAAGACTTCCTCTGTGGAATGCCAATAACAACCAACTTGGGACGAATTTAGCCGTCGTCTCACTTCGTAAACGGTCGATCGACCTTCAAGAATACGGAGTATACTCTTTTAAAGTTACAGGTTCATATATAACGAAACGAACACCGACGAAATTCATTTCGATCAACACAAACACCGCTTACCTCCTACGTCAAACTCCTTGAATGGACTCGGCGAATATGCCGGTAAACACGTCGAAACCGTTTCAATACGGGTAATTTTTCTTCGGGGACAGATTTTTCAAGCATCACTATGCCATGAAGAACCCACTAGACCTTACAATTTTGGCATCAAGCGTATATTTTCGATTTTTTTCCACACTAAGAAATGAGGTTTCCCGCCAGTATTTTTGGGACTGTTTGCCGTCAATTTGGAATGCTAACGCGATATCGCGTGCCACTGTCCTTTATCTGCTGACACCCACTCAAAAAGCCCGCATTCTCCTTGACCAGTTGTCCAGTCGAACGCATGCGCTGTCAAGAATTTGACGTGGCTTTTATGACTTTTCAAAAATATTTAGCAAGAAATGGGTTTATAACTTGAATAAAACTCACACAAACGTTTCGGAAAATGCTTCCCATAACAGATTACCAAAGTAAGCGTTCTCTGATCCTTTTAATTTTTTTTGGCTTGAGTTTTTAGTAATTTTATGGGTGATTTTTGTGTCGCAGAAATCGGCATTGGAGTGTCCGGATTTGGAGTGTTCTTTCTATTTCTCGGTGTACTGTTCTTTTTTGACAAAGGTCTCTTAGCCATTGGAAATGTAAGTAAATTTCCGTTATTTTCTTTTATTCATTTCCATGTGGTAGTTGTCTTAGCTAGATTCCTTAATCATTGTAAGCGTTTTAATTAATTGTAGCTAACATGCATGGTTTATTTTAACAATATTCGACAGAGCAGACCTTTCAATTTTTAATATTGAGCGGTGGATCTTAGTTAGAGTCCTAATGCGAGTTACAGCTGAGAGGCTGTATTTAAATCTTAAATCCTCAACACTAAGATACTGATTCTCCTCACTTTTGTTTTTTTTACTTTCCTAGAATGCAACGAAATGACTGTTGTATTCCAACTTTAATAACATCAATAAGGCAAATCTCATCCACTGACAAGCCTTAGAAGCACTTGGGTGCACCACCCAGATAGTATGAATCACAACTCTGCAATAATTTTAATTTCCTTATGGTACTATTTTTTCAAAAATTAAATAATAATTGCATATGCCAACTTTCCCAAATTATCTGGGGCTCCTGCATATGGCAGAAATATCCTGGTCTCTCATATGTCACTAGCAAAAAAAGTGAATTTTTACGGTCTCTACCTCATGTAAGACTTTGTAAAATGTCCTAAGCCACAGCTATGTTGTAATAGCCCACGTTCAATATATTAAAATTCTGACATGACTCCGAGGCTTTAGGGTGAAAATGCAATTTTTTTACGACTCCATTGTCTCACAATTCACAGAAGAGATTTGAGCACAAAGAACACCAAATCAAATATAGAAAAATGACCAGAAAGCCTCAAAGTCATGTTAGAATTTTAATATAATCGTGTTTGAGGATCGGGGGTTGGGGGAGGTTGATTATTGATATTGGAAGGTGTTACTACGAAAGAGACAGTCTCCAAATTTTAGATCTCTAGTAGCCCGGGTAGCAAGCATTTCCAATCGAGTTATTGTGAAAGTTGGAGCAAGAGCAAAAAAATGGAAATGGAAGGGACAGGGGTGAAGAGGAAACTCTTGCCCGCAAACCCCATGATTCTGGAAATACCCCTTAATGCTTGCCTGCAAATCCCATGATTCTGGAAATACCCCTTAATGCTCGCCTGCAAACCCCATGATTCTGGAAATACCCCTTAATATTTCATGGTTCGGTTCAGTTGTAAATTGACAGCTTGTCAACATACCAGACAGTGTAACGTGAATAACATTAACGAAACAGATTACCAGATTTGTAAAATTTACTATGGTCTCTCTAAAACAAGCTGCACACAATTGCAGAAAACTGTAATAAAGTAGCTTTATGATACAAGAAGGGTGAAACTCCAATCCTGTTGTTGTTGTCCTATTGTCAAGTTAAATTTGGAACATTATGTGGCTTTATCTCATCTGAAACCTTGTCAAAATGTCTCAAAAAAATGATTTGTTGAGAACAATATTCACCCCGCCGGCTATGAGTTTTGCAGATCAGCTGCTATTTGGCCAGTGATGAAAAGTTTTCTACAATACTTAATGTATACTCTGTCAGGAGTACACCGTTAAACCTCTAGGTTGGCTGTCTGCATTAATGTAATGTCTACATTTTTTGGTCTGGCAGAAAATCCATACATTCACTCTTTTTAACTTCCTCTCAAAAGCCTCCCCTTCACGATTATTTTTTAGCAGCCAGTTAAATGCATCTCAGCTGCAAAATAACATCTTCACAATAGCCATTTAAAAATAAAGGATAATTTATTTACAAAATGATAGACCCTCTTTACCTTTGTTGCTGTATTTTGTTGACATTTTTTTTGTGTTTTGTGTTTTGTTTCATTAATGTATTTTGATTGTGTTGTATATAATACATGTATGCCATAAAAAAGGCGATTTAAGATAAAAATGTGGACTGCTTTTTCCCAAAAAAGTGGTGTCACGTTACAGTAGTACCTCCCTATTATGGCCATTATTGTACAACAGTCTCTTGTCTCTGTCCCCGCAAGAGCATTTGTCGAGAGGTTCAAATTTAATAACAGTTTTGAAACCGTGGGGGTTTCATTAGGGTTAGATACATAATTACAGCAGCGTAATTTTGGGCATAATGCTATTGTCGAAGCATCAAGCATAATGCCGGTATAATGGGCATTTTTTTAGCATAAAGAGAATGATGATGATAACAAAACTTATGTTTCCCCTTTCCATAATGGTTATAACTGTAATGAGAAATTTTCACTTTCAAGTGCTTCTAGTAAGGATTTGACATAATCAAAGACTTGGCTACTACAGGCCTGATCCCCCCTGCATCATTATGTCAGGCTGCTGAGGCTTTCCAGTTGTCGGTCCACCATGGCTGCCATTAATTAATGCAATAAAATGTTTTGTTTCTGGCTTATGGAGGGTTTTTGGCTGCGGGGATAGAAAAGGGCATCAAAATAATATAACCAAGATTAGTCGAGCACAGCACTTCTTCTCTGAGCATAATTTTCGGCATAATGCTGTTGTTTTGAGGATGATGTTCAAAAGCATGACTCTACAGTTCTGAGCGTAATGTATCTAACCCCAGGTTTCATTGTTTAGGAGTCAGCTACCAGCAGTGTACAGATCAATCTACATTTGTATTTTACTGAAACCCCTGCCTACTTTGCCTTGATTTTGCTTACTGTTATGAGAATTACCTGGAACTGCTGCTTAGTTCAACTAAACCCTGTCCACATGTACTCAGATAAAATGATTTTTGTAAATGGAGATTTTTTCCCCTCTTTCCCTTCGTTCCATATGTTAACAGCTTTTCTGGGCACTAAAGTTGCCAGTTTTTGAAAATGGTCTGGCTCCAGAGTGGAGTTTTTTGAAAGTGCTGGCTTTTTGTTTTCTTGTGGACAGAAGAAAATAGAGGGTTTCATACAGGATGATGACATACATGATACAGTGCATGCTCTGTAATGGACGCTGTTGTATTTACCGTAATTTAGCATTTTAACGTGGATTTTAAATAGACTATGTGTGGGGATTTCACCCTGAAAATTTTGCACAGTACATCACAGAAGTCATCATGTAATAGTCATACAGACAGCAGTATGGGTCTTTTATGTACCACGTTTAGTCAGATCGGTGAAAGTGCTCTGAGATGCGACCTATGGGGTTTCATCTTCATCTGAGATGACTAGAATGTCTAACCTGAGATGACTAGAATGTCTAAGTTTTTGTAAGACCAAGAGTTTTGTCCATACGGTAATCAAACCCGAGCCTTGACTGCTCTGACCCCAGGGTCCAACCTCTTACCCTTTATAGCCATTTTTGATAGAACAGGAACCCTTCCGCATACCTTCTATTGAGAAATTAACGGTGCCCCTACAACATACCCAGTTTAAAACTTTGCATCCCTTTAACTGCTGTAAATACACTGTCTTTAAAACATGAATAAATCACTAAGCCAGAACATTTTCTCAACTTTTCTACAGCCTTAAAATGCATCTGTAAGCCCTTACAGATTTCCCACACCTTTCATACTTTAACAAGTGAAATCCCTGTTTTTTCATAAAGCTGTTAGCCATAAGGCCTTGAAAGGGAGTGTTTGTGTTCATGTGATGAATTTTAATTTAAAGTTTCTCTTGCACAAGAAAGGGACTGCACCCATTTGGACCAACAGTCTTGCCTGAAAGTACAGTGTGTTTTTGTGGTCTTTGTAGGACATATCAAACATTATGGAGAGAGATTAAGGTTGCAGATTTACTTGTAAAGGGAGGTATTATTATTTTGTTGTGTTAAATAAACACGCAGTCAATAGAAGGTGAAGTATGGCAGTTGTACACTTGATAATATTATGATTAGATATAACTTCTAAGAGTTTTTTCAGTTGCTTAACTTCTACTATAGTTTGTTTCCATTCTTTTAATATTGATCCAAGATTCCTTTGGCTTAGAAAATTGAATATAAAAACAGCATAATTTTTTTTTACCAGATTAATAGACTCATACTAATCTATAATTCTACAGTGGCTGTATTTCCGTTTTGGATATCATAAATAAGGCTAATAGTTTTAACTAGGTATCTGAAGCCTGTTTGATCCTTGCCGCCAAATTATTTCTTTGACATAACTTCCCTTTATCATGTGATAAAATAATACGTAAATAGTGTTACTTGTATCTCGTCAAAGCCATCAAAAGGTTTTTTCCCTTTGGACAAGCTTAAGTCATGTAGCATTTATAAGTTAGAAAGTTAGATAGTAAATAGTTTTGCTATTATTTTTCTTTGTCATTTGAGCGTAGTTTAAAAGGAATAGCTATTTGTCAGCCTCCACAATAGCAAATAATTATTTCACTGTCTGTAGACTTGACTTGGATCTACAGCTGTATGTATTTCATCCATGCACACCTGTTTCCTGTCAGGAAACAAAATTTCCCACAAAGGCAGGTGAAGTAAGGCATGAATTTCAAAAACAATAAGACAGTCAAGTGAACATGTAGACATCCGCCCGTCTTTTTTTCTTTGTGACTTCCTGTTGTTTTTCAACCTTCTGTTATCAGTCTTGTTTGTTTTTAATGAAGTAACTTAAAATAGTTTGACCTGATTCAGAAGTTTGACCTCCATGCATTGGTAGCTAGATATGTTTGTAAACAGGCGATATTATTTGACACTGTTCAGTAGTATTAATTGAACAAGAGTGTCATTGTTGTCATGGCATAACTTTAGTTATGGTAAAATGGCATTCTATTGCAATTCTGTTAATTTTCTCCAACACAAACTTGTTTGAGCTACATGTGCATGATGAGATAAAAGTTAAATTGAAAAAGGAACCTTTTTTGTATCCTTACGCTAAATAATGCTTTTATCTCAGAAACATTCTAATGATATAATTGAATTATGACAATCCAATTAGCTAATCACAAAGATAATCACAATTATCAATGAAATTGGAGTCTCATTTCTGGTAAAGTATGATAAAATTGCCTTAGGGGATTTGTAAGACTTGTAAAACAATACTTATTACATGTAACTATAGCAAGAATACAATGTATTTGCTCTCTTTATAAGAGATTGCCATGTCCCATTGTGATAAGTCTCACAAAATATATTTGCCTGATAACTTGCAGCATCTCCTTATGGACAGTGAGTTTGTCACCCCTGGCCCTGTGCCCTGCATACCTGTGGCATTAAAGTCCCTTAAGACGCAAAATAATTCACAGCAGGCATCTTGCAGGATGCTAAGATCAATCACTGATAGATTGTTCAGTCTACATGTTAAAGCGTTTTTCAAGAGTATCCCGTTTGTGTGATTTTTTGTCTGTCATAAAACTATCCACAATTCAAATGAGCAAAATATTTTTTTTGCCTACAAAACAGGTACAGGGTTAATTTCTGAACAAACAGGCAGAAGCATTTCTTTGCTCAAAATGCTTTTATTTTTTTTTTGAATGCTGCCCTTTTAATTTACGTAAGGTGTGGTTATATGGGACTCTTTTACCGTAGTACCCTGGGAAATTGGTGTGGTGCATGTGACTGGACTTCCTCAAGATAAATTTACCATGAGAAATATCCACGGATACATGTAAAAGAAGAAAGAGACTGCCTGAAACATTTAACATGGTAAATAGCTAGGGTGTTTCGATACCCAAGGCACCAAAACCAACCAGAATTCTTCATTGAGGGGGGCGTAAGGGGGGTACCAATACCGCAAAACCGCACAGAAATACTTGTAAATACCTCACAGAATAACATAAGAAAACCGGAAACTGCACTGAAATTACCTGAAGATTTCTAAATATCGCAAACCGCTTGGTTTTGTAAAACCGCCATACCGCAACTTAAAATAAAAATCACCGCAAAACCGCACCAAAAATAGAGCATCACTGCAAACCCTTACACCCCCCTATTGATTAGACACCAACATGAAGCCACAATAAAAATTGTTTATTTTAGTGGGTTTCTTGCGTGCTGTTTCAGGAAAAGATCGATGTTGATGTGGCAGACATTCGCATTGAAGTGAAAGTAACAGGAAAATTTTTAAGCTTTTTAAGGCAAGACTTCAGCTCGTTTTTTGGGCCAGATGTAGGAAAGATAATTATTTACCACAAATTCGTTCTAATCCTGACTGATTTTTGAAATGGGATGGCCTAGATTTTAAACAAATGGTTTATACCTTCTCTAATTTATCAGGACTAACAAAGCACAAGCAATTTTTCTCAAACTATACGTAAATTTTCAGCGAGCTACTGGTCCTTATTGACAGCCTTGGTTCTGAAATTTACATATTGTATATGCACAGGCCAGGGGCACCCAACGACCAAATGTTTCCAAATACGCCAGAAGTGTCTGAAATGGTTTTCTCTGTGCTTTAGAAGCCTGTTTGGTTAATTTGAAGTTGCCCTAACAACTAATTATCTGTTCGGATGTCTAAGGCAAACTTTGGTCATCACGAAAGTTTTAGGTGGCTTTTTCGTCTCGTGCAAAAGTGTTAGCTACCCTTATTGGTCTGGTGGAAAGTATGAGGACATGAAGTAGCCTTGCTTTCATTAGAAAATTTCACAAAACCTTTTACACCGAGAATTTTAGGAGACCTTTTTTTAATAACAATTGCAATATCTTGGTATTAAAATGTGACTACACGTAACACAACCTCTGAAAATCATAGTTAAGCTATTAGAAAATGTCTGAATATTTTAGACGAATGGAACGGTTATAATCCAAAAAGTTTTAGCTTTTCACAAGCTTTAGAAATTTCTAGGCACTATTTGCTTCTTAGAACAGTTATTGTACAGAAACAAGTCGCTGGGTGCCCCTGACAGGCTTGACTTGTTGTTTGTGTATTATTTGGTGGCTGGTTATAAACTTAATAATGGTTGGTTGTTATTGAGGTAATGAGTGAATCCTTCAGATCACCCAGCCCTTTGGCCCAAATCATCAAAGTTTAAAATGGTGTATTAGAGAGTGCATTAGCTTTCAAAGTGTCAAGAAATTCCTTTATTATGAGAAATGTTTGTGTTATAAAAATGAGACATCAACGGTGAAAAGTGTGGCAAAAGCATGAAGTGTAGACTTCTTTGTTTCCTTTGTTTTACGTCACTTGTGAGTTTAACAGGTTCTTACACCAGGGATGAGCCCCATGTGTCTGTAAACTTTTCAACTTGTACATTGAAATTATTTTGTTTTTACTGTATTTTCAGATACTGTTCATCTCTGGCTTAGCATTGGTAATTGGATTAGAAAGAACTTTTAGATTTTTCTTTCAAAAACACAAGCTTAAAGGCAGCTCCTGTTTCCTTGGTGGAGTGATGGTTGTTCTATTTGGGTGGCCACTTATAGGCATGATTATAGAAACTTATGGATTTGTACTTTTGTTTAGGTAAGTGATGTGCTCTTTTGTAAAATCTTAAACATTGGGTATGATCAAGGCAGGTCAAGAGTACCCCCCAAGATTCTATTAATGAAATGATTATTTGAAAAAAAAATGAATCCCTTAGTCGTTTCCATAACTAGTGTCAAATTCAAATGGGTATTCCTACATGTGTAATAAGCGGTGAATATTTTACAAGAACTTCTCTGTATTTGGTCTGATGAAAATCTTTGAATGGGTTAAATTTCCTAGAAGACATTCACATCAAATTCAGGGAAACTGAGGTGGTACAAATGCAAGAGTGCAGAGATAATCTGATATGTACAACTACCAACAGATTCAAATTTCGAATAATAATTCATTAATGGTCATTCATTAATGGGGGGTACGCTTGACCTGGCTTGACTGTAATTTGTACACACATCTGGTCCTTGTTGTTCAAAAGACGGATAGCACTGTCCACTGGATAAATCGCTATCCAGTTGATAAGTATTAGGAGAACCAATTGCGCTATCCAGTGGATAGAGAGTTATATGATGGATAGCGTTATCCACCTTTTGAACAACTAATAATAATAATAATACTATACACTTAGATAGCGCCTCTCTCTTAGTAATCCAAAGCACTTTACAATCCGTAAATGCTTAGAAAACAAATAATTCACATACAACATAACAGGATTTAAAACCCCAACTGGCTGGAGACAGCCAGTTGGCTTTTTACAAGCGTGGCCGAGGATTTGAGCTCGGGACGACCGAGAACAAATCCAGCAAGTGGCCAGAGCGGGACTTGAACCAGGACCACCGGATTGTGAGTCCGACGCACTGACCACTCGTCCACGCTGCCTCCACAACGGGGACCAAGTTTACAGATTTGTACAATTTACGGAGACGAAAATTTCTAGATAGTTTTTGGGTTTAAAAAGTGACACTGCAGTCTTGACTTATTTTTTCACTTTCTCTCCTCCCCTCTTCTTTTTCTTTTCTTGCCTCATTTTCTTTTCTTGTGCTGGGCATTTAGCAGGCATCATTTTACTGGGAAAGTTTTTGGGAAAGCCTGTAGGATCTTAGGATAATGATGAAAGGAGAGGTAGGTGGGTAGTGGAACAGGATTTTCATGAAATTTTCGGGTCAGCTCACATTTCATGGTTTTTTGCCTTTTCTCTGGCCTCCTTGACTAAATTGTGCTCACTCTGGTATGGTTTGAAAGATCTCTTCACCCTTCACAGTTTAGTTGACAAAGTTGTCCTTTACCATTAAAACTGATGACCTCAGACGTGGAAGAAGGGATGTGGATCCACATGGGTGTTTACGGGTGGTTCAGGGGCAAATGGGTTAACTTGAGAACGGTAAAATCTGTGGTTTACAATCTGAAATTTTTCGTGCTAGCCTACCAAAAGCCCTTTCACTAGAGGAGTAACTATTGTGCATGTGTAAAGTACTTTTTTAAAACGATAACATGGTAACATCTTCTGTTTTTTTCCTCAGCGGATTTTTTCCTGTTGTAATTAACTTTTTAAGAAGAGTACCAATTATTGGAAATATACTGAACTTTCCAGGAATAAGCCAGGTATGTAATGCCATCTGTTGCAACAGTTGACAGGAAGCAGTGTCAATGCCTAATAACAAAATTATAAGAAACAAACCTGGACCATTATTTTTGGAATTCAATTGATGCAAAAAATGGAATCCACTAGGAAATTGAGTAATTTCAATTTTCAGCGGACAAAAACTTTGTACCAGAATAATTTAAACAACATTGCACTATTTTTTACACTTTTCAAGGGCTAAAGACATAATAAGGTATCTGTAATAACACCAAAGACAATTTGCCATTGGAGCTCGAGAAAACAAATATCAAATTTCACAAGAATTGTGAAAGCACAGGTAAAATTCTGAAAATTTCATGTGTAAGATGTCATTTTGTGAAATTGGACATTTATTTTCTCGGGCTCCTTTTAGAAATTTCCTTTGGTGTTATTCCAGAAAACTAATTACATCTAAAACCCTTGAAAAATGTAAAAAAAAAAAAGAATGCAATATACTTTAAATTTTTCTGGTCCAAGGTTTTTATCCACTGAACATTGAAATTACTCAATTTTTAGATGGATTCTGTCTTAACTTTTTTTAAAAATATAGTAAACAATATGATGCAGGGACATCTTGTGCAACCAAAGGCCAGACTTTGTTTATTTATTTCTTGTATTCATTTCGTAGTTCTTTTATTCATTATTCATTATCTTGACAAAAAGACTACTGGTGTTTGGACCTCAGAATTTCAAGCTGATGGATATGTCAAGGCTGATGTCTTGCAAAAAAATAATATTATTGGTGATTGTAGATTTAAAAGTTGACTGTACCTTTATGTACGAAATCGCTTTATGGCTGAAGGTTGAGTCATCTGCCAGTCTGCTTAGCCATCCATTTATTTTGAATTTTTTAACTCTTGGTTTTTGCTTTCCCCACCCTCGTCCCTAGGGTCTTCTTGCTTTCCAATATGGCGGCAGCAGGTCCCAAGCCTGTGAGCAAGCTCTCCATTTGGGGGAGTCGCGAGAAGTCACGCGAGATGGTCGCGCATTCTCTCGAGGTTCGTTTTGCCTCACTTTTGAGAGCTTGCTCGCAGGCTCATGGTTTTCATTAGGGAACGTAAGCAAAGGCGTTTTTGAGCCATGCAGGTCAACCGGAAGTGGCCTTTTTACATTCCTGAGCAGTTGTTTTGCCCAAATTTTCAGTTGAATCGTCTCTACATGTGTAAAGAAACTAAGCAATACAAATTTAATAGCGTCAAGGCTTATCAAAAGGGAAAAGTTCTCACTTCCGTTTGACGTACTAGAAATAGGCAGCTTTTGAGAGACCCAGGAGGAGAAAGGAGAATATTTTGAAAGAGGCTCCTTGTGTGAATATAAAATAGTCATAGGCTACCGTTTGCGGGCGAGTTATGCGTAGTAAACGGAGAATTCTCCGATCTCCGATGCCCAATGAACTCCCTGGCTACATGTAGGCTTTCACATGAGATGTAGCCCGAGTGTCAGGCCTTCCTTAGCGGTTAGAGGAACGGAGATTTTTGTATCTTTCTTCTCTTTTCCTCCCCCCACCCCCCTAGAAACGCCACATACTCAGGCTACATGAGAGGTTACTTTTCAGGTTGTCCAGGACCTCTTATTAATCACACTCTTGTTGTTTCATGTTTAGGTAGTGGGTAGATTAGCAGGAGATGGCAGTAACTCAATGGTTTGATGTCAGTACAAGTATAAATCACAAGATGTGCGCTTGTGAACCCTCACCGACGGAGACTCCATGACACCGTGCATAATTGAATACATTGTGACAACTGAGTTTGTACTTGACCCTCAGTTCATTTAATGCATTATACATGAGGCCCAGTTCTGGGTGTGTTTTCTGTCATTGAGGGTTTTGGTTTAGCGCAGAGACACAGAGACTATTTTACAATTAACACACCGCTGATGTTCGTACTGGGTTAGACTTCGCAGCAAGACTATATATCCTATCAGAGATGTCCGAGTATGATTAGTTTTCTAATATTAAAATGACACTCTTATTCATGACCGAATTCTCTGATACCTATACTGCGAAATCGTACAGCAGCTCACATAGACTGCAAAATAGCCCATATTTTTGCCTAGGTTAAGAACGCGCTCAAGAGCGGTCAAAGGAAAGACCTAGGGTGAGGTTGAAAACGGAGGGTGAGATTGGGAAGAGACGCGAAAAATACGTTTTCTACGTTTTCCTTTCTCGCCACACACGCCTTACGGACGTGTGAGGCCCACGTGCTTTGAGGGAAAATATCACGCCGGTGCTTTGGATGCAGAACCAATGGAGTTTGGGGAAAAAAACCGACTGTTTTGCAGTCTGCAGCTCGTACGTTTCTTATGTAAAGACTACACCTCCAGAGACGTTAAAAGTAGTAGCTGTTCTACCATGATTAAACTAATCAGTTTTTTTTATCAGAACAACAACTCTGATTTGTTGACCACCTGACAACTTAGAACTTAGAATAGATACTTCCTTAGATATAAATTCCTATAATACCGAGCAGTAATCACCTTCTATCCTTATAATCCAGCCATGTCTCCAGCTTTGCTCGCTTCCCTGCTCGCTTCCTATTGGCCGGCAGGACGGCAAGGGGAGAGGTGGGCGGAGGGGGGCGGGGGAGGGATAGCAAGAAAATATTCAAAGTTATCATTTTCTGACTCTTCAGTTTGATGTCCCTTCCTGATTTTCGTCCCCACATGGTCTTAATTCACCGAAAAAGATATACTACGAGTAGTCCCAATTTCTGCTCAGGGATAGTAGAGAGAACGAAACGCGAGCGCGCGTGAAAATCTCCCCACGCGAGAAAGGCGAGACGACGCGCCCCCACTTCTCGTTGTCTACGAAAAAGATAACTCTCTGAGAAAGGTTGACTTTATTTCCGGGATCATGCTCATGAAATGAAACTTGATGTTACTTTTTTTTCTGCGTGGTACAAACGCAAACTATGAAGGAAAGAAAGATAAAAGGAATTAACGAAAACCATTTTAATCCTTTTAGTTATCTATCGGCATGTTAAGACCCCGTTTACACGAGTCCGGAAACGTTTTTGAACGGAGAAAAACTTGCACGGATCCGCCTTTCGTTTACACAGAACACGCAGTACCGTGCAAGTTTTGAACGGCAGACAGTACTGTAACCTGTAACAGAATTTGGACGGTTTTGTGTAAACGGGAAGGTAAAGAATTCGTCCGGTCAAAAATTTTCCGGACCCGTGGAGGGCTGGAGGCCTAAAATTTTAAATTTTTTGGCAAGTGACAAGCTCCTTTGTTCCTTGACAACTGTCCTTCGTCGGGTCATCTTATTTCGCGAACTTGACCGATTAAAGTTCCTTTAATTGACGTTTCTGGTTAGAAGAAAAATTTTGCGTGTCTTAGGGCCTGTTTACATGGAGGTGGGGGACCCCAGGTAGGTAGGTGAGGTAACCCGCTTAGGTTGGATAACCCGTCTGTCCATATAATCTCTCATATGATCACCCCTTCTATCATGTAAACGTGATCACATTAAAATAAGAGATTATATGGACAGGCGGGTTTCCTCACCTACCTGGGGTCCCCCCACCTCCACGTAAACAGGCCCTTAGATGCGAACAAGGTTGCAAAAACACAAAAATTGGTGTTTTTTGCAGACGTTAAACTCTATTTTTCCCGTAGTGCGAACTGGATCTATATGCAGTTATGCAACTTAAACCACCCAGAGCTTCCAAACAACACTTGCAAAGGTAAATGTCCAACGCACCATTCAAACAGCCAAAAATCGGCTTTTTTAGCTACAAGAATGACAATACAAAACAAGTGAGGTAACAATACGTGTATGGTGTTCTTTAACAATTATTCCAATAGTGCGCGTTGGATATGAGCGAGTTGGCTATAATCATCTCGTATCCAACAAGAGCGAATGAAATAATTGTTTTATGTATATAAAAAAAACAAACAAACAAAATATCGAGAATTCTTTCCGACTTTATTTTTAAACGACAACCGAGTTTCAGCTAGTTTTTAATTTTGAGCAGACGCGTACAGGTACCATATTTGCAGAGCAAGGTATAATGGCTCGTATACCATGATGGCTTAGCCAATCAGAGCTCTAGAATTGCATTATGCAATGATTCAGGTTTTAAAATGTTATTATTCATCGCGTTATTTTGCGATAGTATGAACCTTTTCGATATTCCCATGCATTTTCTCTAAATTAACATTCGGGTGGTCACGATTTCATGTGGGTTCCTTATGCTTAAACCAATGTCTCAGTCATATACAGGAAGCCGCATTCGTCAGAAGCATTAGCTAGATTAGAACAAACTAGAACCACTACGTGGAACTTACCGGGGCCCAGTGGGATACGGGATTGCATAGATATAGTTTACCTCTCGCACCCCTCCCCCCTCCTCTGTGGAGGTTAATACTTAGTCTGAATTAACTCATGCAGAAGAAAAGCAACAAAATGCATGAGAAAGGAGGATGTTGTTGTAAGTTTGTTCAGTGTTATTACAGCTAACGGTCTGTGTTATAGTAGTGTTTTTAGTAACACTGTGATGTCAATAAGTGTGATCTGTATAAGGTTTTCATTTGTTTTTAAGTTTGAGTGAAAAAGCAAAAATCACTGACAGTTTTGGGTTGAATGGTAATGACAAAGTTTGCAAAGAAGTTTGTTACAGAATTATCACAATTTCACATTTTCTCAAGTACGTTATCATCAGGTTTATCATTGAGATTTATTAATCACATTTATCTATTTTTTGCGAAAACACTGTGAATTTGAAATGATAACAGACATAAGACATTTTTGAAATAGATCTTTGTGGTCATGGATTGTTGTCTTGCACTGTAAAAAATGTCATCCAGTGTTATATACAGACATAATAAAATGCTTATTTATTGATGACTGAGTATCATTTGTTAATTCATTGCACATTGAAATGGAGGCACTTGATTGTAAGGCAGTGGTTGATACATAGTGGCATTCATCAATATGGCCTATAGTAATTATTGTAGAGGAAGTATTTCTTTCCTGAACTGGGTAAACAGTAGTATATCTGCAACTGCTTGAATGATAAGTGCATCAGCCCATGTACCTTGAATACACATATATTATTCAGATATCTTATCCATGAATTTTCGGTATTGCTCTCAATAAATCTCTCAGGATTGTCTCTCATAAATTGAACCCCAGCAGTACGTATATGCATGTGATGGTTGCTTTTGCCATATAATTGATGTGATACAGATCTAAAGAAACAATCACCTGCACCGCCAACATCTATTGATTGTAAACAAAGTGCACCTAATCTTGACTGCATCAAATTCTCAGAGGAAATACGAGAGTTCAACTGCATTGGTTGAGGTCACACTAGAGAAAGTTTACTATAGTAAACTCAAGTTTACCATAGTAAACGGCGCCGTAAGTGTGACCGGCATTTTTCAGTTTACAATGGTAAACTCTACCCTGGTTAATTTCCATGACTACCGCGGAAAGAACAAAGATGACCCATCACCGATAACCATCTGGTTACCAAAAAAAATAGGTGGGTATATCTCTAGTCTATCTAAACTTTGTTTGTTTTGTTGACAGTTTGTCATGATTTTTGAGGAAAGTAGTTTCAAAAGGGTCACATAACAGAATAGCTTTAGAACATCGGTGATTGCTTTTTCCACAGTGCTTGAAGGTTTCTGTTTCTGTACATTTCTTCAAACCATTCCTGGAGTCGAGGTTAAACCCACGCTTGCCTTCGCAATGCCGCTCTTTCTCTAAGAATACGTCTTCGATGAGTAATCAATAAACCTGTCACTAAAACATCTTCACTAACTTCGTATTCGAAACCAAGGTAGGTAATAAGGAGCGCATTCTTCTTGCTCGTCTGAGCAGCAGAATTAAAAGCAAAATGCTCACAACAGAAAACAATACTCTCTCACATTGAAGCATCTTTGTACACTTGTGAGGGTCACGCTCAGGAAGTTACAGTTCAGTAATTTCAATTTAGTCAGCTCTCATAGCAGGTCATCATTTGTATTACTTTTCACTCTCACGTTACCGATCACGCGAAAAAACGCCTGGAAAGTTTCAAATGCCTTTTAAGTGGACCTGTCAGGTTTACTACGGTAAAGAAGACGTTGCGAGACTTACCATAGTAAAGCCCTTTTTACCATAGTAAAGTCTCTAGTGTGACCTCAACCATGTTGAGCTGTGATTTTGCATAGAAGGTCTAATTATTACTTCATGATGATCAGTGTTGTATTGAGTAGGTCCTGGATTCTTCTCAACATCTTTACTTAGTTTGAAATTCACATAATTGGTCATATGACTCACACAATTGCAAGAAAACAATGATAAAGATCGACGTGCTTTACATTATTTTTAGTTTCATTATCCTGTGATAATGCCTGCTAAAGAAAGACAACAAATAAGCTTTCTTGGGTATAGCCATTTTATTTAAGTTAATTATCTTTGGATCGCGTTTGTTACTACATTTATATCGTGCATGATAAAGTTTTCTCACCTTATTAACATAGCGATGGAGCTTTGAAGTCTTCGGTATGTCAATCATTGAAATCTTTTTGAAGACAAATTTTGATAAGTGTTCGCTTTGATTCTCGATAAATTTCACGATGGAAGGTTCACTCAATTTCTCGATAAGTTTCACGATGGAAGGTTCAGTCTCAGAAGTGATCGCTCGTAAATTTGTCTCTCCAAATATTCACTGTTAAATTTTCGCTCATAAACTAGTTGGGTTGGGGGAACGTGTCGTTCCCCAAAAAAGCTATAATCTTTCTCTTGACTGTCCTCCATGCCTCTTCTTTTCAAAATGGCGGATAAGATTTCAATGAGCCAGCGATATATCTCAGTCAGCGATATATCCCTAACAATGTAACGTTGAAAAAACGGACGGTCTGCATTTTAAGACCGGTGCCAGCCTTCGGCTGGGCCCCGGTAAAGAGGATAAAGGTTAATATTCTCATGATTAGAATTGACTTCCGCTGTCTGCGCTCGAATCTTCCTCTTTTTCTAAGGCAGTTGAATTTGGAGTGGTTTTAATCAATCCTTATAGTTGTTATTCTGTAAGAAATAGCACTCAGGGATCTCAGGCCTGCTCACCACTAAAAAAGCCGTGCACGATCAAAGCTTAGAAGCTGAGGCGTAATATAGTAGGACCCCGGTAACTCGAACTCCCCGTAAGTCCCATTCAGGCCCTAGTTTTCAGTCACTTTTACTCGAACTTGGACAGCTCGAATTCCCCGCTGACTCGAACTGCATTTCGTTTCTCTTGATCAAAATTAACCTTGATGGTGTTTGGCTGCAAACGTCAAATTATGTAACGTTTTGGTTGCCACGCTGTAAGATAAAGATAAACTAATTCCGCTCCCGACTGGTGATCTAGACCTGTCTGGTGATCTTTGTTCCCTTATCATGGTGTCCCAGCTGGCCGGCTAGATGTTAGGTAGGAAATATCGTTTATTTCCTGAAATCGATCTACCCCCCGTACCAGGGCTAATAAAGGTTTTGTTCGCCATGCCCCGTACCGTTTTAACTCGAGCGGTCAATTTGGAAGTGGTAAATAAGCTATTTGCTTGTCACATTTGGTCTCTCTTCCAAAATGACGGTATAAAAGCGGTAATTCTTCGATAGGAAAATGGTTTTCTGTTCTCATTCAAAAAACCTCGTTTTCATATTCGCCTTTTCCACATCATTCCATTGTACCGCTCCGTCACCCCCTCCCGCCGCTACCCCCCCCCACCCCCCCCCCCCCCCTACCCGTTTCTCCTTAACTTCGCATTAGAACTGAGACGTACCAGCTCCTGGACGTACGTGTTAATTATGGGACGATGTGTAAGTGGTGGAATAGGGCACCCACCCCCCGCTCCTTCCGCCAGGATATGAGCGAAGACCGTTTTCTCCAAAATGTTCTGAAATGCCTCTTTAAGCTTCCTGGAGTGCTTTAACAGCAAAATGAGTGAATAATTCGCATCGCTAAAAAAGTCTTATCTGTTCGGTCGTTCTAGAAGCTGTTATTAAAGACCTTGACCCCGCGAATTTTTAAGGGATTTTTTTCGCCTTTACCGAAAATAGCAGCATACAGTGAAAGTTTCACGAAACCGTAAGATTACCTAACGTACTTATTCCTTGACCGAAATTTTAGGGGTCGTCTTCAAGTTTGTCCGAATATCGATTGTGGGCGTGTCTCCGAATTTTCTAGGGCGACGCAGCATGTAGAGAAAATTCTAGGTTTAATAATAAGAAGAACAAGAACAAGACGACGAAGCACGAAGAAGAAGACTTTCGTCTTACAGAAGCAGAAGAAAAAGAAGAAATGCCACTAGGACTCTGTACGTTTAGCTCATCGAGCCGTATTTAACTAGAATTGGAAATGTTTAAATAAAATAGAGCGTTCATTAGAAGCAAAGTAAATGGTGAACTCAGAATCCAACAAAATCGCTTAAAATATCACCTCTGTTGTAACACGGGACGACAATTTATCAAAGATAAGGTCATACAACGTTTATTTAGAAGTGACCCTGCGTGAATTATGTGATATATCGCTAAAAAAAAAATAAATCAGTCGGTAAATCCAGCACATTCATTATAAATTTACATACGGTTACACAAACAGAATTCGTGGGCTTCCTGTGGTCACATAACTATGGATGGGAAGTTTAGCTACCTGCCTGGTACGTGACACGGACTGTTAAGGTTGCTAGTCAACACTGAATTTCACCAGTTTCATTCCTAGTAGTAGATCACGCTCAATTTTCGTTTCGCTTTGTAATAACATTCAGGCGGGCAAGGCGAAACTTTAGCGGTAGTCGTTAGAGAGAATGTCTGAGAACGGCTAAAATTGGGCCTGATCTCAGGTTAAGTTAGAGAGTACACACTCAGAAGTCGGTGACAATAAGGTGATACCGTCGAGAAATGCACTTTTTGCTTTTGTATTGTAGGTCGAAAAGGCCACAATTACGCGACGCTTAAAGCGAGAAGGGAATAAAAAGGTCGTTTCACAGCATACCGGTAATACCGACTCGTCGACCAGCTGATGTTCAATTTAAGATATATCTCGGGATGAAAAATGAGTGTGTAACCCTTGTAGTTAAATTTAAACCGGGAGAAAGCCACTTCGACTGAGGAAAACACATTTATCACTCATTTATTTTTGGAGTATTTCGGTAATGTATTGCATGAATTACCCAGCTACAGTTTCACGTTCACACAATGGAGTTTATTTAATTTTCGCAATCGTTTAACGATGCGAAAAAGAAAAACTGACGAAAATGAAAGCTAGGTAGAAACAAAAAGATCTCTGACCCTGGGGCCGGGGGGGGGATCTCTGAAAGTTATTCCAAACGCTGTGAGATGGCATTTTTCCATCACATTGTAGGTTTAGCGACTGATGCACCTCTCATACTAAAAGTATTTAAGACGATGAATGAAATTCATGCATTTTAAAAAGCAATTTCGACACGTCATGGAGGACAGGGGTCGGAGATTAGGGGCCGGGAGGGGTACAGGAAGAAAGGGCAGCAACTGGGAGTTCTAAAAGGGCGGGAAATGGGAGAAATAGGGGGAAATTACGCAACAATGCTTAAAATTTAGTAATCGAAATGGGACTAAAGGGAGAAGCTAGGGGGAAAAGGGACGAGAGTTGGGAATGCAAGGTGACAAGGTTAGAGATTTGGATGCCAGTGACTCCCTTCCTCTCCCCCCTCACCCTTGTGGTGCAAAACTGAAATTGACTAGTTACCGGAAGACGGATGAAATAGCGGGTGGATCTTTCATGTAGTTTTAGTGAATATCTGATAAAAGCTGCAGTTTTCTTGTCCAAAAAAGAAACATTGCCGGAGATCATGTCACACGACGCTGTCAACTTGATCTAGGAAAATAACATCAACCCGCATATGATTATACAGTTTAGACTTCCCGTGTCGAGTGCAGCCTGACCCCACTTTAAATACTGTGTGTGTTTTGACGGCTTTGCATTTTCAAATCAACTTCCTCAGTTAAAAACCGAGATATATCATTGCCGCGAGATGTTTTTTACGAGACACTCCTGACTTTGCCATGATTGAGCTCAAAACTCAGCTGGTGCTTGCATTTGCGTGGATTGTGTTGTGTTTTACCGTTGGAAAATGCAGTGTTTATCCAAACTCTACTTACTTTCAAGAATGTGAACGTCAATGCCATAAGCCTCCGAAAGACTCAAGGGTTTCTGAGGTAAGGTTTTCAGAGTCTGTGCTAAATCTCTTCTGACCCAGTCCCTCATAAAAGTTTTACTGAAGAGAGAATTATTTTGCAACGTCTTATTCATAAGACATTTTCTTCTTGGTTTTCCTTACCTACATTGGTCATGTATTGAAATATCGGGTATTTGTTTCTTCAGATAGTAAGTTTGAATTTATTGGACTTCAAATTGGAAAAAAATTTTCGGCGACAGGGACTCAAATATAGCTAAATATAAGTATAAGTGAGGACTTTAAAAGCACAGCAAATACTCACGTATTCAATGTATAGGGTTATGACAATTACGTGTCTTTAGAAAAACTGTATTCATTGTCGATAGAGCTGATAGTAGTTTACTTCTGTTCCTGTTTTCATTGACATCGCGTCATCGCTAAAAAAATGTTTCCAAGCAGTTTTCAAAAAGATGGCTATAGCTTATCTAATTTCCCAATATTTCCAACTTCGTTTCGTTCCATTATGGTCAGGATTCTTCTAAAAACAATTCTTTTTTGGTTTTTTAATCTCTACTTTCTCAGGTTTTGTGAAATAGATATTAAGCGGAAGTTAATTTTATGCCCAAGTTTAGTTTAATAAAATTTGCGTAATGTTGATCGGACTGGAGAAAGCAGCTTTGGAACTCTCAAGACAGTAATTAAAATTAACCTGCGAGTATAACTTTTTCTTTCTAGGTCGTTTTAAGAAGTCAGGAAATTTAAATAATTAATTACAGCGGAAATTTGAAGCAATTACTATAATATTGCTTGCGGTCGTTCAGAGCCGTAAGTTTATTGCAAGTTCTGAACGGTGTAGTTGTAAAAGGAAGATTTCGATCGTCCAGTCAAACCCTTAAAAGCAAGTATTTCTAGATGAAAAGGAAGAAGAAATTGTAGATGATATCATAAAGAAAAAAAGATACAAAAACGTGATAGTCAGGTTTCAGGAAGCTAATTTGTCGCTTGCTAGGGTGCTGAAATATTATATGCAAAACCTCGAGATTCCAACAAGATAAGGAATGTAGTCTGCGTAGCAGGCGCTTGGAAGTAATAAGCGCAAGAAAGAACGGGGCGCGCGAGGGGGACACGCGAGACAGCCCTTGCGTGTCTCTTTCGCGCGCCCCGTTCTTCCCTATCGGGGCTTTGTACGCATCCCCCGGGGGTTGTTAAAAGGGGAAGGGAGAGAAATAAAAGAAAAAAATACAAGTAAAGCTACCTAGGTGAGGTTTATATTGTTTATGAGAGTTTGGCAGGTACAGGAGCCCATTTGATGGGCTCCTGGCAGGTACCATTATCAGTGCGGAAATGAAATTCAATGAGCTACGTAGTTCCATTTTTTGTTCAAAAAAGCGCTCAAAACAACCAACAAGAACCTTTTTGAAACGACACAAGCGTAGGAAAAGACAGCACACTTCCAAACACGTCATTAGTCACGTCCGGGAGAAAAGTGTACTTTGTTGTTGTTATCGAATTTTTAGATCCCATCGATCCGCACGAACACTGTCACGTTTTGGTTACCTGTACATGTGTTGTGTTGCAGACAGAGTTATGTAAAGTAGGAGTAAATTCTGTTATTAAATTGTTTTCCTTATCATTATTTTATATTTAAATTGATACGTCTCTCAGCAGAATGCAGAATCCCGCTGCATAAGAGAATGTTTGCTGTTAAAAGCGAAAGGTTGGTGAATTATTAAAGGCAACCTCTATAGTGTAAGTTCAAACAGTAACTTGGTAGCAAGGCCGACTATTTTAGGTTGTCCATGGGTTTGTTGCTAAGCTATGCAAAAAGATAACAATGCTTTCAACTTCACTATGATTTCTGCTTAGCAGAGACCAGAACATGCCTTGCAAACACTCGGGTACCTTTAGCTTCGTACTGCGAATTTTTTGCACTGAAGAGCCACCTAAATTGTCGACAAACTTAATGCGGGGCAGGGCAGAATGAGGCAACTGTGGAGAAGATATGTATGCTGTCGCTTAAGTTGTATTTTTCCCCCTCTCTTTCCAGTTGTTTTGGCTTTTCCACTGAGCGAACTAGGCAGTGAATTTGATGTCAAACTGAAGTTTTGCAATTGGTGGTCTATTAGCGGTACGGAAGAGGAAGTCATTCGTACTGTCGTGGCTAAGTTAATTTACTAGCAAAGTGAAAAAGGCGATCACGTTTCAGCTAGATGAAAAGTACATTTTTTAATAGTGAGCATTAATTTTGCCTTGAGAACAAATTCTTAAACATTGGTCTTATTTAAAGTCTTGAACTGGCGGTTGAATATATTTGAACCCAATAAACCCCGACGTTTATGCCCAGACAACGTCAAAGCTCTCTGCTGGCAGAATAATTTCCCCAGATAGTTTGAAATGTAAAAGGCGATGTTTCTAAAACAAAAGAGAATGCCCCGCGATCCGACGAGCCAATAATGTCATGTTAAATGTTAATCCTTCATTGATGTATATTTTTGACGTACACTCATTATTTTGAAAAGCTTGTACAGCATAATGAAAAAATGAATATATCATTTCAGAAAATGCTACAGCCACCGTGACTCCAAAAACTGCAAACGTTTCAGTGAATTTAACAACGGCTACGTCTGGCAGATCACCGACAACCAAAGGGCAGAGAAACAGTAAGTATAATGGACTTCAGTTGGGTCGGAATTTTAGTGAAAGCAATTCCAATATTAATCCGCACTGAACCGGATTTTAAACTTATAATGATTTTCCTTTTAACACGTCTTCGATTGGTTGCACTTTCATAGGAAACAAGAGCTGTATTTCAGCAATTGGGACTGATTCGACTGATGTGCTCGTATAATCGCTGGTTTTCCTTTTCTGTAGACCTGATGGCTTATCAAAGTCATTTCGACATAAAAAAAGCTCCGAGATAGTATAAACACCTGTTCGTTCACTCTGGAAAGAAGAGTGGCACAGAAACCTATCCGATACGTGACGATGGCCTTTTCAAGATTGCTGCGGGGCAGTTTCGCTCCGTTTACAAAAAGTGCTCCGAAATCACCGTTCTTATGTGCGAACAAAAGCCGCTCTTTCTGATGTGGTTCTCGTGCCGGCGCAAGAGCTATCCAGAATAAAGTAGACAAAGCCTAAATGACTCTTAATAAGATCGCCTCGGGCTGGACACTCTCTCATCGGAAATTTAAATATTGTTTCTTTAAAGTTCTTCCCTCGGCATTTTTCACCAAAATAAGTGGTTATTTAATGTCTATTGGGCTAATCATGCATTTATTCTGATGGTGTAAACACTTGGGAAGAACCTGTTATCAAAATCAACGGAATTTTATAGCTGATCAATGTGGAAAAAAGAGGAACACATTTTACCTTAGGTTAGTACAGCGACCAAATTGCATTTCATGGCATGTGCTTTGTTATAACTGACATAATAATGTGAAGTGTAGTATTAGTTTTACATTCAAATCACGTCTGCGGAAGATGTTCCCGAACTGCAGCTGTTTGGTCCTAAGACCCGGCGTGCATTAATACACATACAGCTGAAATTAGTATGAAATTGCACGCATTTTACTCATATCCTGCCAATGAGCTATTATGAGAGCTATATACGTATTTATAGGAGCAACAATCGTTTATAATATGCCCCCTTTCAATTACTTTCAATTACATCTAAAATTTATCAGTTTACGCAGAACTCTCGCGGATACCTGTATGGGTAACATTTTTGGCCTCCCGTCCTCATGAAGATCGTAGGCTCTAGGGAGAATGGGTACAAGCTTTGGGTGCAGTGCTTTCTGGGATCGTGGACAAACGTTAGGCTATGATTGGTCGGTGGTATTCAAGCCAAACAAATGATCCCAGGAATCGTTGCACCGAAAGCTTGTGCCGATTCCTCTTCTATTTTCTGCAGTGGGGAATTTGTACTCCTAAGCCCAGGATGGGCATCCCTGCGACCCTGTCCTTTTCATTGCGTGTCGCCCCATGGTTCTGGAGGCAATGAGTGGTATATGGCTTACCACACTTGACTTCCAAAATTTTCTGTAAAACGAACCTGTATTTAGCCAGTGTCGCACTGAATTCTCTTTTTGTAGGTTGTCCACGTAGTTACAAACCTGCGCCTAATGAAGATGTACCAGGGGATGTGACAGATTTAACGGTTACCTTTGTACATGAAAAAAAGGGAGCGACCAAAGCATGGGTGGCTAACGTTAGTTGGACGGCTCCTAAAGGTAATGAACACCGCTGGTATAAGAGAACAGCAATAAAGTGGGTATACTGTGAAACGATCGTGTTTTACGCTGGCGTGAAGTGTGCGGTCTTTAAATAACTAGCCTGTGCCAGGCGTTCAGATCTCCACTATCCGAACGCCTGAAACAGGATATGAAACAATAGGTCAAGAGCGAGTGTTGAATGGAGAGAGCTTGTGCGGCTCGCGCGGGACTCGCGCGGGTGAGTTCCCTCGTTCTTGTCGCCTTGTGCCTTACAAGCTGCTATTAACGTTTAAAGAAAAAGGCGATGGTTTAGGTTTTTAGAGAAACTGTGCTGTTCCCTTTGATGGTGTTTAAGAAGCTGAATTCTTTCTGGCTTGTATAACATTAATTTCTTTCCAAGGTCCGTAAAACAGTGAAAAAAACTACACGCTTTCCTTTTCACCCTCTCGCAAACTATGCTCACTAGCAACTAACGCCCTTCAGAACTGAAGGAAACGATTGAAAGCATTCTTAAATTTTGGTTTTTAATTTTGCCACCATTTTTAGGTGTGAATGCGTCCATCAATTGGAATGGGTATTTGGTAGTTTGGTTCTCGATGTCCGATTCACAAGACGCGGGACCAAAGCCAGTTCTATGCAGAAAGGTACCAAAGGTGAGTAAGTAAATTTAGACTGTACACTGAGCTGCTTTATTTCCTGAACCCAAAGAAAAGGATGCTAGAATCAAAACAAGAGCGCATTCTGTGTGGAAGGTCATAGTTAAGTAGAGTGTGGGTGCCTTTAACGGGTGTTCGAAGATGCAAAAATGAGGAATACACTCCAAAACTAGTTTAGCAATTAAAACAAATACTGTTATAATTGTCGCATGTGAGGTGCAGTATAAGTTTACATTCAAGTCACGACTGCGGAAGTTTTTTCCCGGATGGCAGCTGTTCCCGAGTGATTTTCACTTCCCCTCTCCACACCCTTTTAGGCATCTGTGTCCATTGTTCTGGTGAGATTACTAGTTGAACCTCTCATTACGAGAACGTCATATTAGGGATACCTTTTCTTTACCGTTTTTTTTTAAAGAAACTCACGATGACATCAACCACTGATATAAATACATGCCAACCAGAAGCGCATTGACTCTTGAAACAAAAGATTCTTTTATTTCACTCCTTACGAATTTGAATGACAAAAACAACATGGCAGCCATCCCTTTATACTCCTCCATCATGTCCGTCGCGTGGTTAAGCTCAGACCTCTTTAGGGGGAGCAGGGGGTTCAAACCTCCCGCCTTCGTTACCTTGCATTCCTGGCTTCCCCCCCTACTTTTCTTACCTCCCTCCTTTAGCCTTTTTTCGAATGCGACATATTTAAGCACCCTTCTCCTCCGCAGAGGCTCCCGCTGGATATCCCTATAAAAATAGCAATAATCGAAAAAATAGAAAGCGCGCGGGGGACGATGGGAAGAGGGAAAAAGCGGGAACCCTTTCCCCTTCCCATGGTGCCCCACGCGCTCTCTTTTTCTTTGTCCCCTGCCTCCCCACAACAGAAAGAGGCCTCTGCGGAGAAGAGAGTTTAAGCACCGTTGCGGAATTTCCCCCTATTTCTCCTGTTTCCTAACCTTTAAGGAACCACCAACTACCGCCCTTTCCTCTCCCGCCTCCTGTACTCCTCCCGACCCTGTTCTCGCGTAAAATATCTGTAAGATACACGTATCTCTGTAATGCGGGCGCCCTTCCTCTACCCCAACCTCGTTCCCAGGTTCTCTCTCCTATCCGTAGGGATGGGTAGGAGAGAGAATTCTGGGAACGAGGTTGCATCTGTCCCTTATTGCTGTCCATATCAGGGAGGTTTGTCTGTAGAATTTGTTACATACGTGGCTGAGAACTCGCAAGCGAAGCCTACAATGTAGGTATTTAAAGCATCGAGATTCATCCGCCCGACGCGCAAATTATCCAGAAAGCCTGAAGTATCGTATTTTAAAGAAGTTTTACGCCTCATGCACGATTACTTTTTTTGGCACAAACCTAAAACTGGGAAGTTTCTTAATCTTCTTCTTTTAGAGCCAGACCCACATTGTTATTAACGAGACAGACGGATGGAAATATCCGCGGAATCTTTATTTGGCAGTAAGTAGACTACAATAAAAGTCAGATATCATCCTAAGAAAGGACAAATGTCCGAACGAGCCTGGTTCAATCGTGAACATTATGCTATAGTTTTTTAAACCACCCTGGGACACAATGTTTTAAGAAAACTGTCATTCCGAAGTCATTGTCTAAGATAAACTGCCCAGTAATTACCTTTGATCGTATAACCTAGAGACCTGGTTCAGCACCAAGTTTCCTCCAGTTTACAAAACTTTCAAAACTCAGAGCAAAACAGTTTCAAACTATATTCGAAAATTTTGTTCCAAACGGTCAAACTTCGCACCACATTTCCTTCAGTTAACCAACCAAAAAATATCCCTGATTAAAAGACAGAGAACGACAGAGAGGCCGTTACAAATATCTCCATTTCTTCAGTTTGATAAAACCTTCAGAAAGCCGAAGGAGGCCCTCTTCTTCACATCGTCGAAGGCGATGAGATGAATTAAATTGAAGGAAAATTTTCTAAAGTGACTGAGTTCCGAATGACTCACGTCATGGCTGTGTTTTAAATTTTTCTTTAGGTTCTTGCTTTGCCCTCATATGAAGAAAGAACAGAACTGAAAACTTTCCGCCCATGGACGCCAGGTATATACAACGTACTTGATTAAACGTTATCCTTTTTAAATCACCGTTTAAATATGGTATTTGAAAAAGGTTTTGAGTACTCGTCAGTACCCTTGTTCTGAAAATATGATTTAAGTATCTGTTTAAAATGTAATTTTATTACAAAATATGTTTGAAATGCAGGGAAAACCTGTTAGTATAACTATTTTGGTTTTATTCGTAAAATGTAATAAAAATACCCCAAATTGAGGTAAAAATAGTTTTTAAATCATTCAAATACATTTTAACTAGTTTTCAAACAGTTTCAAAATAGAGTTGGTTTGATAAGGGAGTTATTTCAAATTACGAAGGCACGCTTGAACGAGGGAGGCATCAGTTTTTTGGCCCCAAAAAGCGCGCTCCAACGAGAGAGGACAAAGTTTTATGGCCAAGAAAAGGGCGCTCGAACTGACAGGAGGCACAAATTTCTTGGCCCAAGACTCCGCGCTTGAACGAGAGAGGTAATAGTTTGTAAGTCCCGAAAAGGACGTCCCTGAAAAAAAAGAAACTTTTTCCTTCTCGATTACTCTGCTAAGATTTTAATGTCCATGTTGCTGTTGTATCTTCATTAGAATGGAGAGTGCCTGGTCTGTATAAACCAGCGTCGATTAAAGAAAAAGGTAACTTTGCTAGAATCCGTCCTCATTTTAGAGTATCGAAAATGTGATGTTGTGAACTAAATTCCTGGATCAGCACTAACTTATGAGACCGTAAAATTCCGAAAATAGGCCCCGGGGTTTATATTTTTCAAAGGCCCTTTTTGAGGGGCTTATTTTTTGAGGGGCTTATGTACGGAGGGAAACTTGCGTTTTAAAATCGATTGGGCTAGCTTGTAGTGGGAAGGAAATTTAACATTTTTGCATTGTTTTACCTTGCAGTCGAGGGCAAATTCCAAGTACAAGCCCTTCGGGGGGCTTATATTTGTAGGGGTGATTTAACGGAGGGTTTTTTGCTTTAAGATTTTGGGTGACTTATATTTGAAGGGACTTAGTTTTGGAATTTTACAGTATCATTAGACAAATGTCTTGTTTTACAGTGGACGTGCATTTAGTTAGGTTGCTTTAAGTTACAATGAGTTGATTCCCGATAACTCGAACCCTCGCTAACTCGAACCTCGCGCTAACTCCAGCTAAAGTCGATTTCCCCTGGATTTTTGTTCATACATTTACCATAATTTTACCCTTGATATCTCGAACCCCCGATAACTCGAACCAGTAATTTTTGTTTTATAGTTTTACCCTCGATATCTCGAACCATGTTTTTAGCGCGTGACACGTTAGGAAAAAAACGGTGTACTGAAGTCCGAAACGTTGAATTTATTTCAAAACAACGGTGTCAATTCTTTGTCTTTTTTTTTCACTCCAGATCAAGTTCATTGTCCATCCCTGTATATCAATCCATCTTTGTCGCCTAATTCCTTTTTCAAAATATCAATCTGTTCTATTTCTTGCTGCCCTTAATGCATGATACTTGCATTCCCACCCCATCCATTCACTGCTTATTTCCTTATTTCCTGTTATTTGCTTCGAACTCCCGATAACTCGAACTTTTTTCGATTTCCCTAGAAGTTCGAGTTATCGCAAGTCGACTGTAGTTTACTGGCACCTCACTCAAATACAGTCACAAACAAATAATCCAAATCAAACATAGACTGGTTCACTAACTACACTGCCGACTTTTGATCTCATGAGCGTTACGAACACTGTCTTTTCAGGCGGGAAAGCATTCCAGCTTTGGACTCCAGAAGGAATAGCCATTTCAGTAGTGACCGCACTTGTCATAATCTTGGCCATCATTTGGGTTGTGAACATCTACGTCTTCAAACGAAAGAAATCAAAGAGTTTCCATGTGAGTTTCAGCAGTGGTAACGAGAAAAAGACGGAGGAAAAGAAGGAGGATGAACTGAAGCATCAACTGATTGTTTGAACTATATAAAAATGAAGAAGCTTTTGAAGCTGTAGCATATTTGTTACTTTTTTGAATTTTTTAGTAGAAGACTGGTTAAGAGGTATATTTTAGTAACATTTATTCAACTAACGAAATCCAAAGAAGTAGTTCTTTGTTTGGCACAACACTATGAAGCTTTTGAAAGCTTTTTTTTAATGAGTAACAAACTCATGTTCTTTTTGGCTAGTGAGATAAGCGTTCTCTGAATAAACAATTTATTCAACAGACTTGTCCATGTCATGAACTGACTATAACCAGGAAGTCTGAAAGTGGCTGGGAAGGTTCGCCCCACGTCTTGGATTCTTTTGCAAGGGCCGCGAGAGGGTTGTACAAAATTATCAGCATCAGCAATTGAATACTTACCGCCCGATCAGTGGCGAAAGTCTTTGGGAGTATCGTTTACGATTACTTCTATGACTATTTAACGAAACATACAACGGAACCCCTCCTCTTGGACACCTCTGTTCAAGGGACACCTCCATTGCAGGGGACACAAAATTTGGTCCCGGAAAAATGTCCACATAATCTTTGTATTTGGTAATTTCTTGAAGGGCCACCTCTATTTAAGGGAAAGGGACACGTACTTTTTCTAGGTCCCGAAACCCCGGGTTTAACCTCCGTTCAGGGGACACCTTAGCACTCAAAAAGTGACTGACCACAAAAATCATTAACAATATGAAGTGTACACCAGTCACCATGGCGACAGGGGACACTATCCTTGGTATCTTGGTCCCGAGGTTCGCCTGTTCCAGGTGTTCAGAGGGTGGGGTCATCGCAAAGAGAAGTGGGTAGGCGGGTAGGGATGTCTTTGCTCTAGTTTTTAAGGTTATTTAATTTGTACCATTGGTTGGCGGCAGGAGCCTGTGGTTTGGTAGCCTGTGAACGGGCTCTCTGTTTGGGGAAAGGGTGAACCCTTTCCCAAACAGAGAGCCTGTTCACAGGCTAATGGCTGGGGATAATCACGCAATAATATTATTAAAGTAGGCGCCATCTCTGAAAGATGCAAGGGTTGTTTCCCGGCATTCACCGCGGTCAAAAGAGAGAAATTTGCAAAAGCTTACAGCTGTTTTGGATAACACGCGACCTGCGATGTCAAAAACGTCTTTGGATTTTAGGTTTTTCTGCGACGTCAATCAAAATCTGAAGGCTGCGTTTGCCGTCAATCATCTTAGCGGACCTTTTAGGAAACAAAAGTGTACTTCAATAGGTCAGTCAAAAGATAGATAGTACAAATGTACAGAGTTTCTTTTATTTTTCGTCTAAATGCCTTTATAGTGTCAGTTTGTACTAAGGATTCGCTTGTAGTTTGCTTTGCTGACCGCGGGGAAGGAGAATGGGACTGGTGTGCGCGCAGAGACTTTCGTTTCATGAGTTTTAAAACTTTTTACTATTTAATTTTTTTAATTTTTATTTTTTTGGTTTAATTTTTTTTGTACTTTTTTTTAACTACCTCACGCGACATTTACCCACACCCACGTCCCACGTCCCACGACCTCTTCCCACGACCCACGCCATTTAGCTACACTCGTGATGCAAACTTTTCACGTTTAGCTCTTAAGTCTTTGTTCCCAAGGTGAAATTGTTCCCGCCAACATTTAATTTTGCTGCTTCTGCCTGCCGCATTTATTTGACAAGCAAGGATTGGATTCTATGGTAAGGGTTTGATTGACGTCGAAGAAAATCCCAAAATCCTGAAACGTTTTTGACAACGCAGGTTGCGTGTTATCGGAAATATCAGTATCTTAGTTCAGTGAGTGAAAACGCTTCAGACGTCGTTCGTTGTGGGTGAAAGCCTGGGCTAGAAATAGACCACAAATGCAGAGGGGACCTGGAAACGACCTAAAAAGCGCAGATTCAATATGGCGGACGGCCAAGAACATCAAGGTAACAGAACATGAAATCTAGCCTTTGATTTTAGCGCAGTGGTAACTTGACGTGCATAGAAATATTTTAATATTCCTTTTCCTTCTTCAAGGGGAGAATAAGAAACGAAACTACAGGAAAGATAAACGTAAGTTGCTTCATTTTCACCGTAGGCATCATTTTAATTTAAATGCATGTTGAATTGGATATTTTATATATCATTCCTTCTGTTATATATGTAGCTTTTTAGTGAATGTAGATCAAGTAGATTTAACGAATAACGTCCACTTGCATCTTTACGTACAACTTGTATAAGTAAATGCTACTTTCTTCCCGTGGTGCGAGTGTTGTTCATGATGGAAAGATCGGTCAAATCTAAATCTACATACGTAAATGTAATATCAGTATTGAAGAGCTATTTGGTGTGTGTTGGAAGTTTTAAACGCCATATTTTGTATTTTCATGCAAGCATTGTCGAGAAAGACACTGTAGGCATGATGTTAAATCATTGAATGTGTTATTCCTTCAGTCTGCAGACTTTTCCGTGAGTCTCACGATTTCATACCCTGCGAGCAAAGGCCCTTCGATCTTCCTAGGTAAGTCAGGAAGAAGACTTATTTAGGACGATTGATGGGAGTCTGCTTGCAGGGTAACAAATTCACGACCTATCTCATGCTCTCACAAGGTGGCATGCTTTCTCGAAATGTCAAACTCCAAAAAATTTTGATTACCATTTCGCTGAAATAATCTTCAAAAATTAAATGAAGACCAGCAGTCTTTAGAGCAGTTTTCAACTTCGGGATGCAGTGAAACAACTTTACAACTTTGCTGCGAATCAACTTCATTATATGGCGAAATGACTTTGTAGCAAAATGACTGGACACTACAAGCTCAATCTAAAGAAAATGCTTAGTGGTCACATTTGATTGTATTCTTCTAGCCTACTACCTACTTGCCGCTGCCACCAAATGTGAAGCTGCTTCTCTCAAGATGGCAGGGCTGTCATTAAGAGGCCGGGGCCGGGGATTTCCCCCAGCTACTATGAACATCTTCCCCGGCTACTTTCAAAGGAAAATGAAAGAAAAATAGAACCGAAAGAAATTCCTAGCTGTTTGATTCCCTGCCTACTTGTTGTATTTACCCAGCAAATTGAAATCTTAGTGACAACCCTGAGATGGCCTCCAACAAATCATAGAAATTACAAAACCTTACTGGTAAAATTAATTGTGATGTTTACTGCTCCAGCTTTAAAGTGATGTGTGACTTCCAGTACCCGTAATCTCCACTGAAAGTCCTTCCACCAGGAAAGTTGGAACGTCTGACGAAGTTTACTCATTTCTCACTACTTTTCCCAGCTCTAGGTTCAGAGTCTCACATTTTTTGCTTTTAGGGTTTGGCAAGTCTACTTCTGTTATAGATTTTAAGGGAATGTAGATATGTAGATTTAATGAATAACATCCACTTGCACCTCTACATACAACTGGTATGAGTAAATTCTCTTTTCTTCCCATGGTGGTACTTTTTGTTGAGCTGTGTTTGCTTTAGGTAGTAGTGTTGTAGGAAAGATCGGTCAAGTCTAAATCTAGGCACAGCTGTTTAGGATAATTGAGCTTTTGTAGATTTAGTCGAAGCTTAACCAGCTCTTCTTTCAGTGTTCTTTTGCTGCTTAATTTAGCCTATGCATGCATGCGAATTTAGTTTTAGATACAGAAAATGCCAAAGTCACTGTAAGACCACCCTGTTTCTAAAACTATAACAAAAATGATCATATCTTTTCTTTTTACATTTCGTTATCTTATTGGCTGGGAAAAACAATTATTATAATAAGTTATGTTTTAGCCAAGCAGACACAGCAACCAAAACTGTAAACAACAAAATTTGCATACTGCTATACATTGCCTTCTGTTTTATACAAAAATAAATTGCTCCATGTCACCAGCCACGCTGTACACCTGTCAGAAAAGTATTAACAGTTTCTGCTAAAAATTGTAACTAATAAACCATTCTTTCCGCAAAGTAAAATATAATAATTACTTTGAGAAGCAGTACAAATCAAAATCTGTGTGGCTTGTCACATTCAAAGTGATGGATTATGTTATGTGTGAAATCATGCAGAATGGGTTTTGAACATCAAGGCGGACCCTTTCATTTTGTACAAAACAACATTTTCTCTAGGCTTAAGTAAACTCTAACCAAACAAGCCAATGTCAGCATTTTTCTGCCTGCTTAACTGAACCCTATACTAGAAGTGAGAGTGCCCTTCTAAGCAACGGGGAAATTTCTTTCACTCACTTGAAACCAAGTGTTAGTCACCTCAGGTGACTGGGTGCCCTTAGGAACAACCTTGGTCAATATTGGGATCACAAGCATCATAGAGGAAGACACTTGATTAGATAGTACAGAAACATTGTTATTGTGAACTGTTTTTTCTGTCCCTGCAAAAATGTCTTATACTTTCTTTAAATATAGAGAGTTTCACACGCAGGCAATGAAGACTTTTTTCTTTTCCAGTAGTCAGACTCTCATAGAAAGTTAACGTTGTTGATACAGATAATTTCTGTTTAATCAATTCTGCATTGTAAAGAGCTTCACCTTTTCTTAAGGTAAAAAAACCTTTGGACTGATGCATGTGGATTTTCACAGCTTGAACTATTATTATGAGATAGTACCATAGACACTGGTGCCAAAAAAGTCAGCAATAATTAATGTCCAGAATTTGTGATAAGTATTTGTTGTTACAAATTGCAGACGTAAATTATTGATGACTATTTTGGTACCATTGTTTGTATTAACAGGGTTTAAATATACATGTATTTCAATAGTGGAATAAAGAGGATTGAAGTTTCAAGGTTTTAGATTTGTCTGCAGTAGGGAAAACATCAAGTTCGCTGTGTCATTGACTGAAGTAACATTATTATGATTTATTATTGGTTGTGTTGTTTCTTTTTTTGGCACTGTAGCGTGGGATCATGATGGCATTGATCACTGGAAAATAGAGTCTTTCACAGCTGAAGACAATCCACATGGAATGTTAGAAGAAAGTTCTTTTGCAACTTTATTTCCAAAATATAGAGAAAAATATCTGCGCGAATTCTGGCCACTGGTGGAGAAAAAACTTAAGGAATATGTAAGTACATGCATTAGCTACAATCGGCGACAAAATTGTTGAGACATTGTACTTAAATAGGGTAATTTCGGAGAACAAAAGAATCCGCACCCCTCCCCTGTCCCCTCCATTCAAAGTTGGGGTGTTTGTTGTTTTCTACAGGTAGCTAGAACAAGGGCACAGCACAGAGGGGATGGGGGAGGAAAGCTATATTTCCTCCTTTTGAAGTTAATAAAACGTAAAAAAGCCCAGTTTTGGGTGAAGCGTCTCAACTCATTTTGTCGCCGTTTGTAGGGTTGTAGACTGTATCCAGTCACTAGTGCTATTAAATCTGACATGGTCTGGTTAGTGCTATTTTAATGCTGTACATAACTTTAACAAATTCTCTAATCTGATTGGCTAACATCTGCCCTGAATTCAGCATTAATTGGACAGTGTAATAGTATAGTATGCATGATATTTAAATATTCATAACTGAACAGTACACACCACTATGCCTGCACACTTGAAACTCCGATCTCGGAATATCTTGTGTTTTGATTTTAAAAATTTAGTATTAGTAAGCATAAAGTATCACAAATTTTGTTATACATGTAGTGATGATTATTATTGGTGACAGAAGTTCATGAATGTGTAATGTGTAATGTCATGGATCAGGGGACAACAAGGCATGCCCTCTTTACATATTAACACGTTAACAGTAAGTTCAGACTTCAGCATGTTGTCCAATTCAGTCTGTAATCATTCTCAAGATTTTGATTAAAAAACAAAACAAACTGGATGACCATTGTTGTTAATCACTCATGTGATTACAGACCATATTGGTTTTAGCCTCCCAAGGTGACGTTCTTTTGGCTCATCACACAATCCTCCCAAATGACGGAACGATTAACAAAGCCCTAAGAACAGCTGCGTGGGAGGCTAAATTGGACTCCAGTAGAGTCCTATTACTGTTATGAATCTGTAAAATTAACTTTATCTCTGCTATTGTTTAAAGGGAATAAAGTGTCAATTGGATGTTATTGAGGGAAGCATGACAGTTAGCACAACAAGGAAGACTTGGGATCCATACATCATAATCAAAGCTAGAGACATGATCAAGCTCATGGCAAGAAGTGTTCCTTTTGAGCAGGTTTGCATTTTGTGTTGGGTCAATGTTATTCAGGGTTCACACTGTCTTGAAAAGTCCTTGAATTTTCTTCATCTTTAAATTTACATGTAGTGGCCTAGCAGCATGTGCAAAGAAAGTGGTGTCGCATAGCCCGGGGCTAGTGGAGTTTGTTACTGGGCTAGTGAATTCTGTTCTCAACTTGCCCGATGGGCAGGTAAAGTTTTTTGGGGAATTCACGGTAATCAATCCTGCTCATCAAAAAAAATTTTTTCGGCCTATATAAAGTGACTCTTGGGCTAGTACATTCTAGCTACAGCTTGCCCGAATGGTAAGCTGTAAAATGGACTTTCTTGGCACCCTGCCTAGAAGGAGTTTTTTTAAATGCGTTTTGGTAGTCCAAGACAAATCATAGCTCAGAGAAGACAAAGTGATTTGTATAAAACATCTAAGTTTTGTTTTGTGCAGTCCAAGACAAATCATAGCTCAGAGAAGTCAAAGGTGATTTGTATAAAACATCTAAGTTTTGTTTTATGCAATAATTAACCCCTATCAATATAAGACAAGTGAACTGAAAAATTTAGAGAAGTTGGTGGAGCAAACATTTCAAACCTTAATGTTCTGTTTAGTGTTAGAATGGGCTGGGAATGTGCATGTTTGTACAGTCTGTTACATTACATTCCTGAAAGGTGGTCCTTGAAAATCAAATGTGGTCCTTAAAAAGTTCTTGAAAAGTCCTTGAAACATCCTGCCATGTCAGGAATGGTGCTCCAGAAATTATTTCCCATCATACCCCAAAATCATTTTGAATTTATGAATCATTCTGTGACATATCACATATCGCAACAGGCATTTTCGCCAAAGGACTTATGTCTTGCTTGTTACAATTTTAAGGGTTGTCAACATATGCTGACAACCAGCGCTGTCGCAGCCTACTTTGAGGTCTTCACCGGCTGTAAATTGTCAATAATTGTAAATCACAAGTGTTAATGTGTTCCCCTACCCGGAAAACACATAATTATCCCTAGTGTAATGCTTTTTTCCCACCCAGGAACAATTCCCAGCAATAAGAATAAGTGTTCCTCTACCTGAAATACACATACCGGTACCTCCCCCACCCGGGAAACACATATCCCTAGTGGAATGTGTTAATTTCCCCACCAGGATCAATTCCTAGTGATATAATGTTCCTCTACGTGGGAACCACAGATCACTGGTAATATGTCACAGGAAACTTTTTGTAATTCCCAAACTGGGAAAATGTTGGGGATTTTTCCCATTATTGGGAAATGTTTGGGACAACATTTTCCTCTCATGGGAAATGATTGGTAAAAGTTTGGGTTTATTTTTCCCAATGCTGGGTTCACTTTGGGAAATGAAGCGAAATATCTTTTAAAATACCAATGTTGGGAATCCAATGGGTCTTCTCCCCAGAATATGGGAAAATGATGGGACTATTTTTTCACAATTTGGGAAATATTTCAACATGTTATTCCCAATTTTGGGAAATGCAAGGGACAAGAAATCCCCACCTTGGGAAAGGGTTGGTTAAATTTAGGGTTACGTTTTCCCAATGCCGTGTTTAGTTCGGGAAAATATGCAATATAGATTCCAAGATCCCAACATTGGGAAACCAATGGGTTTATTTCCCAAAATATGGGAAAATAATGGGGCTATTTTTTCACAAGTTGGGAAATATTGCAACATGTTATTCCCAATTTTGGAAAATGAAAGGGACAAGAAATCCCCACCTTGGAAAAGGATTTGATTAAATCTAGATTTGTTATTCTGATGACTATTAAATTGGGTGGAAAAGAATACAATAATCTTGTGTTAGCATTACAATGTAAGGGTTAGGCCAACAATTGTATTCTTTCATGGGAAATATTGAATAAATTCCAATCCAAAAACAGAAAAGGATTAAGAATAATATTTTTCATACACATAATGTTTGGTAACTAGTAAATCTTCCCAAATGTTGAGTTTAGTTTTGAAAGAAATGACAGACTGCTCTTGAAATACCAACATACATAGTGTACAAATAATGTTTAAAAAGTTTAATTTTCCAAACATCATATCTACTAAGTTTAGAACAAAACAGTTAAAGTTTCATTGGCTTATTTGAAAACCAAAAGTATGGTAATTCAGTGCATATACTTGATCGCATGCAGCCGCTTCAATATAATTAACTATGAATGATCCCACTAGGCGCATAACTCTTCTCGATATCAAGGTGTCCTCTGTTGAGAACTGAAATTTCCCCAGTTACTCGAGTCCCGTCTGATTAATGAAATTGCTTTGCATGGAGTTTTCGGCGAACTACATTTTTCGCCGCATCTGTGAATAGGCCCGGCGCCTTTTTTCAAAGGTTCCCTCACCTGGGAGAACAATGCAATATTTTCTCCTCGCTGCTTTACTCTTTGCGAGCGTCGCCATAGTGCATTTAACTCTGAAACGGACCACAAGTTAAAGCTTTCAAAGACACACAATCTTTGTGCCGTCGAATTGCCGCCATGTTTGGTACTTGAACTGGCTTCCAGGCCTCCGCTTAGTGACGCGCGATCACGTGCGGCTTTTGAACCAATAGAAATGTGTACAAGATCAGTTTTCTTGGTTCAAATCTTTTGGCGGACTTCTGTGCAGTACAACAGTGGTGTGCAAACGGATTGTGTTTATAATGGATGCATCCAAAGATTTTAGCGCAAAATATTCACTTGTGAGGTTGCTTACATTTGTCTTGTTTCAAAATCGTCTTCTATTAAACAATGACTCAGTTGGATCGCGCATTAAAGAGGAAGGTATGTGTGGAAACTCATGTTTGGTTGCTCCGTTGAGATCTTACGAGGCTCGATTGTCTCTTGTCGGGTGCTAGTTGTTCGTTTTATTGATGAAGTTTCCACCTTTTTTTGTTTATACAGATGACTGTGGTCTTTGCTGCAAATCGTCCACGGAATCCTTTAGAATAATTCTGTTCTGGCGGAATATTGAAATCGAAGACTTCGATGTATTAGAGGAAATATAAAAATGTTCTGGCATGTCCGCTATGTAAAAACTATACAAGAGACTGGTTCATTTATTATAATTATGACTTGACGCTGTTTTTTCCCAGGTAGGACTTAGCTATAACTAAATACCCATAGTAATTCTGATATAAATGTCGCTCTTAACCATGAAAATGAAGTTAAAGGACATTTGATGTGTTCATAAAGGCACTGAGCTGTTTGATGAATGTACGGAATAGCCTTCGACAATATAAAAAAAAAAAAATATGACTCTGCATAAAGGCATTGCTCTATGGTTGATGAATGAACTTAAAATAAACAGTTTAATATATTTTTATGATATATTTTTCAATGATATTGTATATTTTGGATGTTATATTTTCATATAAAGAGATACAGATTAAATACCTGTTTAGTAACAATCAACCAGTTTGAATTGACACCTGCATTGTCATCTAAAATAAATGTTACTGTTAACCATATTAATATTGTCGAACCTTTATTTTGTGTTTTACAATTGGACCAATACATGTATTTTTAAAGGCTGCTTGATTGATCACAATGACATTCTGGCCAATGTTATCCCATTATTGAAGATCAACTGGGGCAATAAAAACCCATCTTTGGAGTATTACTATCCCAATATATTCCCATACCTCGGGTTTAAATTGGTCCAATAGTATCCCTTTAATGGGATAAAAGTGGACCAATGTTATACCACTAATTGGGGATTACCTGGGGCAATAAAAACCCATGGTTGGGGTATTACTGTTCCAATATAATCCGTACATTGGGTTTCAGATGGCCCAGTATTAACCCACTATTGGGGTTCAACTGGGACAATTGAATCACATTTTTGGGATTTTTGTGGGTTGGTAAAATCCCATTAATGGGATAAATATGGGACGCGAAAACTCCATTCCTGGGTTAAAGTTGGTACACTAAAATCCCAATTTGCGGGTTTTTATTGGGTTTACTTGAACCCAATATTGGTTTTGGTAGCATTTTCCCAATTTGGGAAATTACAACCAAAACCCAAGAAAACCCCACAAATTTCCTGGGTTTTTCCCACTTTGGGAATCACCAAAAATTCCCTGTGTGTGCTACCCTACCCCGGAAACACATTCCATTAGAGAAATGTGTATGCCTACCAGGAAATCACATTTCCCTAATGAAACATGTATGTGTTGCCCTACCCAGGAAACACATATCCCTAGTGATATGTGTTTCCTGGATAAAAGAACACATAGCACTAGTGATATCTGTTTCGGTGTAGGGAGAACACATATCACAGGGGAACACATATCACTGTGATGTCACAGTAATATGTGTTATCCGTAACACATATCCCTGTGGGAATGTATTTTCCTTACCTGGGAACAGTTCCTACTGATATATGTTCCTCTACATGTTATACTAGGTTACGTATCACTAGAACACATATCCTACAACCATATCGCTAAAACACGTATCAGTACTAGATAAATATCATATCACTAGAACACATATCACTGGTGATATGTGTTCTCCTACCTGGAAAACACATTCCACTAGTGATATGTGTTTCCCTACTGTCCTGGGAAACCCTTGACACTGAATTAAGTATTAATGATAAACTTTATACCAGTATAAAGAGTAATCCATTTATTTTTTTCTATACAATCACGGACACCGAAGATAGTCCCGATATCTCAAGCACATTGTCCTTTTGTGCTTGGAATATTAATGGCCTTTCTTCGAAATATCTTGGAAATAAGTTAGATAATACTGATTTTGTGAGTGTTATTAATAACTCCGATTTTATATTGTTAACAGAAATTGGCAACTGCTCTAATCTGGAAATTGCGGGATACAAATCTTTTTTTCAATGTCCTACACCAAATCAGTCGGGGAGAGGTGGGCGTAACTCCGGAGGAATCGCTTTATTTTATAAGAACAAATTCCATAAAAACATTTCCATCACTAAAACAACTCAGTATTTTATTTGGTTTAAAATTGAGAATCGTTTTCTAAATTCAGTGAAGAATATTTACGTCTGTGGTGTCTATATACCCCCCTGTAACTCAAAATACTTTGATAACGAAATTTTTGATCAGCTAGAACAAGACATAGTACGTTTTTCTTCGAAAGGATCAATAATTCTCATGGGTGACTTTAACTCGAGAACCGGGAAATACTCTGATACTGTCTCAAAGGAGGGAAACAGTAGAATTAGTAATGATCAGTCGGAATCTGCTTTCCAGCCAACTCAAAGAAACAGTTTTGATAATGTTTTAAATAGCCATGGGAAACGGCTGTTGGAAATTTGTAAAACCTTTGACCTAAGAATAGTTAATGGCAGAGTTAATGGAGATACCCTAGGCAGACCCACTTTTCATGGAAAAAACGGAACGAGCGTTATTGATTATCTAATATGTGATTGGTGTACATTTCACAACGTTGCAAATTTTGTTGTTAAACAGCCATCTTATTTATCGGATCATAGTGCCATCGTGGCATGGCTCAATCTTAACACCAGGTTAATTGGAGACGAAATGCACACTCCAAATAGTAGCAATAGATTATCAAAATTACCACGGCAATTTTGCTGGGAAGTTGACTCACACTTAAAATTCAAAACGCACTGCGCCTGGAACCAATCCAAATTCTAATTAGACAATATATGGAGAGAAACACCAAAGATGTGAATATCTCCTTAGAAAACACTATGAAAATTCTAACTGAGAGCTCCAAGCTATGCCTAAAAATTAAAGCTAAGAAAACTTATAAGCGTATTAAGAAATCATCCAACAAGAAATGGTTCGACTGTGAATGTCGCTTCAAAAGGCATGAATTACGAAAAGTCTCAAATGAAAAGCACCGTGACCCCCTCAACTCCGAAGTGTGGGAAAGATATCACAAAACCTTGAATGATTACAAAAAGCTCCTAGACACAAAGAAGAGAGGATTCCACAAAGAAAAAACATTACAACTCGATTTAACTAGTTTTTTAAATCCTGACAAGGCGTCATTTTGGAATTGTTTAAATTCGATGAGCGACACTTTCAACGAAAATGTTCCTGCCCCAATCTCGGAAGAATCATGGCTTCACCATTTCAAATCTCTGCATTCTATTGACCCGGCCAATTCCACGCATGAACATGAAATCCATAGGGAACTAGATTCTTTAAAACACTAAAAGGAACAGTTTAACCATCTCGATTATGAGATAACTGAGAGGGAAATACGTCAAGCGGCGAAGAAATTGAAAAATAAGAAATCACCATTTGTTGACAAAATACGAAATGAAATGATCAAAGCAAGCCTCGAACCACTAATGCCTGTCTATGTCAAACTTTTTAACCTCATCTTACAATCCGGAAAAATGCCAGATGTTTGGTGTCAAGGCCTCATAACCCCAATTTACAAATCTGGTGACAAGAGTGATCCAACAAATTACAGAGGCATATGTGTTTCTAGTTGCCTTGGAAAACTGTTCTGTTCTATTTTAAATCGAAGACTTCACTTGTATTTTGAGGAAAATAAGATATTACATAATTCCCAAATTGGCTTTTTGCCTGAAAACCGCACTGCAGACCATGTTTTCACTCTAAGGATCCTAATAGATAAATATGTGCATTATCACAAGGAAAAAGTCTACGCTTGTTTTAGTAGATTTCCATAAGCGTTTGACTCTGTTTGGCACGAAGGATTGTTTTATAAGCTGCTAAAAACGAATATAGGAGGAAACTTGTACAACCTCATGAAAAGTCTTTATTGCAACTCGACATGTTCCATCAAAATCGGTGAAAACAAAACACAGCCTTTTTCATATTCCAGAGGTGTACGTCAAGGCTGTATTTTAAGCCCTCTTTTATTTAACCTCTATTTAAACAATCTACCACTTTTATTCGAAAACACCTTATCTGACCCATTTGTTCTCCCAAATGGGAAAAAAATAAATTCACTTTTCACGCAGATGATTTAGTTATTCTATCAAGATCGAAAACTGGATTACAGAACTGTTTAAATGCGCTTTCTTTGTATTGTGACAAATGGAAGCTAAAAATTAATCCAAGAAAACAAAAATTATGATATTCCAGAAACGCCCAAAAAATCTATTGACATCAAATTCAACATAGGCAGTGAGTCAATTGAAATTGTCCAAGAATACACTTATTTAGGTACACGTTTAACTCCAACGGGAAACTTTACACTTGCACTCGAACACTTAAAAGAAAAGGCCCTTCACGCGTTTTCTAGTATTCGGAAGCGGACAATTCTTAACAAACTTAGTCCTAATACTGCATCCCAAATTTTTGACACCATGGTATTCCCAATCTTGAGTTACAACAGCGAGGTATGGGGAATGTACACCAAGCAAGATTTTAAAAAATGGGATAGCTCCCCAATAGAAAAAATCCACCTCAAATTCTGTAAACGTTACTTAGAGGTTAACAATAAGGCCTCTAACATAGCCTGCAGAGCTGAACTTGATAGACTGCCGCTGCTTATCCCGATAAATCAGAAAATTATGAAATATTTTGTTTACCTCAACAACAAAGATAATGACTCTATAGTCAAACAGTCTTTCCTTATGTCAAAGAATCTACATTCCATGAATAATTCCGGATATTTTTCCAATTTCATAAACATGCTTGAACAATACAATCTAACCAGTTTAGATGCTGAATCTCTAGATAATGATAAAATTAGACGATATACCACAGAAATGAGAGAGAAATATCTATCTTTTTGGCGGCACAGCCTCGAAAATTCAAAAAAACTAGAATTTTATAAAACTTTTAAAGATGAATATTCTACATCTGATTATCTCTACCAGCTAAGACATTATGACGAAGGACAGAATTTTGTTAAATTTAAAATAAGTAATCACAAACTTATGATTGAACATGGTCGATACCAAATCGATCATTTGCCAAGAGAAAATAGATTATGTCCTTTATGTAACTCAAATCAGGTAGAAGATGAGATTCATTTCCTCTTTCAATGTAACAAATACTCAGTACAGAGACAGGCATTTACTAATCAAATCAATCGAATAATACCTGAATTTGACAAGAAATCATCTCCAGAAAGCATAAAACTGATAATGAATTCGAAGGAACATCATGTAAATAAGTTAGTTATGAAGTTTGTTTCCTCCTGCATGAAAATACGTGATTCATTGTTAGTAATGTAACCGAATTTTTCTAGATTATTATTAGTGCTGTTTTGTTTTATATTTTGATTGTCATATACATGCTTTTGCAATACTGTAAAATGATGCGGTCATGCAAATAAAGCAATTTATTACTATTACTATTACTAAGTGATGTGTGTTCCCCTACCCAGGAAACACATATCCCTAGTGATTTGTTTTCCTCTACCCAGGAAACACATATCCCTGGTGACATGTGTTCCCGTACCTCGGAAACACAAATCCCCAGTGAAATGTGTTCCCCTACCCAGGAACCACATTTCCCTACTGATATGTGTTCCCTTACCTAGGAAACACATACCCCTGTGTTCCCCTACCTGGGAAACACATATCCCTAGTGATATGTGTTCCCCTACCCAGGAGACACATTTCCCTAGTGATATGTGTTCCCCTACAAGGGAAACACACATCCCTAGAGATATGTGTTCCCCTACCCAGGAAACACTTATCCCTAGTGATATGTGTTCCCCTACCCGAGAAACACATATCCCTAGTGATATATGTTCCCCTACCCAGGAAACATACCCCTAGTGATATGTGTTTCCCTACCTGGGAAACACATCTCCCTAGTAATATGTGTTCCCCTACCGGGGAAACACATATCCCTAGTGATATGTGTTCCCCTACCCAGAAAACACTTATCCCTAGTGATATGTGTTCCCCTACCCAGGAAACACAATTCCCTACTGATATGTGTTCCCCTACAAGGGAAACACCCATCACTAGTGATATGTGTTCTCCTACCCAGTAAACACGTTTCCCTACTAATCTGTGTTCCCCTACCAAGGAAACACATACCCCTTGTGATATCTGTTCCTCTACCTGGGAAACACATACCCCTAGTGATATGTGTTCCCCTACCTGGGAAACACATACCCCTAGTGATATGTGTTCTCCTACCCAGGAAACACATACCCCTAGTGATATGTGTTCCCCTACCCAGGAAACACATACCCCTAGTGATATGTGTTGCCCTACCTGGGATACACATATCCCTAGTGATATGTGTTCCCCTAACACATAACCCTTGTGATATCTGTTCCCATACCAGGGAAACACATATCGCTACTGATATGTGTTCCCTTACCTGGGAAACACAGACCTCTAGTGATATGTGTTCCCCTACCTGGGAAACACATACCTGTAGTGATATGTGTTCCCCTACCTGGGAAACGCATATCCTTAGTGATTTGTGTTCTCCTACCCAGGAAACACATTTTCCGACTGATATGTGTTTCCCTACCTGGGAAACACATACCCCTAGTGATATGTGTTCCCCTACCCAGGAAACACACATCCCAAGTGATATTTGTTCTCCTACCCAGGAAACACATGTCCTTAGTGATATGTGTTCCCTTACCCAAGAAACACCTATCCCTAGTGAAATTATGTGTTCCCCTACCCAGGAAACACATTTCCCTACTGAAATGTGTTCCCCTACAAGGGAAACACACATCCCAAGTGATATGTGTTCTCCTACCCAGGAAACACATTTTCTTAGTGATATGTGTTCCCTTACCCAAGAAACACCTATCCCTAGTGATAATTATGTTTTCCCCTATCCAGGAAACATATCCGTAGTGACATGTGTTCCCCTATCCAGAAAAAAATATCCCTAGTGATATGTGTTCCCCTACCTCGGAAACAATTCCACTGAGTGGCTAGACTTCAAGCGAAGTTGAACCTGAGGCTTCAACTCGAAATCAAGTGCCCTAAACTACTCGGCCATGTTAATTCTTCTTATTTATTGATCAACAGATGTTGAACAGGGTATCACGTATTGTTCAATGTTGAAATAGGCCATTCGATCTGTTTAAGGATGTTGAACGAGAATAGAGCTGGGCTCTGTTCCTTTCCACAAGTTTTAACTTTGAGCATTGAGAGCTGGCCAACATTATTTTTTGTCTATTATTTGTTTTGAACACTCATGATTTGATCGCTTGATCATCATGTCCGACCAAAGGCACATTTACATTTGTTGTTTGTAGGATTTCGTCGGATATTGGTAAAGTTTGGTCATACAGCATCTGATGACCGACTTATTTGCAGTTCTGTACATTTATTTGACTATATATAGATGTAGAGCTGTCTGATGTTGTATAAAGTTTTTGTTTTTTGTTTTGTTTAACTAAAAGTTCGTTTTAACCACTGTTTCTCAGGCTCAGCGAGTGCTAGAAGATGATGTTGCTTGTGACATTATAAAGATTGGATCACTAGTTCGGAATAGAGAGAGATTTGTGAAGAGAAGGCAGAGGCTTATTGGACCAAATGGAGCAACATTGAAGGTCAGCTGGATTGACTAACCCACCACAACCGTTATCTTTCATGTTCTTATCTGAAACTACTTTTTGGTTAAGAATTTTCCATTCCGTTCGCACTAAACGCGGTATTTTGAGGGCCAAAAATGTCTTCTTAAAAGTTGCATTGTTGTAGGTTCTCTTGTTTTAAGTTTTTCATTTTTCCGAATTTATGGTTCGATTTTTAGCTGTATACTTGAGATTCCAGCCAGGTAGAATTTTTCTTCCACGCCTAACCAGCAACAACAACAACAACAATTTTATTCTTGCGTGCACTAACTGTTCAATATAGCTTGCCCCGCAAACTGATAGCTGGAAAGCTAGTCGTGGTGGGGCAGATCAAGTACATGAATAACTTATCTACTAAAAACAAAAACACTACACTTTACAAAGCCTTGCAGAGTGCAACTTTAGTTCGGCAATTTCGTTACGCAAAGCCAAAGTCGCTTCAACCACATCGGTTTATTTCATGATCTAGTTGTTTGTACTTTTGTGTTTTTTAGGCTCTTGAACTTCTCACACAATGCTACATTATGGTTCAAGGAAACACTGTAGCGACATTGGGTCCTTACAAAGGTCTCAAGCAGGTAAGGACAAAATTGATTTGCTCGTATCAGCATTCTTATCTATGAATACACCTTGCATTTTCCAATTATTTTAGTCACTTAATGAGCAGTATCTCATTGAATTATCACAGTTAAAAACTAACCCTTTCATTCGTCTGGTGCTTCTCCACCCCACATATAATGTAGAAACGTCATTTTGCTAATGCAAAGTATTTCAGGTTACATTATAAACAGGTTCTAATAATTACTGTTGTGCTTTTGTCGTTTGGTTTACCTCAACTGATTTCAGCAGCTCTTCATACAAGTCTCTTGTTGTGAACTGGTGGTGACTCCGATATATAGATATAATATTTTGTATACTGTTTGGTTGTACAGGTTCGCAAAGTTGTAGAAGATACCATGAAAAACATTCACCCTATTTACAACATAAAGGTAATACTGATAAATCAAAGGTTGCTGTTGAAATAACATATTTTTTATGTTAAGGTTAGCTTAGACTGAATTCGTGTGTTTTAAAACCACTTCGCCTGAGATTATGTGATTGTGGTACAACTAGCTTGAACACATTCAAATCAAAACATTGAAAACATTCAAATTTAAATCGTAAGATATTGAGATCGTTTTCACTCACGTGGTCGGAAGCTACGCAAAATTGTTAGAAAAAAAATTAAGTTCTGTTAGTATAAGAAAAGAGTTCAATCCCCACACGAATTTCTTGGTTCACCAATTCCTCATGTTCCCAGCGAGTGAAAAAATGGGTGCGAAATGCGATGACAAAACTTTTTGGGATCGTTTGGAGAGACAGCATGAAGGTCAACAAACATGATGCACTATAAGTGCCGTGTTGCAAACTGCAAGGCAACTAATCTTTACTATAACCTAATTCTTAAGACCTTGTTGCACCAGGTATGTCTTCTTCAGTCAGAATAATCTTGAGTGCGTCTTTAACAGGTGACTTGCTGCTGTCCGCCATGTTTCTGCTGTGCCTCCAAACGATTCCTAAAGCGTTTGCTCTCATGACTCGTACCAGTTCCTCGCTCGTTTAGAACATGGCTAATGGGGAGATTTGGGGCGAAATGACGACGTCACAAAAACCAAATTTGCGAACTTGTGGGAATGGTTTGCATATCCAGAAAGAGCAACATGAAAATGTTTACTTGCCAAAAACCAGCCTGTTGGTGCAAATTGGTGAGGATATATAAGCAACGTTATGTTTCCAATGACTCCATATAAATCCTTCTAAAGTAGGCCTGGATCGTTAACGTTACCATCCAAGCCAATTTTAAAAGGATTTATATGGAGTCATCAGAGCAAACCGGTGCTTATATCTACCCGCCAATTTGCACCAACAGGCTGATTTTTGGCAAAGGGCTTTTTCATCTTTTTCTTTCAGAATATACCAATCAATCCCAGAATTTCACAAATTTGAATTTTTGTGATATCTCACTTCTCTATTTTTAAGATTTTTATACTTCTGCGTCAATCACCTTATGTTTATCATACGTGGAGGTATCCTTGTACGCCTACGTATCAGGTACCTCACCGTCTTCTTAACTGGGGAAGGGTCTCTTTAGAAAAGAGGTTCTTTAATTAACTCTTGCTGACTATACATATGATTATTTTCTCTTTAAACAGACTCTAATGATCAAAAGAGAGTTAGCCAAAGATCCACAGCTGAATAATGAATCATGGGACAGGTTTCTGCCTAAGTTTAAACAGACCAATGCAAAGAAAGTCAAGAAACCCAAGTTTAAAAAGAAGACCTATACGCCCTTCCCACCACCCCAAACGGAAAGCAAGGTTAGAATTTACTGTTACATTTGTATTCCATTATACTATTGCAACAAGGTAGTAAGTGAAATGCCATCTTCTAGACACACACTGATAACATCTTATCGAGCTATACGAAGATATATAGCACAGACCGCTACACTGACCTATGCAAAGCAATATGAGCCATACACTGCTATAGTGAGCTATACATTGCTATACCTAATGATCTACACAGTTCTTTACTGAGATGAGCAGTACACAGCTGTAATTAGCTAAAAATCGCTTTACACAGTTATACAAGTACTGAGCTAGATTTAGCTATACACCGCTAGACGGAATGCAGATGCTTTTCAGGTCAGGTCAGGCCAAGAGTCTGCAACTGTTAACTCTGTTACCCGTTACAACCTGCTGCATGGACGGGTCGTCGGTTTAAAGCTACCTTGATGCACCCATGGTCCAAACATGGGCACCTAATCCACTACATTCTTGTGTGTCAGGGAGACTAGCGGGACGTGTCTCACACCAGAGTAATGCCTAACCCTGAATGTCATTCAGGCCACCGCTTCTTCCGTTGTAAGCTGAACGTCCTCTTTAAACCTAAGCAGGAGACACCGTGTCACCGAACTACGCTTTAACTCTAGCAAGACTAAGTTCTAGCTTGAAACACAGTGCAAACTTGAGTGTGAACTATTTAGTTGACACTCGACCTGAAGCACAATGGGCCATCTCAAGAACACTGTTCTGCAGGCTGCTTAGGAATTACTAGGTTTCTCGTCAAAGAAAAACAAAGATTGATTCGACGAGAACAACTGGGAAATACAGCAACTTTTCGCGGAGATAAAGCCAGAAAACCAAGCCCATCTGACTTACCCTTTCTGTTCTTAAAGAAAAGCAGCCTTCCGCTGCTTCTCTTGCCTAATGCTTCAACGCAAGCTGGCAGAGATCCAAAATAAGTGGTGGAATGGCCCTGCGGAGGATCCATACATTGCCGGCAAATATGGCTTGTTCTACCAGGCCATGAGAGCAGTGTATGGTCCCTCTTACCAAACGTTAAGCCCTCTCCGAAGTTCAGAGGTCAAAAAACGTCTGACAGACAAGGCCTCTATTGTGGGCCGCTAGTCTGAACACTTTAAAGGACTCTTCAACGCCAACAGCTCAGTTCAAGATGCTGCGATCAACCTCATCCCAGAACACCGGAAAAAAACCTGGCTGGACGGTTCCCTAAAACTCCAGGAAGCCATAAAAGCGATCGAGACCCTGAAATCTGGCAAGACCGCAGGAGATGACGGCATTCCCCCCGAAGTATGAGTCACCGGTGAACCCTCGCTCCACATGAACCTCCGTGAATTCCTTATTCTTTAGGTGTTGGGAGCACAGTAGACTGTCTATTTCTATCATATTCATGTCCTGTAAAGATTCCGCCAGCGCTGCCTGTGTACCATCCTAAGAATTCATTCAACATAAACTTAGACGTCCTTGAGAATGCTAGGATCACTAGCGGCGAGTCAATCCTCATGAAGACGCAGTTGTGCTGGGCAGGACACGTCTTTAGAATGCCCGACCACTGCCTAGATCACACTATTCGGAGAACGCTCGATCGGTCACCGCAACAAAGACAAGATAAACAAGGCACTCAATGCCTGCAGCATTGACCGCAAACACTGGACTATTCTAAGGCTGCCGGCAGAATTGCTTGGCTCTGTAGCGTCCGCCAAGGCACCATCTCCTTTGGTGCTAACTGACGTGCCACTCTATAGGAAAAGAGGCTAAAGAGGCAAAGCTGTTCTCACCCTTCATCAGGCATTCCCCTTATTATCTCTTATTAGCTGTTGCGGTATCAGCCTTAATTGTCAGCCACCAGTTTGCCCAGACAGGACACACTGAATCTTCTATTCTGGAGTGAACGCCAACAAGACTACACAGATGCAAATATCCATATACTGTGCTCTGCTAAACTATACTCCGCTTTACTGAGCTATAAACGACTGTAGTCAGCTATAAAGAGCCATGCATACACCGCTCTGCTGAGCTATTCACCGCTGTACAGATGCTGTACATGACTGTACTGCCGCCTGGTTGGCTCAGTTGAGAGAGCGCGGGTCTGCTGAGCGGGACTTCACAGGTTCGAACCCCGGTCGGACCAACACCCAGGGTCTTTGAATAACTGAGAAGAAAGTGCTGCCTTTGTAATGACATCTGCAAAACAGTTGGACTTTCTAGTCTTCTCGGATAAGGCCCCCGTTCAAAGGAATCTGGGTGACAAAAATATATGCGGGTTCAAAAATGTCCCGATTCGCGTGGACGTGGCCTAACTCAAGTTCATAACTAAGGGCCTGTTTACATGGGGGTGGCGGACCCCAAGTAAGGGCCTGTTTACATTGAGGTGGGGGACCCCAGGTAGGTGAGGTAACCCTCTTAGGTGGGGTAACCTGCCTGTCTATATGATGTCTCATTAAGAGATGATATGGACAGGAGGGTTACCCCACCTACCTGGGGTACCCATGGGGTCCTCCATGTAAACAGGCCCTAACTGTAACTGTAATCATCATCGCTGGGGGTCGTTGTCTCCAACTGATCTGCATAAAAAAATGTATTTCATAACAAGAGAACTACTTATAGTGACTTGGAACACCAAATGTTTTTACCTTTTTTTTCAGATTGATAAGCAATTAGCAAGTGGTGAATACTTTATTCAGGAAAAGGAAAGAAAACTAAAGGCGTGGCAAGAAAAAAAGGTAAATTTGGTCCCCTGGTGGGTGGTACGACGTACCAAGGCATATCACAGAAAAAGAAACCTTTTTGCTCTGTAAAGCCCTGTTATCTGTTGGCTGAAGAAAATTACTTAGGGCAAAATGATGGCAGTTTCCCAGAAACCTCAATTGATCCGAAAATTACTGCTGTATCGCGATGGCGATTGTCATATCGCAATCTCGTATGGGATCAGAATCGCAACTGTTGTATAGCGATGGCGATTGCTGTATTGCCGTCGCCGATTAACATTAAAAGGCTAACTCGAGATTTCTAATGGTGGATATTTGACGGGGGGCGAACCCGGGCTATTTTCATTTCAAATATGGTTTCAAAAATCGTAGAAGAAAAACCAGGGAAAACTGTCGAAATCTAATCCTTGCCTTAAGTCTAGGTTATCAATGATGGTATCGATTGTTCACAATAGGGAAATAAACAGCTTCTCATCTGCCTGTTTAGATTAGTGCAGTTATCCACTGAGGTCAGATCGAAGTTGTATTGCTCTCTGTGAAACATCTCAATCCAGTTGTGATGTAGCATTTTTACCAGGGGAGGGGCCCCGCCCCCTTTTTATTTTTAGACCAAACTGTGTCCCAAAGGGCCGGAAAAAAACAGCCCCTCCCCCCCTTCCCTGGTTCACCCACTGTTTACCTGTGTTTTCTTCAGAGTTACTCGTTTTTATTTTCATTTTTAACCGCGGCAGGATTAGCTCAGTCGGTGGAGCGCTTGACTACAGAGCGGGAGGTCGCGGGTTCGATTTCCCGGACCGGACCAACACTCAGGAGCGCTTACCTTTTGTACGGAAATCTCGGTGACAATTTTCCGTCAAATGTTACTCGTATTTTTTTTAGCACCGAAAGCAGGAACGGGATTGAGTTGTTCCATTTACAAAATACCGTTAAATTTTTCGCTCTCTCTCGACATAAAGCCTGGCACTAGTAATTCAGACAAATGGTACAGAAAATTTTGGTCGTTTCGGTGAAAGCGGGAAAAAGGTAATACCTCGAAACGTATTACTCTTTTTCCGGAAAATTTCCACCGGGATGAACTGTTCCATTTGAATTCTCCCCGGAATTTCCGGGTTTTCCATACAAATGGTAAGCGCTCCAAGTCTTAAAATGACTGAGAAATGAAGTTACTTCCTTTGCCCTGAAAATGGCTAGACCTCTGCGTTGCTTGGATGACCGCTTAAAATGGTGGTCCTGTCTCCAGTACGAGATGTCGCAATTAGTGCTTTCGTATTAAATACATTGACACTCAAATAAAGTACATTTTTTTGGTGCGAAGAATAGCCATAAATTCACCACTTTAAAATCGAGAAGGAAACTGGGACGAGTTAACTTTCGCGCAGACTCCGATTTAAAACTGCCATCTTCCCCTCCCTAGCGGAGGGGAGGGGTAGGTGGTCAGTTACCTAGAAACTTCCAATGATCCGACAATTGTATTGTTTTAATGTGTATAGGTACGGCAGGCAGATGCCGAAGAAAAGAGAAAAACTCAGCGAGAGAAGGCATTCATCCCACCAGTGGAAGATAAACCCAAAAAGGAGCTCAAGAAAAAAGGTGACTTTTCAATGTTCAGCAGTTTTCACTGTTATCGAGAGGCAGGAAAAGAAAGGGAGAGCTCTTCTTTCTCCTTTCTTTCCCCCCTCGCTCGTGATTTTCTCTTGGCTCGCTTCGCTTCACTAATGGCAAATGGAGAGCTCGCTTGCATTAGGCTATAAAATTTCGTAGTATTCGTCCGTTAATTCGCTATTTATTGAACCAGGTTATGTCAGTTATTCCAAAAACGTTCGAGCAACTTTTGATATTCATTCCACTATAGGTAGCCAATGCTCTAAATATGAGCGTCGGCACGGATGCGCAAACCTCGCAATATAAACGATTTTTGAAAAGAGGAAGGGGAAAAACGCGATTGTTTCCGTAACCAACGTGTATGACGGAATCTATTCATTGTGTTTCTTCTTTCTTGTGTGGTCCCCGAGCGGAGTAATGCTTATTATATGGAAGGTTACGTAACAATGCCGACGCTCACACTTTGTGCTTAGGGTACCTGTCATGTACATGAAATTTGCTTTTGTTAAATACTCTTAAGGTAAGGCACAGAGAAGTGAATAAATATAAGAGTGTGCACCCAAGTATACGCTCCCACAGCGTCTAGTTCACATAGGAAAAGACACGATTAGACACCTGCTTGATATGGGGAGACGCATTTTAGACGTCATACCTAGGCCCTTTTCTTTTTACATATAGATGATCAACCTTGGCCTTCCTAGCTCAAATAAACACAGCTGTGATGTGGGAATTGTGAGTTAGGCATAACTTGACCTTGCAAAACTTAAACGATTCAGTGACTCAGGCGAGTCGTAAGAAAGAGAAAACTGAGTTCTTCCATGAGGAGCGGAAGCTTCGGTTCTTCTGGCTGCACGTCCACTAGATCCTCTAGGAAACTCTACCGCTGAACTATGCTCTTCATATCCTCACGTTTAGCATAATTTCCATGATAAAAAGAAAGACAGTTTTCAACAAAACAGAGTCAATACAGGCTGCAAACACACAGTTATTAGTTCAAACCCAGTCCCTAAAGAGCTTTTTGATGGGGTCGGGGTACTTGTAACCGAACATTTCAAAGTCTGTGCGGTAAATCTCCGCAATTCTAATAATGCGATCCAGCGGTATTTGTGAATAGTATCCCCTTAGCAATTCTGGTGTCCTGGATCCATTGAACGAAGGGAATTCCACTTCTTTGTTCAAATGCAGCTTTTCTAAAATGTAATCAGCATCCTCTTTCGCAGTGTCGAAGTAACCGATATAGTCGTAGTTGATTGCGCATGGGTAGCATGTCTGGTGTGCAGGGCGCCAGTGCATATCCCACGTGGCCTTATTTGGCAATGTGTCAATGTATGACGTAAATTCGTCAAACGTTGGCCCAGAACACTCAACGCAACTGTCTGTTTTTCCCGCAGAACGACGAACCTTGTTGACTATATCTTTGCCCAGCTTATTATACAGTTGAGTCGTTTTTCCGACGAACTTGTCCCTATAGGCTGATAACAGTCTTTCGAAAGGCTCCCGAACAAAGAAAAACTTTTGGTAGGAAGCCAGCTTTTCTTGCCTTTCTTTCGGTTTATAGCTGTTCAGAAATTTAAAGAGATGATAGTCAAATAGGTCGATATCGCGATTTGGCGTAACAGGACGAATGGAGAGGATATTTAGAAGCGAGTCTTTCCATTGACTTGCTCCCGTTTTTGGGACGTAGCAAATGATGAATTTATGTTTGTCGCTGACCACAAAGTTAAAGTGGTTTCGTTTGGGAAATTGGTGAAATATTTCCGCGTTGTTTTTGGAGTCGTTGCAGTATTTTCGTATCCTTTGTAGACGATCGTGCTGTCTCTTTTCGTGGTCAATCTAAAAAATAGAAAAGAAATTATTTGAAACTTTCATGCAACTTTATCTACCGTTGCCCCCAGGTGCTATATCATCCTGTTCAGCTCTACATTTTTGTGTCAAAAAATTCGTCACTCATCTTTTCTCCTACTAGGAATTTCGCTTTCTCAACGAGTCATCTCGTTTTCCCAGTCAATCCAGATCTCTGTCGAATCGAATCTTGGAATCAGATCTCTGTTACAAAACTGTAATAACTGTAAGCAAAAGATCAAAGGATGCTTCCAAAAGGAAAATAAAGCAATCAGACTAGGAAAAGTTGGCCCACGTTTTTCAAGTTGCAGTCCACAATCCATTTCCGTTCTGATAACCGTCAGCCAACGACATGCACTTATAAGACTTAATTCAGGTGGGGTGGTATAATAGTAATTTTAAACATAACGGAACCATACTTTTGGGTTTTCTGTTTTCTAGGGTTTAAGGCAATAGCTCAAATTCATGACACTGTTTCTTGTGGACATCCTTAATACCTATAAATATTATTATGATTATTATTATTATTATTATTATTGTTATTGTTATATTAAAATACTAATTTACAAGCTCACGCCATTATCGACTTTCTAAAATTAGCGAAAACACGCTTGGCTAGCGTTTAAGCGGCAGTCATCATATGACCAATTTACATTCCACTATCAAAGACTAAAATTTTGATGAAATAAAAATAGTAAAAAGATGCTAAAGCTCACGCCATTATCACTTTCTAAAGTTAGCGGACACACGCTTGGCTAGCTTTTAAGCGACAGTCATCAATGAATTCTCTTGGGGAATTTTGTGGAAAGGTGTCCTGGAACCACTTACGCCTGTGCGTACGGACCTTAAAATAATATTAAATAGATGTTAATAGCAATCGTTGTTATTATTATGATTATTATTGATGTTAATATTAATGTTGAAACAATATCTTACATTACAGTCAGTGCCAAATAGTTAGACGTAAACAAAAGAAGACGATGAAATTAAGGTGTATCACTGCATAGTTGCCTACCAGTTAAATCACTCTAACACCTATAATTACTGTTATTAATATTGTTATGATTATGATTGTTATTGTTGTTATTATTATTATCATTATTGTTGTTATGATTATGATTGTGATTATGATATTATTTAATAATAAAAATTATCTTTATTAGATCACTAGTTAACACTGCAAGAAATAAAACTTCATCCGGCGATTGTTAAATCAGAGATGTCTTTTCAGGTTTCAGAAAGAAAAAAATCCCTTTTCCTCAAATTTTGCCAGCTGGATCTCTGGGATAAATAAATCTACAGATATTAAAAGACTGTAGGCAGTCTAGATTAAGCGAGGACTTGAGCCACTTTACCTGTGTTGTTTTTGGGGCATTTAAAGCTGCATCCGGTGACGTCATCTGGTGAACAGTCTGCCGTTGAGATCCTGTGAATAACAATTAAGGTGGCTTGATGGGTTTTTTCAGGGTCAATACCTCCCAAGTTTGAGCATAAACTACGTCGCCAGTAACAAGCATGTAGAAAAATTACCACCACAGCTGTATTAGATAAAGACGAAAATTTGTCATAGTCAGGGTTACAATGACTTCAGTGTTGGCGTTCCATACCTTTTCCTCAAATTTTGCCAACTGGATCTCTGGGATAAATAAATCTACAGATATTAAAAGACTGTAGGCACCCTAGATTAAGCGAGGACTTGAGCCACTTTACCTGTGTTGTTTTTGGGGCGTTTAAAGCTGCATCCGGTGACGTCATCTGGTTCCCAAGTTTGAGCATAAACTACGTCGCCAGTAATAAGCATGTAGAAAAATTACCACCGCAGCTGTATTAGATAAAGACGAAAATTTGTCATAGTAAGGGTTACAATGACTTCGGAGTTGTCATAGCAACGTAACGACGACATTATCTATTCTACTTGCAGCCGTATTTCTCGGCACGAGGAGCTCTTCTTCCAAAATCGTTCTCGACAGCTTTTTTTTTAAATTCTTGAGATTAACTATCGTTTTATATGACCTTAGAGTTTCAAGATTATTGATATCTTGTAAGGCAGTAAAATAAGCGCTACAATTCGCTAATTTGTTGTCGGAAATTTTGTGTTAACTAGTGAGAGCCTCTCATTATTTAGGATATTGTATCCAGGTTTCATTTGACGTGAGCAGCAGTAACTAACAATGCATTTGGTATATGGAAAGATGTTAGCTATTGTTGTGTACGAAAATATGAAACTTGGAGACAATACGCCCCCTGAATAATGAGAGGCTTTCACTTGTAAACACAAAATTTCCGACAAAAAATTAGCGAATGTAGTGCTTATTTTACTGCCTTACAAGATATCAATAATCTTGAAACCCAAACGTCATATAAAACGACGGTTTATCTCAGGAATCTAAATTTTTTTTAAAACAAATCTATCGGCGGTTTTCAAATTATCCGCTCATTTGTTTAAGCAGACCAAAATGTCTACAAAACCGTTAACTAGAGCGTCTCGATACCTAATAATCAAATCCTTCTTTCTAGCAATCGGCTAGTCCCCATGACCTTTCACACACGTTTTTAAAAAGATTGAAACTACTCTCAGGTGAAATTGCATTTCAAAAGCGCTTCGATTTCTACCGCTAACGGCCGAACATCAAGACTGCCCAGTTTTTACTGTATTTCTAACCATAAAATCGTCATCCCAAATATCTCAATAACGCTCTCATAAACTTCGCTTAAACTTCACTATTGTCGAGGTGGCTATTGGAGGAAAACACTCTCGTGAACTATTTCGGAAGAAGAGTCCCCAATACTAAGAAATACGGCTGTAAGTAAAATAGGTAATGACGTCATTTCGCTGCTATGACAACTCCGATGTCATCGTAACTCTGATCATAACAAATTTTCATCTTTATCCAATACAGCTGTCGTGGTAATTTTTTCCAAATCCTTGTTAATGGCGACGTAGTTTATGCTCAAACTTTGGAGGCACTGACCCTGAAAAACCCCATCGAGCCACCTTAAAAAAAATCCAGGTTGATTCATTAGTTAGTAGTCCCCGGGACTATTGACAAACCAAGGCCATGTCCACACGAGTCTGGACATCTTTTATCCGGATGAGTGTGGACGGGGCATTAAACTTGCTCTCCCGGAGAGCGGTTTCAAGACAACATTAGGGGCATTTAGATGCAACGACGGGGACGACCACGAGAACGCCAATAAAGCAATAGGTTGAATAGGCAAAACAGTAACTTTGTACGTGCATCACGCTTTTTTGTAGATTTCTTTGCCGTCACTGCACGACTAGGACGGGAAAATGCCTTATTTCACGTTTTGTGAAGGACGTAAACAAGCGACCTCGCTTTTGGACAAACTAAGATCGCCAGCTCCTAGTGATTATCAGTTTATCAGGTTATAATGTCGTTTAAATATTTGGGATATTTAGAATTTTTTAACGATATTTAATGGACAAAAGCGAGATATTTAAGAAAAAAAACAGGAATTTTCGGAGACATATTTAGGCGATTTTACGTGATATTTGCAGCTAGGCCTACCCCGAGAATTAGCCTAACTATGCTTTATAAATAATTGGCGTGACAAATATAATTTAAGAGTCGAGATTGGTTCTATACAGGTCACGAAATACAGACGTTGTTTGGTAAACAAACCGAAATTCGACTCGCAGAGGACATGTTGAGGTTGACCTCACAACAAAGCGTCTAACATGGATCAATTTTCCATACGTATGTCTGCAAAACGTTCTATCTCCACGCCAAAATTTTTGTATAAAAATTTATGGAAACAATTAACCTAGGTCAAAACCATTTTCTGTGTCAATGTCGAAATTATTCAGTTTGCGTAACATAGAAAATAGTGTGTAAAAGACTTCATAGGTTGATGGGCGGTTTGTTCGTTACTCTGTACTACAGAGCATCCTTCATCCCGCGCCCGATGATTATAATTAGTTCTGAGATACAGTGGAAGCTCTCGTGAGCGCGGGACACCCTCGGGACGCGTAAAAGAGTCCGTAACTGGAGCTGGCCGCTTACGGGAATGGAAAAATACAGAGTTTGAACGGGAGTTGAGAAAAACGGGGTTTTGTTAAGGCGGCCGTAGGTAGAGCTGTCCACCTACGAGAGTGCTTCCACTGTAAATATCACTTCATTCAGAAAGCCACATTTAGAGAAGGATTTAGACTCCAACCGTACCTTCAATGAGAAGCTGTTTTATAAACAGAATTCCAGTTGCTATGCAAAAGACCAAGCCGCACACTTTTCGTTTCCGTAAGAATGTTGTTCGGTTACATAAACGTCGTTTAAGCTGAGAGAAAGAGGCCATCCTCTCAAAAAACTGCAAAGAATCGTGAACGTTCTTGCTTCTTTCAAGCGAAAGCGACTACGACGGTACATCCTACGGGCAAATCGATATGATCGATGATTAGTATCATAAGCCGATATAGCGATACATTACTGAGGGTCTTACACATATTTGAATGGCTACGTAGGTCACGCAATTTTCTGGCACTTACAGTTTTTGTATGTCAAAAATATCTAGAGGACGTGAGGCTCGCTTTGTTAAGTTACCAGTTGAATTGTTACGATTTTGAGAAAGGGTCTGCATCTCTATAATCGTGGTACATTAGAAGTGTAGCTATTGTTACAAGTGTAGCTATTGTTTTAAGGTGGGTTTCCACTGTCGCGTATTTTTTACATGCCTACGCACTTAAATTTTACGCGCGTAAATAAAATAAAAGCAATGTATAAAAACTGCGCGTAAACGGGTTCAACTTTTACATTTACGCGCGACCGTCCCCGCCGGACATTGCCTCTCTTTTATTTACGCACGTACGCACGTAAAAATTACGCTGCAGTGGAAATCCACGTTAAAACAATGGCTACACTTGTAAATTACACTTGTGTGTTTGTTTTATTAAATCGACCCTAGTATAGTACAGTAAAATAACGATACAATACAGAACAATCTTATATTTATCGTCTTGGCAACTACTTAGCAACCAGCGAGTCAGCCAATGTGTTGAAAACGTTTATTATGATCTGTCCTCCTCGCTCTTAGGTTATAGTGACACTTTTGTTCTAAAACTAGTGAAGATCATCTCGTAACTAAGCTATTACTGGCTGAATTTTGAATTAAGTGAGATGTTTGATATGTGCAAACAGTCTGTCGCCCTGTGTGTGGTAATCCAAGACAGTCTGGAGACAGTCTTGCATTCTGGATTTCACGCTGTGGATTCCGGATTGCAGGTACTGGATTCCGGATTCGATATCAGTGGAACTTGGATTCTGGATAAGTATTCCAATCATTAAGGGGAGTTCGGATTCCCTGGGCTGAATTCTGGATTCAAATCCCACGATTCCGTATTCCACAAGCAAAAATGTTTCTGGATTCCGGATTCCACAAGCAAAATTTTCTGGATTTCGAATCCGTATTACCAGTACCTTACACGGGGCGAAATCTGTTGTCATTGTTAGCTGGGCCGTGTACAAGGCTCGTGTGTGACACGTGTCCTGCATACCTCTATAATCACCAGTGTCGAGTGTCGATAGTCTCCTTCGCAACTGTTATTACGGTCGTCACGCAACGCTGGGGAGGAGCGTTGCGTGACGACCCTAATAACGGCTGCGAAGGAGACTACAGTGTCGAATACGCTCTATGTGGAAATAAAAAGAGTCAGATAGAAAATCGAACGCATTTTGGTGCTAGATCTACCCTCGGATATGCAGTTCGTGCTATACCCTTCGCATTCGGGAGTTGATTCATTGAAGCCGTTGATCACAGGTAGACTTAAAGCGCCTTATTAAGTTTCACTGTCTTTAACACGAAGTGTTAAGTGAGGGCCGCATTTTTGCATTCCTTGCAGGTGCGAGGACCTCATACTTGTTTGAGTCACAAGATGGTCTAGTGCCTTTGTTTCCTGTTATTTTAATAGCTAACCCCCGCAATCAGTCTTAAGGACCTCCCATTTTCCACTTACTCCTCTTGTCTTTCCCTCACGCTGCCAAAGATTACTGCTTATGGATTATCCTTGAGTGCGCTACAGTATCTGAATAACAGACTTTTTATTTTATTCACAGAGATTGACAATAAAGTGGACATCGATACCCTAAAAAAGAAAATTAAAAGTTCTCAGGTAAGATAAGTTTTTATTTACTGGCTTATCTTTGAATAGCCCACGTTCGATATATCAAAATTCTAACATGAATCCAAGGCTTTAGGGTCAAAATGGCAAAATTTTCACGACTCCATTGTCTCGTAATTTTCAGAAGAGACTTGAGCACAAAGAAAACCAAACCAAATATAGAAAAAATGACCAGAAAGCCTCAGATTCTTGTTAGAATTTTAATATTTCGAACGTGGTCTATTTGTTTAGGTGAAACTAACAGTGGGTCAGTCAGCTTGTCTGTCTGTTTATCAGACACTTGACCCACTTTATGTGACTAACAGTCAGTCAATACGTCTTTTAGACAAAGGCAGTCGCTTACGATGACTATGACTCCAGCAATCAGTCATTGGTTATCGAATCTGTCAGTCATTTTGTCCGTTTTGTACTCACATTCACTCAGGCAGTCAGTCTATCCATCAAGCCCAAGTTTTTCAAAAGGTGGTAACGCTATTCGCATCCACTTGTTAAAACTTTATCCAGTGGAAATCGCTGCTGGATTGTGCTATCCAACGTTTGAAGAACCAGAGCAGACATTCACTGTCGTTCACTATCAGTCAGCCAGTCAGTCTCTTCGTCAGCCAGACAGTCACCAGGTATAGAGCAGGTCACTCTTTGCTCAAGTGATCTGGAGGATTTGGAGCGCGTCGGACTTGAAAGTGCGTCTTGCCATCGCACTTTGCACTCTGCGTAGCGAGCGAAGCACAGGAGCGCATGTGAAAATTGCCATCAACTTGGAAGTTTATACACGTTTATCATCCTTCTCCTCCCTTTGCGTGTTCTTTAGTGGGGTTCCTGGCTCTTCTGTTTACTCCGTTATGAAAGCGAAAAACAATTATTTCGACAGTTTAAACACATATTCAGACTTAAGCGCAAACCAGTTTCAACTTGACTGATAAATCACTGGTTAAATTAAATCAAATCACTTGTTTATTGTCTCTTTTGTAGGATACCTTACAAGCAGTGATATATATACTAATACGCTAAATTTATTGACAAGATTGATATTTAACACTAACAAAATTTGAGAAACGTTCAGTCCTTCTGGCCATGGGCCTGCTAGAACTCACTGATCTTAGACGCACACTGGTAGATATAGGTACCACTCTGTTGTGTATTAGTGGGTATAACGGGTTACCTGGCCGAACCTTACCTATAAATTTAATACATGAGATTGTCCGACGGTCAGAAAGAGTGGATAATGCAGCTTTGTCAAGTGCTGTTTCATATGAAATACCAGGCCAAATGATTGAAAGGCCATTTCTGCACGTTCTCGAGATAGCAATTTCAATTCAATTTTAATGCAATTCAATTTTATTATTCACACTTTATAAAATATTAAGGTGACTCGACCCAGTTTTTTGGGGGGGTACCATCCTACTTTGAAGCTCTCTGGCATCCCCACCTTTACTTTTATCGTAAGTCTAACACATAGAATGGATAACATATAGATCAATCTACAATATAACATAAAATTTTTGGCGATCGGAGTAAATGGTTATAATACCACGCCCCTTTGAAGTCTGAGTCGAAAATCTGCTGTTGCCGGGATTTTTTCGTGAAAATCTCTCGGCTACACATAGTGCGCTTTAGTGCCTTGCGCTGAACAGAGTTTCACCAAAATCACAAAGACCCAATTCGAGAAATTCAGCGGTTTCCAAATTTAGGTCATAATTTATGCGAAAATGATAAGCAAACTTTACACGGATTATATCTAATAAACTATGAGATTCATCTCTGTATTTTGGGCATCCTTATAACAGATGGGTCCTTGCAAGTCAGCAAAACGCTTTAGGGCCTTGTAAATGCGCGCAATTTCGAGCAAAGCAAACATATACAAATGATAGTTTTCGCTATTTGTTGACGTTTGTCAGCGTTTAAGAGTCAATCTCACGAAAAAAGCATTTTCTTAAAAATTCGTTGTTTTTTTTCCTTCAAATTTTTTCAGGGCCACAATTGATTAACTAACTACCCGGACTCTGAATTTCATGGTCAGTGAAAAACTGTGACATTACCTTCTATAAGCCCAAACTTGAGTAAACATTGAAGATTTTTAGCGTTTTGGCTGAGTTTGTACTTTGGGAGTTGTCTATTGTTTCTAGTCTGTCATTATACAGCATTCTTGTTCAGCACGCGTGCAATGACCACGCTTGGCTGACTTCCGAATACTCACCGAGATGGGATAATTTAGTATAAGAAAATAGAAGGGATTCCCGTCACGAGTTGGTTTAATTATTGGCTTGCATTAAACCTTTGAAAAAATGATATTTTTTTTAAATGGTAAGTAGATTTAGTGTGTAGCACTTCTTGATTTTTTTGCAAAGGCACAAGAAGCACGAGAATTGATTAAAAATTGTGAGTTAAACCTCTATGTATCACGCGATGGCCTGTCTCACTGTACCAAAATTATCATATCTCGGTGAGCATTCGGAAGTCAGCCAAGCGCGGTCATTGCACGAGTGCTGAACAAGAATGCTGTATAATAGAGAGTTTTAGATTCGAGTTTACCGCGAACCTCTAACTGCTGGAGGTCACGTGACAAGTCTTTCGGGTCACGTTTGAGGTTTACGACGTGCGTTTTCAACGTGGGGAGATAGGTTTTCACGTATGTCATTTACCTGGAAGCTTTTAGCGTATAATTCTTGTTTTATCCCACGTAATGATACAAAAATCTTGTGGAGCAAGTCTTTATCCATTAACAGAGGCACAAATTCGGGCAAAATGCTAAATTTGATAAATCCTATTGGACCTTGAAAACAAGTGTCATTCATGGCTGCTGATGCGAAATGGCGGCAGTAATCTAGTCCACCGTCAATCTAAATCGAATTATGTTTGAACGTCGAACGGCAGACGGGTAACCGCAAACCGCGGTTAGAGGTTCGCGGTAAACTCGGATCTAAAACTCTCTAATGACAGACTAGAAACAATAGACAACTCCCAAAGCACAAACTCAGCCAAAACGCTAAAAATCTTCAATGTTTACTCAAGTTTGGGCTTATAGAAGGTAATGTCACAGTTTTTCAATGACCATGAAATTCAGCGTCCGGGTAGTTAGTTAATCAATTGTGGCCCTGAAAAATTTGAAGGAAAAAAAACTACGAAAAACTACGAATTTTTAAGAAAATGCTTTTTTCGTGAGATTGACTCTTAAACGCTGACAAACGTCAACAAATAGCGAAAACTATAATTTCTATATGTTTGCTTTGCTCGAAATCGCGCGCATTTACAAGGCCCTAAAGCGTGTTGCTGACTTGCAAGGACCCATCTGTTATAAGGATGCCCAAAATACAGAGATGAATCTCATAGTTTATTAGATATAATCCGTGTAAAGTTTGCTTATCATTTCCGCATTAATTATGACCTAAATTTGGAAACCGCTGAATTTCTCGAATTGGGTCTTTGCGATTTTGGTGAAACTATGTTCAGCGCAAGGCACTAAAGCGCACTATGTGTAGCCGACAGATTTTCATGAAAAAATCCCGGCAACAGCAGATTTTCGACTCAGACCTCAAAGGGGCGTGGCATTATAACCACGTGACATTTACTCCGATCGCCAAAAATTTTATGTTATATTGTAGATTGATCTATATGTTATCCATTCTATGTGTTAGACTTACGATAAAAGTAAAGGTGGGGATACCAGAGAGCTTCAAAGTAGGATGGTACCCCCCCAAAAAAAAACTGGGTCGAGTCACCTTAACATCATATATAATAAGGTAAGAATACCCTAATAAAGTAGAAGAAGAAGGAAAAAAAAAGAAAATTAATGACTTGGGTAGAAGTGTACGGTGGTCAGAGGAGCTTAGCTTTCGAGCTAACCACCGCAAAGCAAGCAAAATACTTAGGCAAGCCAGCAAAGACAGCGGAGGCGTTCTGTAGTATAGAGTGAATTAGCGCGCAGTAGATATGAACAATATCAGCCGTCGGAACTTTGCACTTCTTGAGTTGTCATAACAACACAACAAACACAAAAAATATGCAGAGCAAACAAACAAGTGGCCGCCATGACTGGCGCCGCGGTCATACATACATCTAGATACTTAGGATACTATGATACTATGATCTGCATATAGCAGATACTATGTATACTACAGATACTATGATCTGCATATAGCTGCAATCTCAGTCAAAATTGTTGGGACACTTTACTGTCTTCTCGCCCTCCCAATGTTGATGAGTTAACTGCGATAAAAAACATTGCTGGGAGGGAGAGGAGTCGGGCGAAAATGTAAAAAACAACAGAGTTTGTTGGAATTGTCCCAACCTTTTTTGTGTTAGACTGCTGGCTTATCTTACGGCGGTAATTTGTTGAGTCATTAATATAATCATTATAATCTCTTGATTTTACAGAAAAGAAAAAACTGGGGCCAAAGTTCACTGGAAACTCCAAACAAAAAGAAAAAAGCGAAAAGTTAAGAGTATAAAAAAGAGTTGTATGGAAACACTGTCATCGACTGGTGCCAAGCCAGGACACTTCCGGGAGTCATCAAATGGAATACGTGAGCCAATTTAGCACAAGTAACCGGATATACAGTATCCAGGATATCTTGTTTGAATGGTTTAGGTGGTCTCGAGTGGTCAAACAGAGACTTCTCATAGTTTTGTTTCGTTCAATTATTTGAATCCATTGTTCGAAGAGGATAGGTCATAAAATACTGTGAATACCGTAAAATTCCGAAAGTAAGCCCCGGGGCTTATATTTTTTAAAGGCCCTTTTTGAGGGGCTTATTTTTGGAGGGGCTTATATTCGGAGGGGCTTATCTACGGAAGGAAATTTGCGTTTCAAAATAGATTGGGCTAGGGCAATTTTCCAAGTACAAGGCTCTGGGGGGCTTATATTTGGAGGGGCGATTTAACGGCCGGTTTTTTGCGTCACCGCATTGGGGGGCCTATATTTGGAGGGGCTTATAGATGGAGGGGCTTATTTTCGGCATTTTACGGTAGTCTCCTGCATGTCAGGGCAAGACGAACCTCATTCAGCATGCGATACCTACATGTAGATAGGCACTAATGTACATACCGTACTTAGCCTTGGGAGGTCGGTAGTTTTGAATAGTAGATCATTCCGATGAAACGTTTCGTTTCCCATAGCCCTTTTATTTTGTAGAGTGTTTCGGTGGGTCGCTCAGACTGAAGACGGAATTATGTTCTCATTAAAACCAACGTAACGTTTACTGAAAGCGTTCATAAACATTCTCGAGTAACACCCAATAGTATGACAGCCGATTTTGCTATTGTAATCTGTCAAAACTTGTCGAAACGCTTCTTACTGAAAGGCAGTGAAAAGAAATGAAAAATAAGATTGTCTAGACTTCACTGATATTTCCTAAACACCCAGTTTTTGCAGGCAGGAAACTGTTTTGATATTGGTCGTTTTGAAAATCATCCTTCTTTAAATGGTTCAATTCAGAATTTTACATTTTAAGGTGATGTTACACGATACGATTTGTGATGACGATTTTTAGGACAACAATGTTGAAACAATGTTGCATGTAACAATTTCAGGCAGTGTCGCAACGATGGTGCAAGCAACGCTGTTTTGCGCTAGGTGAAAAGCCTCGTTGCCAGTCGTCCCATGTAACATCGCCTTTAAATGAGCTGCGAAAACGTCCAAAAGGTTTTTGAGAGTGGACTTATCTCTTTTGATCGCTAATTTCGAATTATTATCGATGGAAATTTTTTTTGCTAGCAGGGAACGGTTTTTCAGTTTCATTGTTTTTGTTGCTGTATTAATTTTCGGTTTCGAGTAAATAATTTTCTCTTTTACCGTCTCGTGTACTGATATATTACGACTTATTGATATTTCGAGCAATATCAATTTGCCGTCTTTCCTCTTGGAATTGATATACCCAGTGCCCATGTTTATACAATAAGGATGAGTCTAATCAAGGTTAATCAAGTAGAAACATCACTGGAAAACATTTCTCAAAGATTTTATTGGGCTTTTTCTCCAAGTAATGTAGATACATATTTTCACTGTTTTCAACTATTGGTGAGAACCAAAATTATGGAACTATCGCTAGCGGGAAGCAGATCCTAATAGTCATGTCTTTTAAGTTAACCGTATATACTGAGACGCCTAGATTTTATCAACGTTTCCCGAACGATCAATATTAATGGAACGGAACGTTTCGTGGAGATACCTTTGTCGCAAGTTAGTTTCGTCTAAGAAAACCAGTGCTCGCCAAAGATTTCGCCATATTTGCTTTCGTTAAAAGATGCGAGTTTTATCTTAGTTCTTTCTATGGAAAAAATTGTACAGATTTAAGAAACATCCATTTATAACATAAGAGCCACGCGTTAGAGATAAGCAGTTAGCAAAATATTATTTATTGAGGCTCTGTCTCTGAGCGTTTCTTCTGAAGATCTCGTACAACACAGCAGAAATAAAAAGGGTTCTTCAACAAAGTATTGGTATGATTAATATAAATAAATCAGTTTTTTTAAACCAAACTGTGGCTCTTAAAAATCTTGTTTTCTTGAGAACGGAAGGAAAAATGAGGCACTAATCCAAAGGTAACCAAATGATTGGGGTTTTTATCGGGAAAAATTCCAGCCTCTAAGAAAGTAAATTTCCGCTTAACTTTTAATTCAAATTGCTTTCTTGAAATCTGTTGTTATCTCTTTGTGTATTGTGTATTCTTCTCAAAAGATGAGAAGCTTTTGGAATTGAAGCTCCGACGAATCGCTTCAAATCCACCGAAATTCCTTGTTCATCTGGCCCCGATTGTTCAAACATTAGATAGTGCTATCCACAGGATAAATCACTATGCAGTGGATAAGTATTAATTTATGAGGAAAACCAATTGCATCATCCACTGTATAGGGATTTATCCAGTAGGTAGCGTTATCCACCTTTTTGACCAACTGGCACCTGCCTGTGTGATTAGTGTTCAGGTGCTGACTCATCCCAATTCGTCTCTATTTGGATCGCACGCGCGGAGGACGGAACGCGAGAAGCGTGACCAAAGGGAGCGCGAGGGGTGATGGGAAGGAAGGAAACAAAAGGACAGACCCCTGCCCATCACCCCTCAGTCTTCCCTTCAACGCGCATCTCACATCAATATTACTAGGAGACCAGGTGACGACTGGGGACGAGTCAGGTTCAGGTGAGCAATTTTAATTTAAATTCGTCAACAACAATAACAATAGTCTCTATTTTCCCTATCATTAAGTTTTACAAAAGTGCACTGGCTCGGCCGCAGGTAGCTAGAGATAATGTTGGCGGGCCGGTCAATGTACGTGTAAGGAATATTTAATTTTTTATTCGTTCATGTACATGTTTGTTTATATATAATTTTATAATAAGGAACGATTATCCCATTTACAAATGAGATAATCAGGTTAATTTTGAACAATTTGACTAAAAACTACGCGTCTGCGCGTTCTCAAGTCAAGAGCAATTTTCCCTGTCAGAAAGGCGAAGTTTTCCCCACGCACGCTCAAATTCCGTGACACTCGTGTAGGCATTACCAAAGGAGGAGCCCATTGCTGAAGGTCTTGGGCTACCTGTGACTAAGCGCAACAACCCAGGTTAGGTATTGTAGTTAACCATACAGTCCAATCTCTTATGCTGCGATATCCACACTTACTCCAGACTTCATAAAAGAACAACGCTTTGAATCAGATGAAACTCGAGTTCTGGAACCCCCGTACTATCATATTCAGATCTCACTCTGTCTTTACGCTGTTAGGATCCCAATTGACCGGTCTTCTCTTACGCGGCCGTGATTTGGGCCGCCACTCCACTCGGATGTTGGGGAGAAAGAGAGGTAGCGCACTTAAGAAAGAGGTCATGTGGCTAGAGGGTCGCGCAGGCATAGCGGGCAGTGGCGGAAACAAATTACTCTGAAATTCCTAATGAGATTCCTCATAACTAAGAGCCTGGAGCGTAGCTTAACGTACCATGAAGCGGACATGTTTTCGAACGTCAGATGAGGCAAATGTTCACCGCGCACAAGCCGAACACAAGTCAGCGGAAAATGTAAGCAGGCGGCCACTTTTGAATAAACTGGAGAGAAGAGCAACCTATTGAGGAGGACAAACCGTTAGTAGAGGCTCTCGTAAGCTTCGCGATACATTTAAAGAGTGAAAAGAGAAATTGTTACGGGCTACAAATAGCGCCACCGGAGGTGTTATTTTAACATAAAGTGCCACTTTTCTTGTTGCGTCTTCAAAGAGCTTAGCTATATTACCTACCCCTCGAAGAAAGACGGGTTGACCATCCTAGATATAGGGAAAACTCTCAGGTTGTTAGTTTTCTTTGGCAATTATAGCACAGAGCGCTCTGTTAGGTTTGTTTCCATTCATTTATGGCACGGATCTGCGATTTTTAGCTTTTTTTAAGACTTCAGCTTTGTCCTGTCCCAGGAGCCCATAACAGTGCCTGTCCCCACGATTGGGCATTTCCTTTTATTCTTTAAGCCCCGCGGTGTTCTTTTTGTACGGTTGAATCGGCTAACCCCAAATGACCAATGCCAGGAGCCCGAGAAATACCCCGGGGCAGGCGATCTCTCATAGTCCTACCACGTGAGGCACCACGTGACACTTGAGGGTTACGCAATATGTGAAAAGGAGGATTGGGTCGAGTGTAACAACATTCACGGATTTCGTAACGATCCTTCCAGTTCAAATAGTAGCGACATTTCATGAACAATTTCACAGAATTTTTAAACCTCCGGCCGGTAAGTATTTTACTATTGTAGAATTTTAAAGGATAAATCTAATTTAAATGTAGTAGAGGAGCAAAGGGGTGTAAGCGCAGCTCTGCTTTTTGGAGACCCACGTGAGTGTGCATCGTCTGTGGATCTCTGAAGTGCTGTAGCTAAAGCTTAGGTAAGAATTGAGTAAGCGTATAAAAAAGTATATAGGGTATTGATATGGGTTAGAAATTGTTCTCAAATGAAAAGAAAAACAGCTTTCATGTTCAAAAATACAGAGCATTATGTATGCACCATGCACATGATTGTCATATTCTACTTCAGAAAACGCAAAAAATCGCGGTTTCTCGGATCAGTGGTATATCATGGACCGAAAATGTGTCTTTGTCACATGACAAACCAAAAAACATGACCAAAGTTAAAACTAAAAACATCGATTCATCTTGCTCTTGTTTGGAAATGTGAACAGACCGGTGGTAAGCATGATGGGGCATTTCGGTTTTGCAGTGGTGTAAACTGTATTTTGGTTTGCTCTGAAATTTATAATGTTTTTTTTTAAATAAGAAAGGGTTATCTTCGGTTTTTCGCTTTTTATAAAAAGTAAAAGTGGTTTTGTGTTGGAATGGTCTTTCCGTTTCCGGTTTCGAAATGAAAGGTGCGTATGGTTTCGAAGTTTTTCCAACAGGCTAGATCAGGCTACGTTCTCTTGAAGAGTGTAATTTGTGAATTTGCCGGCCATTTTGATTACTGTTACCAAACGTCCGCGGTTTTTCGGTTTTCATCATTTTTATTGCAGTTTCTAATTTAAATTTTGTGGTGTTGCAGTTTCCACTGGAATACCTTTATAACCCAATCTTGCTCTCCACAGACAAGCCTCGATGTTCTCAAAGTTGAACAAACAATTTTATATTTTCCACCGTTCCCAAAAAGTGGTTGTAAGTTATGGCCTATAGTTATAAAAATTATAGAATCGTTATTAATATGATGTGCATTTGAATATACAGAAAAAACCCTTGAGTAAGAACCTGCATTTTCGTAAGTTGGCCTAAACAGATTCTTACATAAATGGTAGTTAGTACAAATTCAAGCTATTTAGGTTCTTAAATCGATTTGTACTTTCTTAAGAAAAGGTATATTGTAGCTAACAGTATTTAATGGTATTCGCAGCTTATTTGTTATATAAAATCTGCATACCATTACATTGCAGTTGGAGTGGTAGGGCATCTATGTCTCTATAGAGGGTCCTGAATATGTTGACCAATCTTATTTGCCCAAGTTTAGAGATTTTTTTTATAGATTTTAGAAAATAAGAACCTGTTTCAAATTTTAGGCTAAACAGGTTGGTGTATGGGGAGACCTTAACTGACGAATTTTAGCCTAACAGGTTTTTAAAAACCAGGTTCTTACTCACTGGTTTTTACCGTTAATCTTAGTCCCTAACTCCAGCATATTCTCTACAGCTCTGAGGTGAACTCAAGGATAATAATATTATATCAGTACAAAGAAATCTCATTTTATGCCTGTTTTACATAGGGAATGGAAGCATCATTTACAGACATCCAGATACCACAATGCCATGAATACTGCAATGGTAACACAGCAGAGTTTTATTGCCCAGAATGTTCTGCTATGTTCTGTAGCAGTTGTTATGACAGGGAACACTGTGGGAATGAGAGGAAATCACAACATGGCAAAGTCACCGAACTCCGAGCTATATGTTGCATTCATAAGCACACCTTGGATTATTTTAACCTCACAACACTGCAGCCTATGTGCATCATTTGCAAAAAGGAGACTTCGCAGGCTTCGGAGCTCTCTGACCATGTTATCGACAATATAGAGACAACTGTTCCAAAGCTTCAGTCTCTTATGGAAAAAAAGGTTAACACTGCTTCTGAATTAATTACCAGATTAAACCGTGAAATAGCTATGGCTGAAAACGCTGCCAGGAACACAACAATTTGTGCAATAGAGTATGTCCAAGAATGTTTCGTTAAAATTCGAAGGTATCTTGATGAGACTGAAGAGGAGATAAAACAGGGGGCACGAAAGTATTTTGACGACTTCATGCAATTTAATGAAGACAGAGTGGAGTTTATGAATGCTGTCCGAAAGCTCAGGGCCCTTTCTGAAGAAGGCAAGTTGTATAACACATATAAAATGTACCATGTTAAAGGAGTTGTGTCACGAAATTCAGCTAAATTAGGATATTATAAAATGCTTGTTAAATTAATCCGCTTAAAACTCTAAATAGCATAACAGAAACGACAGAAGCCACGGATGGGCAAAACTGAAGAAGATTGAAACGGATTGAAATTTGGGTTTTTGAAAACTGTTCATTACTCAGAAATTGGTCATGTTTTTTCTGGATCCAATCCTGAATTTGCTTTCCCCTATGTTAATCTCACTCTACTTAAGGACTTGCCTTGAGCAGATTTAACATGGGAGGTGGAATTTTTAGGGCATTGTCTTGCTTCCTATTCAGATGTTCTTCCAGTGCTTCTGAGTCCCACTCAGAATGGCTGAATACTAGGCAGCTCTAGTAATAACAGTTTCGCCTACAATAGTAGTAGTGGCCCTGTGAATTGAAAGTGATGGGAAATAGGAGTTAAAAGATAAAGGAGATCGAAAGATGAAGAGAAAGCGATGAGTAAAGTCTTACCCCAGTCACCAAAAAGCTGTATTTTTGGACCAGAAAGGAAAGCTGTACCCTGCTAGCAGAGATAATCTGCTGGCTCAAACCTCTGGTCTTTTGGTTGAAAATGAGTTCGTGGACTTTCCATTTCACTACTACAGCTGTGCTTCACACATAACATGTAGTTGAACAACCAAATGTTATTTTGCAGAGCTACTGACTGTTGATAATCCTCTTTATTTTTACACACTCACTATTGAAAAAATTTAGTCACTGGCAAACGTAAAAATCACTGAGCCCTTTTGTTATTTTGAAGACAGTAATTCTAAATTAATGCAACCAACTTGTTATTATGACCAGGCTTTTATGGCCCGACGGTGGTCACATTAACAGGGTTCCAGTGTATGATACAAATGCATTTCCCAGAAAGCCCTTCAGCATTATCATTATGTTATGGTTAGTGCTTTTCAGTTGACACTGTTTTTTTCAGTTGATCATGTGCAATGACTATGCATATTGTTAAGAGCCAGTTCCCTATGTTGAGATGCCAAACATCTTGGACGAGTTGTCCAAAGCTGGGTTAAGATAACCCAGGGTTAGTGCGAGATTTGCATTCAGATTTGAAAGCTTAAAAAGCATTTCAGTTTTAATTCTTTTTGTCTACAAGTTGATGATTGGAAGCTCTGAAAATAACAGAGAAAATTATCCGAGAAAATGCTTTTGAACACAAGAAAAAGAATCCCGGCTAGGCCCTGATGTCATGTGGTGGAGGAAGGAAATTGCCCAAAGGGATGGGGTTTGGGTAGAAGGTGCTTCCTGCCTACCTTCCCCACTCCAATGGTATCACCATCCACACAGACAAGCTACCCTAGATGGAAATAATGATGGAGGTCATGATTTTTAGATACAGTCAAACCTCTGCTAATGACTATATCCCTAGTAACTATGGCCATCCTTTCTACAACAGCCCCTTTTTTTTTGCCTCAGTGGACAAAAATTGTTTGAAACCCCTCTACAACGGCCACTTTCATCTGTCCCCAAGGTGGCCATTGTAAAGAGGTTCAACCGTAATGTAAATCTGAAAACAGACAGGGAGTTTTGTTTTTATTTCAAAACCTTGTTGTATATCCACCTTTATTATTAAGCAGGACGTTCACTCTTGACGAAAGATGCCAAATGTCTCGCAGTGGAGTTTCCCTCTGTTTACAGGAGACTTGAGGAGTTATGCAGCTCAAAAAATGATGACAAACAGATGAAGCAGCTAAACATTATGATTGAGTATGAAAATGCCTTCTGTGAACAACTCAAGCATGTTATCTCAATGACAGCATACTCTTCTGTGCAAGTTGGAGGTAATTTCCAGTCAATTTATGTTGTTTTTTTCTAGCATCAATATTTTTTGAGGACAGACCATAACCATACTTTCTCATGGCCACTCTTTGTGATTAATCTAACATTGACTTGCAGATATTCCTTTGAAAATGTTAAAAGTGCTGTTGAAACAAACTTTGGACTACTTTGTTTTACTGACACTTAAAATAGTTTCTCTATCTTAAAGAGGCATCATTCAAAAGTAAAAAAGGTCTATAACTACTTAACCCATTCGCTCCTGGAGATTTTGCCGAAAAATGCGTTTTGAAGCTAGTTGAGTGGTTTTCTGGTCACTGTCGTGCTCTAAAGAGCTAAAACTTACCACAAACCGGTTTACAGGTCGTACACTTTGCGGCCTTCTGATCCAAATGTAAAATATCAGCTTGCGAAGTTCGGGCATGCGCAGAAAGCAAAATTTCGAGTTTAAAAGTGACACAGCAGTCTTGACTTTTACTTTTCGCTTTCTCTCCTCCCCTCTTTTTTTGCTTTTCTTGCCTCAATTTTTTTTTCTCTTGCTGGGCATTTAGAAAACTGATGATGTCACAAAGGGTAGAAAGGACGTGGATCCGCATGGGTACTTACAGGCAGTTCAAGGACGAATGGGTTAACTTTGACGTTGTTCTGTTTTAGGCTTGGATCATGACACAAATTTCGACAAAATTTTGAAATTTCCTGGGCTTGATCTACTAACCATGTGACATAATACATTTATAATATTGGTGTAAATTTAAGAATTTTTGCAACTGTTTAAAGGAAAGCTAGAGTTTGCTTTCCTCCCTTATTGCCCTCAGAACTGCTAGCACCTTATCTGGGATAGGATACTTGCAGTGCTCGCAACTGATGCTATTCTTTTTAGAACATGTTTTTTAAGGCTTTTTGGTGCTGAGTTGCTCTTTTGCTTTAATTATTATGCAAATAATTATGTAATTAAGTTTTCAGCTCTTCCACACTTGTCCTGCAAACTGTGTAATGTTACATGGTCTCTAATAAAGGCAACCCAGTACCCAGGAAGGCTGGGAACTAACAATGGAGTGCAGAGGTGCTCCCTAGAAGTAATGCCTTGTTCTTTAGCAGGTGTAATAGCCTGTTCCAGGCATACAGATCAGAGATGGTGGGGACATGTCAAAGAAGGAAAAAACAGCAAGGGGGTGGGGGTGGGGAGAGAAGGTGAAGGAACCCTCCTCTCCCTTTCGTCTCCTTTTTTTCCCTCTGTTCTACATTTCATGCCACTCTCCACCACCTGAAGACCTGGAACAGACTACTGGTGTAATAACTTACCTGGTTTAATCCTGCATTCAGGTGTTTAAGCTAACACTGTTGACTGTTTGTAACAAAGAAATTTCTCTTCTTAGGCTTGATTATTTTAAATGAGCCAACTGTCGAAAACACTGCAGATTCTTCTAATAATGATTGCAGTCCTTCCCATGAAATTACCCCAGGTGTGTTAGTTGACTTTAAATGCAAAATAAAAATTATTATAATGACATCTTTGCGTTAAATGCATAATTTACATTGTTTAAATGTCATGTACAGTAGTTACTGTGAAACTCAGAAAACCATGAACACTACAAATATTTCTGGAAAGTGATTGCATGTGTTTCGAGGAAAAAGCCCATCTGGCTTGGACATACTAAACCATAAGCAGCAACGGTAATTAGTTTGTGGTCTAATGGCTCATTCACGTGTCCTGACCTTTGCTGTCATTGGTCATAACACAATAAATATCCCTGTCATGTTTAAGGTGTTCACAATTTTTAAGCCTCCCTTGCAGACGTCAGTAGTGGATCCATACCTTTAGATAAGGGGAGGGGGGGCGGTCATCCAGACCCTGAGATAAGGGGAAGGCCCGTTCTCGCAAAAATTTTTTTTCCTGCACTCGGGCCTCATTTTGGTCTAAAAATAGGGGGGGGGGCTCTCCGATGGATCAGCCACTGGACGTTTTTAGGGCTTCGTCATGCGTTCTTCGAAGCCCTAAGAACGTCTGCGTGGGAGGCTACGATTTTCTTAGTTTGACAATACTAATCAATATCAATCAATGTGAAGAAAGAATCAGCTGTTAAAAGGAAGTTAGCTTGTCAAATGCCTATAAAGTCCTCGTGTCTAAATCTTGTCAATTTTTAGGAAAACGGAAGTATTTCCCTGGTTCACCACCCCCTTGCGAGGACCCCAGCACCAAGCAACCAAAGAGCTGTGAAAAAGAGCACAAATTTACTCCTGATCGCAGCCAAGAATCTCTTGGAACACAGTCCAGTCCTGCAGCGAGGAAGTCACTGAAAATAGCGTCACTTTCACCTAGCAAACGTTCCAAGCGGCCATGCAGGGCTATTGGATCTCCACGGAGTCCTTCTTGCTCCAGTCCAAAGGCCAGCGCATCATCACCTCTTGGAGGAGACACCTGTAAGCGGAGGCGCAGAGGAGGAGAGTTGTCCAAAGAATTTCAGGTGAGATGGTCATACCTCAGTCAATTTCCTTGATAACCGGAACCAGGGTTTATTATAGAGCGTGACCTTGCAGGATTTCCGCTATTTGGAAAAAAACGCCGCAGAAAATTTACGTTGCCGCGTCAAATGGGGCGCAAAAAAATAGACCCAAGGATAAGTACTATCTTTTTCAAATGAAGCAGTCGAAAACATCACTGACAACAACACTGATTTGACGGCCGCTCTATAAACTTACTTTGAACTTTTATAGCCTCTTACTGTCTCAGTTGCCTTTCTCTTCTTCGTTTGAGTCATTGAGTCAGGATTCTGCATTAATTCGAACCCAGGCTTTTTCAGTTGCCCAGAATGTTCCAAAATGGCGGCAAAGCGTCAATAAACGTTCGTTTTCCCATGGAACAGTCGGTACCAATAAGTTCAAATACCTTTTGGGGGACCCCCTTTCTTGAAAAAGGGTCCCCTAAAATTACAAAAGGGGGCCAATTTGATTCTCACTGGCCAATTTCTAGAATAAACCTTGGTAACTAATAAAGTCACCCGAAAGTCATCGCGACCGAAACAAGAGTTATTTTGCCTGAAATTTTGGCAGGTGTAATACACAGGGTAATATAAGCAGTGTGCATGTTGATACCAACTAAGCGTTATGAATGTTCAGTATATCTCGTTTTTTTAGTACGCCATGTTGAGACGAACTATAA